GAATTATTGCTGATAGGAGTATTGAAGTAAGTTTGTTTGGTGCTATTCTGTGCAGGATATGCTGCATGGAATTGTTACAATTTAGAGTGTCTTGTTCACACTTGTTTTCCTGAAGAAGTCCTTACAAATCACGTTCAAATCTAACGTGGTGTTTCTGAGAGGTTCTACTAACCAATGATCTCAGAATCACAGGGAACTGGTTTAGTCATTACCATTGCTGGAGCGGAATGGTATAGACTGCAACCTTCATTTGGGATCACTGAGCACTTTGAGGATTTCAAGACAACTTGTTAACATATTGGAAATGAAGTCTGACCATACTATTGATATTCTTATCTAACGAGTTCATTTCTTATTGATGGGAATGAGTGATATCTTCCCTGTGGAGCAGTTTGTCTTATCTAGGGACGTGTATTCAAGGTATTAAGGGTTCACGATAATCGACTATATAGTTTTGATGCAAGTTTGATATGATATCCTGTCTGACCAAGGTGATTCACATCAATTAGCTGTTGGGTTTAGAAAAGCTGGAATTGACTTGTAGTTGACTGCCTGTCACTCATTACTCAGTACTCACTAGCTTTTCTTTTAAGACGTTAGAAACCTAGAATTGTTCTTATGTTACTAATTCATATCCATTCTTTTTCAGGTGATACCCTGTCAGTAAATTATGTTGCGAGCAAAGCAATTAAGTAACCTTTCAAGTAGTGCGAGGTCATTCTTCCTTACCGGGCCACGATGTAGTGCCACAGATGGAAATTCATGCTCTTGCTCTGAAGATGAAACTTGTGTTTCGCAAAGGCAGCTAGCACTTGCCCAAAATCCATCGACCATGGTATCCAAACCTTCAGCAAGGGCAGGAAGCATCCTTTTGGGAGATGCAGTAAAAGTGGCAGGTCTTCGTAAAGCCGAAAGTGTTGACCATACAGCTTCTATTAAAAAGGTTGCAACGGCACCACGATCTTTGGGGAGATCAGAGACTGTAAGTTATGCTAGTACCATGGATGTGGTGCACTCATCACCTCTCGTTGCAGACCAGTTTGCTAAGGCAGGAGTTGCTGCTGTAAATTTTCTGTCTGATATAGTAAATGGCAGGCTTCCTTTATCTGATGGGCTTGGAATCCTTAATAACTGTATGGTTGATCCGACCAGACCCCTCAGTGGTATCAAGCCATCACACGTGAAACAAATAAAAAAAGAGCATTTCACTAGTGTACATCCAAAACAGTCTACTGAGGTATCAGCTGCATCAAAGCCTACAAGTAACAATCATGGTCAAAAGGGCAAAGGTGAGAAATCCAGTTTCGTTAAAGGTCTAAATCATGTTCCATATTCTAGGACAGAAAGCTCAGCGGTACCTCATGTTGTATATTCGGACCGTCATGCGAACAGGTCTATGCCACCGAAATCAAAACCTCATTCAAACTTCATTCCAAATTACAGTTCCAGTGTGCAGGCTTCTGATGCAGAGACCACGGGTCGTGCCTCTAAAAGTTTCAACAGGCCCATAAGAGATGTGAAAATGCCAACAGGAATAGCTCCCCAAATCAACAGACAGTATGCTCACACTGGGAATGTTGTTCATAATGTTTCTCACATACTGCAACAGATGAGATGGGGTCCTGCTGCAGTGGCCGCTCTTGGAAATCTCAACTGTTCAATGGATGCATATCACGCAAACCAAATTTTAAAGCAACTTCAAGATCATTCCGTTGCTCTTGGATTTTTTTATTGGCTTAAGCGGCAAGCAGGATTCAAGCATGATGGGCACACTTATACCACCATGGTTGGGATCCTTGGCCGTTCCAGGCAGTTTGGTGCCATTAACAAATTGCTTAATCAGATGGTGAAAGAAGGTTGCCAGCCAAATGTTGTGACATATAACCGTCTAATTCATAGTTATGGCCGTGCAAACTATTTAAAAGAAGCAATGAATGTGTTTAATCAAATGCAAGAAGCAGGATGTGAACCTGACCGTGTCACCTACTGCACACTAATTGACATCCATGCAAAAGCTGGTTTTCTTGATGTTGCCCTAGGATTGTATGACAGGATGCAAGAGGCTGGTCTTGCTCCTGACACATTCACGTACAGTGTTATGATCAACTGTCTCGGGAAAGCTGGTCATTTAGCTGCTGCTCATCGGCTATTTTGTGAGATGGTTAATCATGGTTGTGTTCCCAATTTGGTCACGTATAATATCATGATAGCTTTGCAGGCCAAAGCAAGGAATTATGAAACTTCTTTAAAGCTCTATCGTGACATGCAGGGTGCGGGATTTGAACCAGATAAAGTAACTTATAGCATAATAATGGAGGTCCTTGGCCATTGTGGATATCTTGAGGAAGCCGAGGCGATTTTTCATGAAATGAAACGGAAGAACTGGGTACCTGATGAGCCTGTTTATGGTCTTTTGGTGGATTTGTGGGGTAAGGCTGGTAATGTGGAAAAAGCCTGGAATTGGTATCAAGCAATGCTTCATGCAGGTTTACGTCCTAATGTGCCTACTTGCAATTCTCTGCTCAGTGCGTTTCTTAGGGTGCACCAGCTGTCAGATGCCTATCACTTGCTGCAGAGCATGATGGGTTTAGGTCTAAACCCATCTCTGCAGACATATACCTTGCTTATCAGTTGTTGCACAGAAGCACAGTCACCATATGACATGAGATTTTGCGGTGAGCTTATGGCAGTCACAGGCCATCCTGCACATACATTCTTACTGTCTATGCCATCGGCAGGACCAGATGGTCAAAACGTGCGAGATCACATGTGCAGGTTCTTGGATCTGATGCATAGCGAGGATAGAGAAAGCAAGAGGGGACTAGTAGATGCGGTAGTGGATTTTCTTCACAAGGCGGGGCTAAAGGAGGAGGCGGGTTCTGTCTGGGAGGTGGCTGCACAAAAGAATGTCTATCCAGATGCCATCACAGAGAAAAGCTCATGCTATTGGCTTATAAACCTGCACGTTATGTCCGACGGTACTGCTGTCACAGCACTATCAAGAACACTTGCTTGGTTTCGCCAACAAATGCTAATATCCGGGATTTGTCCAAGCCGGATTGATATTGTTACAGGATGGGGCCGGCGGAGTAGGGTCACAGGATCTTCTTTGGTTAGGCAAGCAGTGCAGGAACTGCTGAATGTTTTTCGCTTCCCGTTCTTCACTGAAAACGGCAATTCAGGTTGTTTTATAGGATGTGGGGAGCCTCTTAACAGGTGGTTGCTCCAATCTTATGTGGAGCGAATGCATTTACTGTAGGCGGTAGGGCTTCTTCCGCTCTGTCATTACCGCACGATTTTTGTTTTCCTTCTCGGCGGGGAAGATGATGAGATGATGAGCAGGTTGGGGTTGATTGAGGCCTCTTATGTACTATGACAATGTACTTATGTTGTTCTCATGTGCAGCTGTTTACAAGCCAAATAAAATTGTTTTAGCAGAAACCCTCATTTGGATTTTGTTAAGTAGTTGAACAGGACATGCTTTTGATGGAAATGCTTTTGGGATGGTTTTCAACCCACCAAACAACCCTGCAGAGATTCAACGGACATAAAACGGTTGAAAAATGTTTTCGAGTGTTTGGTAGTTTCAGATTGACCGTTAAGTTGGTGAGCTTCCTTCTTCTTTGGACTTGGATTGGCTGCTCTCCCAATGCTCTCCTATTGGTCACGGTTAAACCACGTCAAGATTTTATATTCCCATTACATTTTATCTTATTATTTCTATAAAAAAAAATCAATAAAAAATGTTGACGTGGCTTAACTGTGACAAGGATTGTCTGCCCTTCCACTTTCCGTGCCTTCCTGTTTTATATGGTCACGGTTAAGCCACGTTAACATTTTATATTGTTTTTTATAGAGATAATAAGAAAAAAACAAATAGTAATATAAAATGTTGACGTGACTTAACCGTGATCACACAAACAGAAAGGCACGGAATGACACAGGAAGTGAGAGGCCAGACAATCCTCGTACATATTCGTAATCTTCTTTTGTCACATAAATAATAAATCGAGATATGTACTATAGAAGGGACTTTTTTGGGTATTCCGGAGTTTAACCTTTAGATTTTTATATAAAAATCTACAACTAAGATTTAATGGTTGGTGATCGGTACTTCGGAGCACACAAAAGTTTGTGCACCTAATCAAGATTTACATGCTTTATTCTCATAAGTAAACTTCTTTCTACTCCTAACCTACTTTCTGCACCATATTAATTTAAATTAGAATATCAGATATCTCTTCAAACCTAAATTTACTACCTAAATTATTCTCACAAATCCGATTCAATATGTAATTTATCTTTACATTGATTTTGAAAACTAAAACTAAAAATCAATGTTTTGCAACTCATTCAAGTACCCATGAATATTTTGTAACTCTTTCAATCTTAAATTTGTCGGCCGAAACAAAAAGTTTTAAGTCATTTTGATTTCCAAGTCATCAAAGACCCCCACTTACAAAGGTTCCACCCAACAAAAAAGAAACGTAAAGGTAGCCTTCTCAAGGAAGTACTCAAAAGTTTTCTTTATTTATTTATTTTTATCAATTATTGCATATCCTACTTTTTCTTGGGGAATTAAACTATATATTTTTATAAAAAAAATTAAAAAAATTAGCCTTCTCAAGGAAGTACTTAAAAGACACTATTTATTAAGAAGCAATGTGTATTCACTTGCGATAGCTCAAAATTAAATTAGTAATATGAAGTTCTAAGTTCGACATTATTAATAACGGTTCAAATCTTATTAGTATGCGAGACTCGTGTTTTTACGGTTTATCTAAATTTTCAACTTATACCCATTATCTGGTTTAAAATTATATGAGAAATGTTAAATAGAATCTCTCAAAATTAAAAATCCATATGAACTTTCTGTCATCTTAAGTTTTTAACCCAATATTTTATAACATTGACATAAAAAATGATGTTAAACCGTAAAATAACAGATAATTTATAATAAGTCTCTCTTGTTGTGAGCAGCGTTTCTCAAACCACGTTCTAAAACCAAAACAAAAACGAAACCATAATTAACAACATTATTAAGAAAGTCTAATCACAATTCCCACGCACATATAATATAAATATTCTTAATCCTCCTTTCTCCCGTTACTTATTTCCTCATCAAACCTCTAATGGCCTTTCCTCTTCCATAGCCACTTCTACTAGTAGGTAGCGTCTCTCTCTCTCTCTCCCTCTCTCTCTCCCCCCATTCTGTCTCTCTAAAAATCGCCGCTGATCACTCATCGCCGCCGTCCCCCTTGTGAAATTCCAGTCCTTCCCCAACCATCCTCCCCCGGTAAGAATCCGTATAACTTTCTCTCTTTATACATCGACATATATGTATAGGTGCACATATATACAGATAAAATAGAGAGAGAATTATATATATATATATATGCATGTGAGTTGGGGATTGGGAGAGAGTTCGATACATGGGTAATAAGAAGCGAAAGGCTGCTCCGCGACCCAAGCAGTCGCCGGCGGCTGTTCAGCCACTCCCGGTGGCCGATGGAGACGCCGTCGTTTCGTCTCAATCAGACGCCACTCTGGCTGTCGTCGAAGCCGAGCCCGATGCCCTACTCCTCTCGAATAACAAGATCGAATCCTTGCCGTTGCCGATGATCGATTCGGACGGCGGGGCGGCGAAGGTGGAATGCGAGCGGGCCCTGACCGCTCTGCGGCGGGGGAACCACACCAAGGCGCTGCGGCTGATGAAGGAGTCGTGCCAGCGGTACGAGAACTCGGTTCACTCGGCGTTGATTCACCGAGTCCAGGGCACTGTGTGCGTCAAGGTCGCCTCGATTATCGACGACCCCAACTCGAAGCAGCGGCATTTGCGAAACGCGATCGACTCAGCGCGCCGAGCCGTCGAGCTTTCGCCGAACTCGATCGAGTTCGCGCACTTCTACGCCAATTTGCTCTATGAGGCGGCCAACTACGGGAAGGAGTACGAGGAAGTGGTGGCGGAGTGCGAGCGGGCGCTGGCGATCGAGAAGCCGGTCGATCCCGCCAGGGAGAGCTTGCAGGAGGAGAGCCAGCAGAAGATATCAACGGCCGATGCTCGAATTGGGCACGTGCAGAATGAGCTGAGGCAGCTTGTTCAGAAGTCCAATATTGCTTCGATTTCGACTTGGATGAAGAATTTGGGCAATGGGGAGGAGAAGTTTCGGTTGATTCCTATTCGGAGGGTCACGGAGGACCCAATGGAGGTGAGGCTGGTGCAGACCAGGCGGCCTAATGAGATTAAGAAGGCCACTAAGACACCGGAGGAGAGAAGGAAAGAGATTGAAGTGAGAGTGGCAGCGGCGAGGCTCTTGCAGCAGAAGTCTGATGTGCCTCAATTGGGAAATGAGGGTGAGAAGAGTGATAGGGGATTAGATTCGTCGTTGGGGTCTAGTCAGAGAGGTAGTGAGAGGAGAAAGTTTGGGAACTTGAGGAAAAATGGGTCCTCAGCGGAGAGGAAGGATTGGGTTCGGTCATTTTGGAAATCATTGACTGTTGATATGAAGAAAGAGTTACTTAAGGTTAGAGTTAGCGATCTTAAGGCGAAGTTTAGTTCGTCTAAGGATGGTTTGGCAAATGAGGTTTTATCAGAGGCATTGACATTTGCGGAGAGTAATAGGAGCTGGAAGTTCTGGGTTTGTTGTAGATGTAATGAGAAGTTTGTGGATTGTGAGTCCCATATGCACCATGTTGTGCAAGAGCATGTGGGAAACCTTATCCCCAAAATGCAGTCAGTTTTGCCTCAAAATGTTGAAAATGAATGGACTGAGATGCTGCTTAATAGTTCTTGGAAACCGTTGGATGCATCGTCTGCAGTTGGAATGCTTACGGATCAAAGAAAATGCAAGGAGCCTGAATTTGTTGAGGATTTCTACTCTGGGAATCATAACAAGGATTGTGATGAGTGCTTCAAAGATGCGTGGGATTCTTCGCCTGAGAAGGAAATGCTTGGGGATAGTCCTAGTGGCTGTACTGTTGAGGGAAATAACCATAAGAAACTTGCCCATGTTGAGTGTGGGGAGTGCGAGGAGGGCAATGGGTCAATTGCTTATTCTTCTGTTGCTAATGGTTGGCCAGTATCTGATGATTCTGAGTGCGAAAAGCTTCTTGAAAGAATTCATGCCTTATTTGAGGTGCTTATCAGGCACAAATATCTTGCTGCAAGCCATCTTAACAGGGTGATACAATTTACAATGGATGAGCTACAGGCTTCCTGTTCTCAGCTTCTCAACCACGGTGTGGAGCAAACACCTATGTGCATTTGCTTTCTAGGAGCTACCCAGCTTAGGAAAATACTCAAGTTCTTGCAGGACCTGTCCCATGCTTGTGGTTTAGGTAGATATTCTGACAAAAGTAGCAGTCCTGCGGATGATGCAAATAACACAAATAAGGGTGTAGAGATTAAAGAGAGGATTGTTCTCAATGGAGATGCATCCTACCTCATTTTGGATGAGTGTCTATTGTCATCTGAATGTACATGTAATGTTGGTCATCCTGTCACTGACGCTGCTCCTGTTGCTGTCGTTGGTAATGAAAATGGGGTTCCTCCTGATTCCGATGCTCTGCTGTCCTGGATATTTGCAGGTCCAACTAGTGGGGAACAACTGACATCCTGGGTACACACAAAAGAAGAGAAAACAAAACAAGGGATGGAAATCCTTCAGATGCTTGAAAAGGAGTTTTACCACCTGCAGTCTCTCTGTGAGAGAAAATGTGAGCATTTAAACTACGAAGAAGCATTACAGGCAATGGAGGATCTTTGTATTGAAGAAGGTAAGAAGAGGGAAAGTGTCACAGAGTTTGCCCACCGAAGCTTTGAGTCCATTCTAAAGAAGAGGAGAGAAGAGCTTCTCGGGAGAGAGAATGATGTGATGTTCCTCGGCAGTAGGATTGAATTAGATGCCATATCAAATGTGTTAAAAGAATCTGAAGCTCTAAATATTAATCAGTTTGGATATGAGGAAACTTATGGTGGTGTGACTTCTCAGTTATGTGACTTGGAACCTGGGGAAGATGATGATCGGAGAGCCAAAGATTATGTACATCAGGTGGACACATGTGTACAAGTTGCAATTCAGAGACGGAAAGAACAATTATATGTGGAGGTCAGTTGATAGATTCTCAGTTGGCTTACCTTTTAATTAAAATAATGATATTGATCGTTGCCATTTTACCTCAGCTGTTTTTTCATGCAGCTTAGCAAAATAGATGCACGGATTATGCAAAATGTTACTGGAATGCAGCAAATGGAAGTTAAGCTTGAACCTATTTCTGCCCATGATTATCGGTCGATACTGTTGCCTCTAGTGAAGTCATACCTGCGGGTATGTATTAAACAAATTTAATCTTTGTGCCATGTTTAAAGCTTCTGAGTTTAACAGTATGTATTCTTGTGTCTATATCTATAGGCACATTTGGAGGATCTGGCTGAGAAAGATGCCACAGAAAAGTCTGATGTTGCAAGGGAAGCATTTTTGGCAGAACTTGCACTTGATTCTAAGAAAGGTATCAGAGGAGTAAACGATAATTTGAGACATTCACAGGAAAAAACAAAGGATAAGAAGAAGAACAAGGAGTTTAGAAAAGCAAAAGATTCAAAGGTTTTAATCGTGTTTTCTGGTTGTTATTTTCTTTGTGGTGTTCAATATGTATGTTACAATTCCACGACGACATCGTTATATACGATTTTTTTTTCTTACTTCTGTAGGGTAGTGGGGTTTCGGACGAGTACTATCATCATGATGAGACTTCTGAGCTGTATGTCTCCTTGCTCCTAACATGCACAGTCGTATTGAGTACTGGTTTGGTACTGAGGTGCTTTTATAAAAAAAAGTTGAGCTCAAAATTGTGTTTGGTAAACACTTAAAAACAGCTTATTTTCACAGTTTTGGGTGAAAAAAAGCTGAAAACGTGAAGTAGCAAAAATGAGCTTATTCTCACAGCACAGCAGAAGCAGTTTTTTTTTCAAAGCACAACAATACCAAACCACCTCATAATGTTATCCTTCCTTTATAATTGCTGGGTACTGGCTATAGTTTATTTTTTATGTATATTTGATGTGTCTCTTGCTGCAGTTCCTTTCCAGGGGCATCTGGTAGTGAATTTCCAGATTCTGAGCTGGTGATTTCTTTGAATGGCGATGACTTCAAACAGCTGGAAGAGGAATGCAAACGGAGAATTGAACTTGAAGAAGAGGAAAGAAAGCTGGAAGAAACGTTAAAGTTTCAAAGACAAATTGAAAAGGAAGCTAAGCAGAAGCACCTTGCTGAGCAAAATAAGAAATCTACTCAATTGCAAGCAGAGAAGGTGGTGGAGGGACCGCTTGATGTTAACTTGGAGCCTTGTGCTAATGGTCAAGATGTTAATGAGCCATTCAAGCCTTCTGTCCAGGTAATCATTGTTAGGCTGTGCCCTTCTTGTATCTGTTTCCTTCTTTCTAGGTTAAATTTAATAAATAATTGGTATATTTAACTGAATGCTAAAGATATTTGAAGAGGAATACTGTCTAAATTAGAGGATATTTAGAGAAAGTAGGAAAACTAATGAAAGTGTTTTCTAGGAGCAGTTGGCACAGAAGATTGGATTCCCCAACAATTTAGAAGGCGTGCCTGTTAACCTGGCAAATGGTTCTGCAGTGCCAGTCAATTCTCCTACTGTTTCTGGTGCTCATCAAGCTAAAGTTAACCAAGGTTGGTGTAGGATTTCGTTGTATGAGGTTAGGGTTAATTTAATAATAGGAGATGTTCTCATTGTGTATCTTCTTGAGCAGGCTTGCCAAATGGAGGAATTCTAGAAGATGATGGTTATTTGCCTTCTGATCGACGGACAGGAAGGAAAAACCGAAGACAGAGGAGTTCCACAAAAGTGCTTGATGGAAAGTCTCGAGGCTTGTCATCTGGAAAGGAAAATGTTGAAGTTGGGAGGTCAAGTGTGGAGGGTTCACATGACAATCTTCTTACCAACAACAGTAAGTTTACATATCCTTCATGGTTTCCACTCTAGTTTCGATGATTGATTATTTTGACAGTACGTTGAACAATGTCAACATTAGTTGCCCTGTCATTGTTTGCTTGTTGACTAACCAATTTTGTCCTTTTGCGTATTCTCATTTTATAGTTAAGGGAAAATGTTTACCTAAGATTGTTGGTAATATCTTTATAAAAAGATATTTCTTTTGTAGTATGAATTTCTATTTGGTAACCTCATCTCTACTTGCTCATCCAAAATGTTTTCTAGTAGTTTATAATAAAATTAGAATTTTATATGCTTAGTGATTCGTCCTATGGTCTCATTAGCATGAAGTTTATGTCCTTTCATTTGAGCACACTGTTTTTACTGCTCTGCAAATATGACCAAAGATCATCTATCCTTTTTTTTTTGGGGAAATTTGGCGTTAATATGAGCATGAGTTTTGTTAAGTGAAAACCGGTTATACTGTTTTGGCAGACAATGGAACAAGGGAATTGAGACAGCAACGAGCAGAGGAAGATGATGAAGAAAGGTTCCAAGCTGACCTTAAAAAGGCCGTACGCCAAAGCCTAGGTAAAATTATTCTCTTATTTATGTGATCTCTTTGTTATGTTACTTATTCTTTACATGTATAAACCTCTGACCATGGTTGTCACAATGGTACCCCTCTATAATAAAGAGGTCTAGGATCAACCCATGGTAGGGCTGAGGTATGTGGGGAAGAAATTCCGCCTCCATGTTTGTAGTTAACTGATGATGATTTCCATATTTGTTTGACTAGTCTGTCGGATGGTCTACAATGAACTAGATAAGATAAGTAGTCTCAGATTTGTTCATGTTAGAGTACAACTGTAAGTGAGTCAGATCAGTAACCTTGACTTGTTAGGAAAATCGAAAAGCTATCATCTCTGGTAGATTTTGCACCAGTTTTAGTTGTTGTCATCAGGAAAAAGCATTAAGTAGGTATTGAGAGCATTTCTTCGTCTTGAAATATAATTCTGTGCAATAATCTGGTTCGGAATCATGCATGAATAACAAAAGATATACAGACAGCAAGTATGTGATCCAAGTATGATTAATAGAGGGCTTAATGATAAATTGAGGGCTTGTGGAGAGTGTATAATGCAGTCTAAAAATACGCTAAACCTTGTCAAGTTGTGCTACTACTAGCCGTCTCACTGATGCATTTTTGCCATCAGGTGAGGCTCTGAGCACTTACCATATAGTATGATATTTTGTGCAACTGTCTGACCTTTTTTATTCATGCTATTTCGCAGACACATTCCAAGAACGTCAGAAGTTTCCTGTAGTTTCAAAATTGAGGATGGCCAGAAGAATATCCCCGGATGTAGATAATGGTGTTTTACACAATGACTTCGCAAATGAAAATGTGAATGAAACCGATATATTTGGCACAGGGTTAAAGAATGAAGTTGGTGAATACAACTGCTTTCTGAATGTTATCATACAGGTCTGTGAGTGCTTGTCAAATTTATGTTCTTAGTTCATTTTTCCTGAGCATCTTATTGATAGTGAAACGTTGCTTTTTAATTTTGTCATTACAGTCTTTATGGCATATTAGACTGTTTCGAGATGAGTTCCTTCGGAGATCAACATCAGAGCATGTTCATGTGGGGAGTCCTTGTGTTGTCTGTGCATTGTATGAAATCTTTACTGCTTTGAGCAATGCATCTGCAGATACTCGTAGAGAAGCAGTTGCCCCTACTTCTTTGAGAATAGCTTTAAGCAACCTGTATCCAGAAAGTAATTTCTTCCAGGAGGTATATTTAGAGAATTTGATTGTATCCCTTGCCTCTCGTACAACTCTACAATTATTCTGAAGTCATAATTGGCTCATATGTCATGAATTTATCTTCATTTTTGGAAGCTGGTACTAACATTTTAGCAACCGTACAGGCTCAGATGAATGATGCTTCTGAAGTTTTGGTGGTCATATTTGATTGTCTTCACCGGTCATTTACTCCTGGTTCAAGTGTTTCTGATGCTGAATCAGTGGAAAGCAGTTGTCCAGGGTCTTGGGATTGTTCAAACAATGCTTGTATAGTGCATTCCATCTTTGGCATGGACATTTTCGAACGAATGAATTGCTACAATTGTGGTTTGGAGTCCAGACATCTCAAGTATACTTCCTTCTTCCATAACATAAATGCCAGTGCTCTACGAACAATGAAGGTATCAGTTAACAGCTTTTATGATTGTTTATTTTCTTGATGGTTGAAATTTTTAGTCTAAGCAACTTGTTACTGTTTCGGCATCGTAACTGATTGCACCTATCTCTTTTTATCTTTCTTTGCTATTCAGGTTATGTGTGCAGAAAGCTCCTATGACGAGCTTCTAAATCATGTGGAGATGAATCACCAGTTAGCCTGTGATTCTGAAGCTGGTGGCTGCGGGAAGCTCAACCATATCCATCACATTCTTTCAACCCCACCACATGTTTTCACAACAGGTGACTAGAAGACTTATCATGAGAATATTCATTGCTCACTTATGTTTGTAAAGAGGGGAACTGGCTTACCCTGAAAACTCATCAACATTTTTGTTTCGTCATGCAGTTTTGGGCTGGCAGAAGACATGCGAGAGTGCTGATGACATCAAAGCAACATTGTCAGCTCTTAATACTGAGATAGATATCAGCGTCCTTTATCGTGGCCTGGATCCAAAGACCACTCACAACTTGGTTTCTGTGGTATGCATATTTGGATAACCCTCAATGTTGTTGTCATGCATATAGTAGCGTTCTGTTTTCCCAAAATGCAACCTTCATTGCGTATTTTTCCTCTGGTTGTGAAATGACAACGGCTTACACTTCTTATCCATAAACTTGGATTCCTCTGGCCTTTTTATTTTTAATATATCCAATTTCTTTTGTTTAATTGGAAACTGGCTCCTATGTTATTGGTGCATAACTTTTGAATCTCAACAAGAATTTATAGATATCGCTCTCTTGTTTTATCTCATATCTACGATTTACTTTTAGGTTTGCTACTATGGACAACATTACCATTGCTTTGCCTATAGTCATGACCGTGGATGCTGGATTATGTACGATGATAAAACTGTCAAGGTAAAGTCGGTTATTCTAGTGTAAATCATGCCTTATTTTGCTCTTCTTGCCGCCTTCGTTATAATCTGTATCTGATGTGTCTACAGGTGATTGGTGGCTGGGCTGATGTTCTTACCATGTGTGAAAGAGGGCATTTGCAACCACAAGTTCTTTTCTTTGAAGCTGTAAACTAGGCTTTTTTCTGGAATTCATTACGTTTTCAGACTTCGCAAGAGAGCATTGGTGTTGTAACATCCCTTCGTCGTCTACTAGGAGGAATTGTTCATAGCAACCGCATTCCATCCTTCCAGTTAGACGGTAAAGTATGCAACGTCAGTTTCAGAAAAAAAAAGGATATAAATGTTCCGGTCGAAGTCCAGAGTTATGATATAGAATCAACAGTTTTGTGATATTATCAAGAATTTTTGTGGGAGCAGCTGGTCCTTGACGAAGAACCGTGTATCTAAAGAGTTTCACCATCGAAGAGCCGAAAAGTCTTAAACTTGTGGTACGTTTACCTTCGAATAGTCTTCTGCACAATCAGGTAACTGTCCTGCAACTTTCCTTTAAGGTTGGACTCTTCGACGAAGAAGGCAGCAACAACTACAACGGCCTGTCTGGGCGTATGTATGCGAACTTACAGCCTCTCTGGGCGTATATATGCGTATTTACGGCTTGTCTGGGCGTATTTATGCGAATTTAAGGAGCGTACTATATGCCGTTTCGATAAGTGGCATTGATTACCAGTTGGTTCTCAGAGGATGTAACAGTTGTAACTGGGGAATATAGGTTTGAGAAAATTAAAGTGTTTGCTTGAGACGCTTTTAAATTTTTATATAAAATTTTCCCCAAGTTTTGAAAAGGTTTTTGTATAGATCACTTTATGGCCCTTCCCCTTTTGGGTCTTTGGAACTGCGGATTACAGTAAATTTGTTGCTTCATTTTGATACTACAATTAGGTTAAAAATGAAGATCTATTGCCCTTTCTCCTCTTCTTAACTTTGTTTTTACGAGAACTACAATCTAGCGGTATTCCTTCTCTTGTAGAGGAGGTCTAAGTTCTGACTCTTGGGGAAGATATGTTATCCCCATAGTAAAACAACCCTTCTGCTCGGCATTGTTAGGTCACTAAGGCCGACTTTCTCTAATTTGGGAAAGTGGACTCGTGATGTCTCTTTAAATCTTACAAAAGCGAATGACACCCTGGCATACATTCGACTAGAGACTTGTCTAACTGCTAGTCATAGTTCGGTTTCCTCCAATGTAATTTAAATTTGTCTACATAATATGACAAACAAGATAAAAGTTTAATAATTTTGGCATGTGTTGCACATATCAATAGAGTCATGACTTCACCACAGTGACCTCAAAAATTCAAAAGAAATCAAATTTAGAAACTAGAAGTTGGGATTTGCCACGTCATTCAGGGAGGGGGTCAGTGTGAAGTGGCTACGACTATTTAAAAAAAAAAGAAAAAAAAAAGTGTCCCTAAAGTTTAGGACTTTTTCTCTTACAAAATTCCAACATTTGTCCCCAACGGTCTTCACAGTCCCCCGCCAATTTCGCTTCCCCTCTTCAATCTTTTCTTTTACTCAGTCTCTCCCTGCTTCCAGTAAATCCGCACATTTCCAGACCTTTTCAGATCCCAAAAAATGTTCCCCATATCACCACTTCCATTTCTCCTCCCCCTCCTCCTCCTCCAACTCACCGCCACTCTCCTCCTCCTCCTCCTCCTCATCCTCTTCAATCTCAACCACTGCATCACCCTCCTCTCCAACTGCTTTCGAGGTTTTTCGCCTTCCCGGCTCTCTGATTGGTTCCAATCTCATTTTGGTATCCAAAAAATGACCCTGAAGGGCACCACCAGCCAGGCCTGCGCCGCGTGCAAGTACCAGCGAAGGAAGTGCAGGGCGGAGTGCCCCTTGGCTCCCTATTTCCCGCCGGACCAACCCAAAATGTTCCAAAACGCACACAAGCTTTTCGGAGTCAGCAACATTTTGAAAATACTTAAAAATCTCGAACCTCGCCAGAAGCTGGAGGCCATGAGGTCCATCATATACCAAGCTAACGTGCGCGACAAGTTTCCGGTCTACGGGTGCTGGGAGGTGATCTGGCAGCTCCAGTACCAAATCCTTGTGGCGGAGGAAGAGCTCCAAGCTGTTCATCAACAGCTGGCAATGTACAGACAGCACCACCAGCAACAGCACCAGATTTCGTCCATGCCGGAATACGTGACGTCACAGTTAGAGCTAGGGATGGCTCCGCCCAACAATCCCCTCCCACTTTTCATTCACAATCCTCCCCCTTATAATCATAATAATAACAACAATGCCACCGCGGTGGCTCCAGTAAATCAATACCAACAGCAATCTTACTCTAACAGCAGTGATGCTGCTTACAGCTCTGCTGCTTATAATATTGACTCCAAAGACATCATCAACACCAACACCAATAACAATAATAATGATGCTGGAAATCCGATGTGGACTTCGAATCCTTTTATGACTAACAACAGCAACAACAACAATAATAATTCTGAGGCGATTCAATCGGAACTCGGAGTTCTTCAGCCGCTCTCTATCCAACCTGAAGTTGTTCAAGATTATGATGAGTTGCATCCGTTCTTTGACACCATCGATGATAGACAGTCATACATTGATTCCAAAGAGGCTTATGATTCAAGGTACATTTTTTTTTATCACTTTGGTTATGTATTTGTTCAAATTTTTATCTTTACGATTCAAAGAGATGCAGTGCTGAATCTAAGTGGATATGCAACTGTAATTCACTAAATGATGAGAATTTACTTGCAGCTCGGAAGAATCGTTCAAGGACACAACACGATCCATGGAGCATGCAGAGAATGCATTGAAGAATGCTGCAGCATGCTTTAGTCTAACCAGTGTCAACTGATGATCAGTAAGCATAAACTAGATAAAGCAGTGTGGTTGTTGTTCTTCTATTATTCGTTTAATTTCTTTCTGTTACGAATTTGATTATTCACACGAGAAACCAACAATTTTGTTTTCTTCTTTTTGTTTTTGTTAATAAAAACCAACAATACGGAGCTCCTTACTTCTTTTAACTTCAATGTTCTACACCTGAGTTTATGACTGACAATTTGTTTACTCGAATAAATATTTTACTTAGTTTTTCAACTCTTACTAGCTATAGCGTAATATATATCTGATAACAAGGCAAATTCTAATTGGAAATTTTATGAAATTCCTCAAAATGGGGAAACTTAATAGATATTCATAACTAGTGAGATTTATATACTAGTACGAGCTTTTATTTACATATAAAATAGCTTTGAAACAGTCATGGTACCGTTTGGAATTGCGTCATAGAAGTCTCCGCAATAGGGGCACTTGTGGTAAAGCCAGTGAAAGGGAGCAGTTCCGTTTGGAATTGCATCATAGAACCCTGGTGTTGTATGAACCACAATTGGGGCACTTGTGGTAAAGCCAGTGAAAGGGAGCAGTTCCGTTTGGAATTGCGTCATAGAAGCCTGGTGTTGTATGAACCACAATAGGGGCACTTGTGGTAAAGCCAGTGAAAGGGAGCAGTTCCTCTCTTCTCACAGTCATTGCAGAGTATGACCTGCAATTTGTTTAGCAGATCAATGCACATCTAGGTTTGGATGCAATTAGAAGCTAATTAGTATGACAAGAAAAATAGGATGACAAACCTGAGTTTGGCCAGCGTACTCGTCTGGAGTTTCCTGTTTAGCCAAAAATGCATCCAACATTTTAAAATACACCTGCAAGACAATCATATGGTTCGAGGGCCACAAGACATCACACAACTCAGTTGGATACAATTCAAAGCTTAAGCTCAAGACAAACTCGAGTTACGTCTGCATAGAATTCACATGGTTAAAGTTTCTTCAAATCATAAAGAACAATCACAAAGATTGGTGAAAATTCTAACATCTTCCTCCACATATTTTGTAGACCAGTGTTTTAGTTTCCTAAGTTTATATCTTTTTCTAATAGTGCATTTGGATGGGGGACTTTAAAGTTTCAAAGAACCTTTGGTAGAATTGTCATGTTTGCACTGCAAAAATCAAATAGAGGGACTTGAAATGGCTAGATGAAATACATTTGAGGGAACTTTGAAAGGTGTTATTTTGAAAGTCCTTTGTTTAGCGTCTTTGTAGTGCATTTGTAGTGTACTAGTAGTAATTTTGTAGTGCCGAAGTAGTTCATTGGCACTGTTTTTGTAGTGCGTGTTTACAATTGAGTCTAAAATTCCTTGGTGCTTGGAAGTCCCTCATCCAATCATAGTACGCAGGAATAAATTGCAGCAAAATAAATTCCATATTGTCAGCTCACCACTTCAATCCTAACAATTTATAAGCAAGGAAACTGCAAAAGACTATATAAGGTATTTCGTAACTGACCTGCATGTCCCCGAGTGACTTGCCACAGATTGGGCAGGTATAATTCGTAAAGGTGTAGGCCTAGGAGCAGGAATAGATGTACCATTTAAGAAGTCTGCAAAACCTCTAGGGAGAAAAGCAAGAAATTATGAAAGGGAAATACCTCAAAACATGTTGAGTGCATCAAATGACCGCATGGAAGGGACTTCACTGGAGAATTTGAGGTGAAGATGTCTTCATTGCAAATAGGGCAGTTATCCATGAAGCATTTCTCTCTGCATGTGTGCTTCAATAGAGAACGGGACATGCAGGCATTACACGTCATGCAATGGAAGTAGTCAATACCCAATCCCTTTCCAACTCGGCACAAGTTACAGTAAGGACAATGGTAGATGACCCTGTTAAACAGCTTCTTCATGAGAACCATTAAAAATCTGGAACCGGTAAGTTTAAATTAAGATAGCCAATTGGCATGGGAAGGTAGCATAATTTTATATACTGAATGCTTAAATCCCTTAAGGTTGTCATTGTGGTGACTAGTCCATAGATAGAACAAAATCGCCTAATGAGGTACTGAGATTATAGACTATCCTAGCATACAATTCAGCATAGTACCATCTATGGTTCAACTTAAAGTCACCCAGTCAACAAGTTATATATAACCTTATGAGAAAAGAGCTACAATAAAGTAGGCCAATCAGGATAATCACCGTTCGTTATCAAATATTTTGCAGATCCTGCAAAAGTATTTTGCCATGGAAAAGTTACTGCAGGATGCAGTTGAGCATGTGGGCCCAACTGTCTGCATCTTCAAGCATTTCATGCACATCATCTCTGTTATAGATTTCCTGCATAAGCAGAAAAAACATTAAACGAGAACGAAAACTATAAAATTAATAATCATAGGCACTGTATAACTCATAATGTTTATACCTATCTATCTCATGATCAGCCATCTCATCATGGCAGCGTATGCAAGTGTAAAGTTGGTTGCAACAGGCAGCAAAAAGCTTACAGTTCCTCTTATAGTGTTTACAACCATAGGTTACTCCAAGAGGGTCATGATAGGATGGATGCTGACCAGGAAATTCTTTCCCATTACTTGCAACTGTTAATTCAGAGTTCTGTCTGGCTATCCAACGGCTGATACAGTATAAATATTGAAAGTTTGTCATTTAGTTTACGTCACATTTCATGGGAATGTAGCAGACAGAGAGACATATTACAAAGTAAGAAAAAGCACTAACAAGTCTTAGCAACTTTAGTGACATCAAATAAGCTACTTTTGTCTAGGGAAGCACACAGTATATATTATCTGGTCATCAGGACCATCAATAAGATTATAGAAAATTTTCAATTAGCGTTAGTGTTTGTTGTTAAGTTGAGCTGCATACACATTCTTATTATCTCATTTCCTAACAGCTTAAGTTTTGGGATTAACAATACATTAACATAGTATCAGTTTTTGTTTGATCTTGTGTTAGAATCTTGTTGAACCCTGTTTCTGGTAATTTTTGTGATCATGTGTGCGGTCTAACTTAAATAAGTTGTATTGTAGGCCGTCATCTAAAGGGGTGTGTGCATGTGTGTGTACGCATATGCGTATTGTTGATTTAACTTGATATTTGGACACCCTTCCTAACATCTTAAGTTCTTGTTAATTAGGATCGATGGTAACTTAACAAATAGGAGAAATCAAGTAGCATGACACTCTTGCTTCAACAAATAGGAGAAACCTAGTAGCCATAGAGGATTTGGCTCTTACAGTAGCAATAGAACACATTGGTAATTGATGATACTCAAATACCTTGTACACATACCAAGATATTTTTGCCTCTTATAAGGAATACCCATGTCGATGGTGTACTCAGTTTACTCTGACATGTATAAATTGGAATTCTATGTTCCTCCTAAACAAGGACAGAAAACAATAACAGAACGAAAATTAGGACAGAAATTGACCAACCTCATTATCAGGTTCTGGATCATATGTGGTTTCTTCTGAGGATCCAAGGAAGAGTCACGGGAGATTTTTATTACTGCAGCCTGCATATCCTCTTGACTAAGTGTCAGCAGGCACTCACAGTACTTGGATTTCTGGCTTCTTTGCAAAAGGTGACCTAGATCATCAATTTGATTTGTGGCATTTTCAACTTCTTGTAACTTCTTCTTGTTACCTTCATCACAAAGTCTTGTACATTCTGTATCAGTGGAAATACATTGGTCACCTCCAGGACCTTTTGGCTTATAACCCACCTCACTATTTTCCGATGGCTTGGTATTAGCACTATGGGAATCTTTTTCTGGAAAATTGATACTTTTGTTACAGCATCTTCCTTCTTGTTCACTCGATCCACACAGATAGGCAGAGACAACCTCCAATGGATCTTCAGTCCATGAAGGAGGTACAATGGACTCCTCTACCAACTTAGCTGTCTCATATCCCTCCCACCATTCTCTCAACCACTCATCAAACATCGTGTTTCGTGTGACCTGGCGCCATAGAGTAATCATGACTTGCTGTTCTTCTTGTGTCAAAGCGTCCATTAGCCAAGGTAACATATCTTGCAATATTTTTGCTTCTGTTCTACCAAGTATGCATCCTACAATCCTTTCTTGCTCTTCAATGGAGAAGCATTCTTTAAACAAGGGCCAGAGCTCAAGTTCTTCACGATGAACATGTTCAGTCAGTAACTTGCAGGTTGATGTGCACATGTCATGAAGCCTCCTGCACAGCTGATGGTGCTTCTGCATTTTATTATCCACTGCATTTGAATCGACTTCAGAAGCTGAAACATGCAATATAGACATCTCATCCAGAACGAGGGATATCTTGTGAAAGAGTTCAACTTCTAATTTGTGGTCTATCGTGTAAGAGTGGCTAATGTTTTGCAGTTTTCCTTTGGTCTCTAAAGCTGGAAAGGCAACTTCTTCCTCTGCTTCACTATGTATTTGATTTAGAAACTGTATAAGTTGGAATCGCCGGCAAAACTCTGAGAGAAAATCAGCATTGTCAGCCAACTGAGCTGAGCCAAATACAAGGTATTCCAAATCTTTCTTGAGAGCCTTGTGGAAGAAAAATATGAGATCTATTGGTTTTGGTTCATGAAGAGCATAACCAGGATGGTTCTCTCCACTAAGACTTTCAGGAAAGAGATATGAAGTTTTCACTGTTCCAGTGAAATATAAGTGAAGTTTGTTTCTGCTGGAATATGACGTCCTATAATTCCTGGCAGAGTCAGAGGCACAAGATGAAGAGTATGACAGAGATTTCTTGCCCTTATCCAAAGAGATTGGCTCCATTAGCTTAGTGTTTGATGCCTCAATAGGTTTCATATTGGAACTTAAGGAGGAAGATCCACTAGTATTATAGAATTGCTTTAAGGAAGTGCATCTGCTCTTGAATATTTGCTGCAACTCCTCACGAAACTTTTCAACAGAGGTCTTACCTGAATGACCAATGCGGAACCACTCATGTAAGAGGGATGCAAATGATTTATTGACTAAAGAATCTCCCTCCTTCAAGTTGCTAAGGATGGACCTGGATTCGTCCTCAGATAAGCAAGCCGAAAACCAAGTAGTCATGCACTTTAGCAACCCAAGTGGCAGAATATGAAGGCTTGCATACAAGAGTTGCAGCTGCATATCATGACCGCAATTCTTCCTTACAATGGGAACTACCTGGTAAAAACTGTAGGTGTTAATTTGCAATCAATATAGAAAATATTTTCTTAATGATTATTTAGTAGCATATTGCCCCACAAAGAATTCTCTAAGTTTTTCATCGAGAGTAGAGTTAAACTAGATGCCCTATAACATCAGAAAGAAAGCCTGGTGCGCTGATATTTCGATTTATAATAATCTTCAACAAACATAGAGTACCTTGGTTTCTTGGAAAGCAAAGTACTTGTTAATTCCCACCAGAAAAGACTCCAGTTCCCAGCAAAGCTTCTCAACAAATTTGCTCAAAGGTGTTCCATCTTGAGGCTCATAGTATAGCAACCTCTGCAAACCTTCAACGTGGCTTTCATTTGGAAATTGTTCACTGTAGGGGTAAAGGCAGCCGTTGAAAAGTTCATTCAACACAGGATGATATAACTTCTCCAATGCACTGCTGCAAGTCAGAAAATATTCGCTGAAGAATTAATTAACTGAACAGAAAAAAGATAAGCACGTACGGACGTCAACAACCACATTGATTACCTGTAGAAATTAAGGACATCTACAAAGAATTTTAGCTGGACAACTACTGAATCAAGATTCAAAAAACTGCTTGCGCTTCTTAGTTGATATAGCTCCTCCAGAATTGTCTTCAAATCTTTCCTAATGACTCCATGCCAAAAAGGAAGGCCATCAACCGGATTGTATCCAATATCAGAGTGAATGCAATCTGCCTTAATGTGTCTTTTATATTCTTCTAAAAACCTTTTGGGCGAATGAGACTTCAGTAACCTTTTCATGTCTGCATATTCGCCGGCTTGTTGAGCTCCTCTAGAATTCTTGGTGGCCCCAAAGGAGGATTGTTCATTGCTAGCAAGCCAAGAATTTACCACCTTCACAAATATTTAAACTAGTAACTACCAAGAAGTTCATTCATACTAGGGTAATACCATCGGTCAGGATCTACCTCTTCAAGTGATTTTTCGTCAGGTACAATTGCTTTTATGCAATGTCTAACTTCCTCTTGTTCATCAGGTGGAAGAAAGGAGATCGTCCACGGAAGTAGATCCTCAAGCAGCAATAAAGGAACGCTGCACATGAACTGCCACACAAGTGCAGCCTGTTCTTCACGACAGAACTGCTGCAGGATCAAGGGAAAAACCTGCAACACACACACACAAAAAATTCGGTAATGCAAAGCAATACAATCAAATATTTACTCAAACTACATTGTTGCAAATAACATTTCGAATCTGCTTCAATAAAGATTTCGGCTAGTACCTGCTGTTCTTCTTTCAGCATATGCTGGGAAACGAATTCCTTCAGCGTCCCAATGCCAAACACAAGTTCTTGAAATTGCTTGGAAAATTTCTCATTCTCGTTTTCCTCTAATAAAACATCCAAGCGATTGAAAATTGAGTCGAAGAGACCGTCTATACTCATATGTTCTAGTGAATATGTACTAGCTACATTTTTTGTTCGCCCATCTAACGCTAAAAAAATTACCTGCCAACGAAATTAAAAATTAAAGATGCAAATTCCATTGAAAAGTTAATGCAGCTTCTCACATTTTAACTAATCAAATTTTGACAAAGTTTTCATCTTTAAAACAATTTGCTCAAGCAGTTAACTAATCAAATTATGCAATTCTAATTTCTAATTAGAACAATTAGCTAATTCGGAACTAAAGAATTCAGCTTTAAAGAATTTGATTCAGTTAATTAGTTAAATTACGAAAAATTAGGAACTGTTAATCAATTCGGAAACTTTGAGCTGACCTCGTCCTCTGCAGAGCAGTGGGACTCATACGCGAGCTTGAGGAACTCAAACCGCCGCAGAAGCAGGAGAACGAAGTCGCGGTCTAGGAGGTCACGTGAGCCACTCTCCAAGGCGGCGGTGGTCACGAGGCGGAGATCGAGGAGCTCGGCCTGCAGCGCCTTGTGGAAGCAGACGAGCAGGAGGATCGGCGTCTGAGCGAGCGGGACACGTGTCGCGGATGCGGAGGACTCCGGCTGGGCATCGTTTTGCGAAGGGAGGAGGAGGCATTGGGGAGAATCGTCGTCGCCGCCCATCCACCGTCAGACGACGACGTCGTTCAAGAACCATGAAGGTTGAGAGAGAGAAAGGGAAGTTCGGCATTGCGAAGGCCTTGGGATTTTAAACACTCTGGTTTTGAAGGCTCCCACAAGACTCCTTCCTCTCTCTCTCCTCCCTCTCTCTCCTCTCTCTCTCTCCGTTCCCCAGCCATCACACAGACATTCAAATTTTTTTTTTTTTTTTAATTTAAATTTTTGTGAATTTTTTATTTAGTACTTGTCTGCACGGCCGGTGATTGCGACGTCGTACTGAACGCCCAACGCCGGATAGTATACCAACCACAAGCGCGCCAACTGGAGACTGGAAAACACGCGGGAAAAAAAGTTGTGGGCCTTTTTATCATTCTATCCAACCACTTGTATGTTGTATTATAACTCCGTTGTAACGAATCGTGTTTCCAGTACACTCAAAATTTTCTCTTATGATTAGAGACATTGTTGTTTTGCTATCTTGCTCGGGTTTGGCTTATCAAATACTTGAATTTGGCTTTAATGATACGTATGCTTAATTGATTTGTGATGTCGTTGGTACTTAACTGCTTTGTAACGCTATTGTTGATCCTAAAGACTACCAAACCTACGTGGTGCGCATGCCGAGTAACTAATGAGCTAACTATGTTCTTCGGTTGATGCAAGGCGTGCTAACTCGTCGACCGAGCTCTGCTGAGGAGTAAAATGTGGTTAATGTTACGTTGAGCGCGTGGCTGACTTCTCGATCTTGCGACTGCGGTCGAGGAAGGAACACGTCTCGGCCTTTGGGTTCTACAACCTGAAGACAAGGCTGCTAATTTTGCGAAGTTTACAAATCGTCGGCGCCCAATTCGGTCATAATGATTATATTCGTAAGGGTATAAGCATACCGAATCGACACCAAAGTATATGGGCATAAATACTCAAAACAGATATATGTCTTGATGGTAAATGTGGTTCAGCCGTCAGAATGCCGAACTCTAAAGCTTACTTGTGAGTATCCAATCATAAAATAACTCGACGTTCAATTTGCCAAGCCCTAGTAAACTGTAACACCTCACCTCGCTGAAATGGCTAATGAGATGACCTCTGCCAATAAAGACCCGAAAGTCTTTCTCGACCGAGATTTAGATAGATAACCAGTCGGCCTCAACGCAGTGCTGTTTATCTACACTGAAGGTGTTCCACGGTCGGCTGATTCTACGGCGATAATGTTATTTATCCAGACTGAAGGTATCACCGATTACCTTCACAGTGCTGTTTATCCAAACTGAAGATGTGTCGGTTGAAAAGGAAAATAAAAATCTCAAGGTTGTTGAGAGGTTTCGCTAAAGCGAAGGTTTGCGCAGGGCAGTTTGTGTGTTGAATTGGAGGAGCCTTAATGGTGTCATCATCCCTCTATTTATAATAGTCATCTTACTTCCAATCGAATCATAACCATACTCGGATTATAACTCATTCCCCCGATCCAACCTTATCTCGGCCAGTCCTACTCCTACTAGGACTTTGAACCCAACCCCCTTATCAGGCCGCATTCAATCCCAAACTTCAACATCCTTATCCTGTCGAAACTCCTTCTCATATCAGAATTCAACCACCCATGGATTCCTAATAGGACACGGTCGGCCTTGGCTACGTGGCCCATAAACCAGATGACCCCCAACGACTCCTAAGTACGGCCTCTGGGCTGAGAACAACTCTAAACTTGGCCCAAACAACTATACAAAAGCATCAATTATATGTTTAATAAAACAATAATGTAAAATGAGAGAGTGAATGTGCAAAAATCACTTATCTATTTTAATTAAATAACATATTGCTACGTATAAACGTTAAACACATGACATACGTGATTGACAACATTGCCGATACTATGTATAAAAGTCGAATTCTTGATAATGTATGAGAATTTTTTGCTACAAAATATTAGATATTTTGCAAAGTTTTTAACCGTTTAGATCTTTAGTCAACAACACAAAAATCAAAATTTAAGAGTTAAAAACTCAAAATATTTTATACTTCTGAACACCATAATTTTTTTATAGTTTATAATTAGACAATAGCATCTTGACGCTATTATCTCAACTACCATACTCTAGTACTGGCGTTGGCGAATGACACAATGATAATAAAAAGAAAGTTGAAATGACTTTATAACTCTTTCCTGCTCCAGAAAAGTAGATTACCGTGATGAAGACATCAACGGGTGATTTTATTAATTGAAAAATATACAAGTTTTTATTTGTCTCCATTTTTGTGTACATGTTTCCAGTTACAAGAGTCCAAAGTGGGTGGCTTTGACAACCTCACCCTCCAACTGCTTAATCCTGCCCTCCAATTGTTTAATCCTTCCCGCCAATTGTTTAATCGTAATTAGATCAGTTTAACCTTGTTTAATAACGTTGAACTTTGGCCGATAAAAAACAGCCTAAAACTAAATCACCAAGTAATGCGTCGGTTTTGGGTGGGCCGAACGGCCTTCTTCACGCCGTCCTGCTTCTGGCTCCTTCTTCTTGTGGAGTTAAGCGCTGCGTTTCGGTGCGGGGATTGTCGTCACGTGCGGCAGGTCAACCGTCGAAGTTCCTAATCCTTTTGTCCAGATGTGCACGTGCGTCAAATCCTCCGGCGTGTGGCTTCCATGTGTCTGCACGTTCCCGCCTCAGCTTTTGGCGCCACGGCGACCCCGACTTTTCTCAATGTTGAAAAGCTAGAGTACAAGAGTAAATTATAACAATAGTCTCTCAATTTTAATCAAATTGAAGTAATGATCTTGCAATTAAAAATTCATTACCATTAGTCTTTCAACTCATCAAAATGTGTAAGTATGGTTATTTTCGTCAACTTCGTCAAAATTTTGTCAAAATAAATTATGTTGGAAAGGCCATTGTTACAATTGGGGTTCCTTAACTCATCAAAACGTGTAGATACGGTCATTTTCGTCAATTTCGTTAGAATTTTGTCAAAATGAGTTATGTTGGAATGATCATTGCTATAATTTGGTTAAAGTTGATGAACAATTGCTCCAATTTGGTTAAAGTTGATGGATCAGTTATCCAGTTTGATTAAAGTTTAGGGACCAATGGTAATGAATTTTTAGTTAAGGGACTATAGATTCACGTTTTGATGAGTTGATAGACCAATGGTAATTGATTTTTAATCGAGGGACCATTGCTTCAATTAAGTTAAAGTTAAATGATCATTGCTGTAATTTACTGAAAGTACAAATTCATGAATTAACATCAATAATCATGGTTAAAATGAATAATTAGTAATCGTAACAACACAAAAGGATGAAAGGATGGTCACAAATGTTGTGGCAGATTCAATCATCTAAGTAATATTATGGGGGGTTTATAAGAAGCATAATGTTAGAAACGCTAAATTTTTAAACTAAATTTGTAAATCAAATAATGTGTCACTAATAGGAATTAAACATGTTAATTGACAGTTAATTAACAATCTAATCACCAACAACCACATCATATGGTTTACACAATTTGGTTTAAAAATTTGGTCTCATAGTATTACCTGTAGGCCTAAGGTCATTGGTCAAGTTAGATTGCACGCCAGTCGACAGATGCCAACAGTTTATGAACAAACATGTCGACTGATGTCAATAGCTTTGAGTGAGCATGTCGACAAATGTCAACATATGTCAAGTGAGCCTATCAAAGATGCGTATATCAATGCATACAACGGCATAAGACTAGCAGTTACCATACCAGTGTCTATAGAGACAATTCGTCGAGTAGTACAACCCAAAAATTTTCAAAGGGCAGCACAAAACTTTTCCATGGAAGAATTCTGAGCTTAGAAGGATCAACTAACCCACCTTGGCCCCAGAGTGAATCCGCTCCAGCACAAATGGAACCAAGCATATCATAAACCTCCATCATTTTCGTGCTAATATATATTGAACTTGACACATTTTCTAATTAAATAAACACGAGTATCATGAAACCAAAAGCTCTTTACGTTTGAGTTGTTTTTTCATACAAGCTATATTCTATAAAGAACTCATCTAAGTCATGTGGATGAATATTCAAATTTGAGCGGAGACGAAAAAAATATTATATTCTAACCAACTTAATTAAGTTTAAATTTAAATGTGTTTGAGACATTTAATTAACATTGAAAATAAAAAACTTATTACATTGGATACCACTGTCTCATCCGAAGGTCCTATGGGCTGGTCTTTTGTGGTTTGGTAAGCACATCCCAAGGTGGAGCTTCATTCTTTGGCTGGCTATAAGGGGTAAGTTATGTATTATGGATTGGGTGATGGTCTTTACCCCTCATGCCTCGCCTATTTGCTATCTTTGCTTGACTGATAATGAGTCTCACAACCATAGTACCAATATTTGGTCTCATGTGCTTTTTAAGTGTGGTTGTGATCCTCCTCCTTTGGATTGGTATGAGTTTATCACTTGGTCTACTAATAATTGGAAAAGTAAGTCGTTAGATCTTAGCATTAAGAAGTTGTGCCTACAAGATGTTGTCTATGCTATTTGGAAAGAAAGGAATAACCGTAAGTTCATAAATGAACATCTCCACTCTGTTGCTATCTTTAAAGCCATTGTTAACTCTATACGCTTACGGTTATGTTCTTTGCAGATTTCGGTTTCTACTGCAAATGTACACCTATCTTTCAAGAATGAAGAATTCCTAGTAGTTCTCCTTTTGGTGCTGGTTATCATGTTGGGTTGTTATTTTTTACAGCCTCCTACTTTTTTTTATAAGGAAACTAATGAAAAGAGTTTGAAAACTTTGAGTTTTAACGATCAGGACAAAATAAAGGGTAAAGTGAATAGTACTAAGATTGACTTTTTAGTCTTAAAATGTGATTTTTTGTTAAAGTAAACAGTACCAGAAAGTTTTCATTAAAGTTCCATTTTTTTATTTGTTTTAGCTTGGCTTTTGTTGCTATTATTGTGTTGTAGTTTGTTGTTTCTTTTGGTTCTCTTTTAATAGAATCATTCAATTACCCATTAATAAAAATGTTTTGGGCCATAACAAATTAAGAATGATATCCAAAGGTGCAAAGCTTAATAAGTCAGCCCAAAGCCGTATTGGCCCCCACTTTGTTATAAATGTGGAAACTTTAAAAAACTCAGTTTCTAATTCACGAACGCCACTACAGTTTGATGTTATTTTTTTTTTATCATTTTACTTGTAACGTGTCTGCTTAGGTTTATTCAATTAGATAATTAAATCAAAATTTAATTCCTATGAATAGTTTATTGTGTGACATAATTAAATCTCTCATTCCAAATGTAGAATATAATTGAATTTAAAATAAGCAATACAAAAAGGAAATGGAGAAATTCTTAGGGTCATAAGTCACAATCAAGTGAACGAGTTGCGAGAACTTGCCCACCCGAACATAGACGACTGACTCAAGCACAGTTCGAACAAACAAAATAAGTCCAATAGCACAATGCATCCTGGTCCCAGCACACCAACATATTTATTAAAGTGGCGTCCGTTTTTTTTTGTTTTTTTAGTAAATCAATATTTTTACATTAAGGAAATGGAGAGTTCGGTTAAACTACTAGACCGTAGTGCTGAGGGAAGTATGTTCTTAGAGCATAATAATTGGGAAGATGCCATACGGCTACGACATGCAATCTATTATAAAATATCGAAAGCGTGTTTGTAGTTGGCTTTACACTCTAATCAGGGGCGGATCCACTTGATGGCCCTAGAACCTTCTGGAGTTCGGAGAAATGTTTTATACATGTGAAAGTTTTATGAGGATTTCTTAATGATTTGGTTGGCAAGTGGTGGTGGAGAGTCGGTGTAGACCTCCATGTAGGTGTTTAGCCAGTGTTTTAAGGACAAGGATTGTTTGTCCTCCCACTTCCAGTGTCCTCCCGTACTCCTTTGTTTGTGTGGTTACGGTTAAGCCACGTCAACATTTTATATTACTATTCATTTGTCTTATTATCTCTATAAAAAAATAATATAAATGTTAACATGACTTAACTATGATCACACAAAACAGGAGAGCACGAAAAAATATTTAAAGTGGAAGGGTAGACAATTATTGTGCGTGTTTTAAACATCTTCACTCTCCCCGATCCGTGAGAAAGTGTTCTGTAATGAGTGGGTCTCACTTTTGTTAGAAAAGAAATGTAGTATAAATATTGTATGAAAAATATGATGAGAGTAATATTATTTTGTCTGAAAATAAGATGTGACGAAGTGTGATGGTAATCTTGAAAATTCGAGGTTTATTGGACACCAAATTCGGAAATTCGCCATTAATGACAAACCCGCAATGAAGAAAAAATTTCAATTATGACAGGTACAACACGTATTTTTATGTAAATAATAAAAAATTTTAATATTTAAATTATTAATATTTTAACGCATCACACAATTTTTATAAAGAGACGTGGCCTCGTGACACTAAAAAATCTCTCTCCTAGAAAAACAAATTTCATTTCTTCAAAAGAAAAAGGTGACAGCCAAAAAAATGGCAGAGATGGAAAGGCTGAGCAGAAGCAAGTGGACAGCCACGGCGGCGAGCATATTGATCCAGTGCACCGGCGGCTCTCCCTACGCCTTCAGCATCTACTCCCCGGCGATCAAGTCGAGCCAGGGCTACGACCAATCAACGCTCGACACGGTGTCAGTCTTCAAAGACATAGGCGGCAACGTCGGCGTCTTATCGGGGATTTTGTACTCCGCTGTGGCGCTTAACCGTCGCCGAATTGGTGGGCCCTGGGTGGTGCTTCTGGTGGGGGCAATTCAGTGCTTCGTGGGGTACTTCTTCCTGTGGGCTGCTGTCACCGGATTGGTGGAGAGGCCGCCGGTCGCGGTGGTTTGCTTGTTCATGCTCCTGGCGGCCCACGCTCAGACTTTCTTCAACACCGCCAACGTGGTGACTGGGGTCCACAACTTCTCTGATTACGGTGGGACCATCGTCGGCATCATGAAGGTAAGTAACGCTTATCACTGCACTGGTCACTTACTTTCCTCGCACGACGTCGTTTTGTTTTTCTTTACTTCGCTACATTGTTCACACATGATTTGAGACGCACATAGTTATAGATGAATGAATCTCACATTATTGCATAATGTATAACTTTTTTACAAATTTTTGATACTATACAGGAAATTTTTTCCACTAAAGACGCTAAACGGACAATACCGTGACATTATACGGACACTAAAACGCGTGTCATTGTCCGTTTTGTGCATCTTTAGTGAAAAAATATAACTTTTCATTGTAGTGGTATTAAGTTATATTTGTGCATTTTTCCAATATTTTAAAAAGATGGCATGTGTTCGAAATTGATGATTAGTTATATTTCTTCCATAAAAAATTGGATCGTTATGTTTTTATTGACCCTCGTTTCTTAAAAGAGAAATGTTAAAGAGACTTTATAAAAATAAGACTCTCCACGAAGTCTCGGCCATCTCATATTTTTTTGGCACCATTTTATAACGTTGGCATATGAAACTGTGAAATGACTTAAAATTCATTAATAGTCTTACTTTACAAGAGTCTCCGTAGCATTTTTTTTCTTAAAACCATGTTTTCATAGTTGCATATGTGGGTTCAGCTATTAAACTGGGGCGGGGGCGAGTTTGATCTCTCTCTTCGTAGATTAGAGTATCGAAAGAAAGAAAAAGCATGCTATTTTCCAATGATGATTATTTTTTAAGCAGGGATTTCTTGGTCTAAGTTCAGCAATTCTAGTCCAAGTCTATGACACATTCTGCAATGGTAACCCCAGCACCTTCATTCTCCTGCTGGCATTGTTGCCCACATCTGTCACCATCTTGTTCATGCCTCTGGTCAAAATCCATGAAGCCGGTAGAAGTGCTATTGACAAAAAGTACTTAAACATCTTCTCTGCTTATGCTCTGCTCACAGCTGCTTATCTCATGGTCCTAATCATATTCCGAACCATCTTCACTTTCCCATCATGGGCAAGTGTTCTCACTGTTACACCACTTCTTCTGTGTTTACTTGTCTCGCCCCTCGGAATAGCCATCAAAGCACAGAACTTGCAACCCAAGAAACTCCCTGGGACACCCAACGATCCTTTACTCGAAAACCCCGAGCCAGTTTTAGCATCCTCCAATTTATCAGCATCAGAAAACCCTACAGACCATGAAGATATGAATTTGTTGAAAGCTATGATTTGTGTTGATTTCTGGTTGTTGTTTATTGCTATGATTTGTGGGATGGGGTCTGGATTGGCCACCATAAACAACATGGGTCAAATAGGGGAATCTCTTGGCTACACAACAGTTGAGATCAATTCTTTTGTTTCCTTGTGGAGCATATGGAATTTTCTAGGTCGGTTTGGAGCCGGGTATGTCTCAGATTACTTGCTACATAAGAAAGGATGGGCAAGGCCATTGCTGATGGCTGTCACACTAGCAACCATGGCAGCCGGCCACATTGTGATTTCATCTGGCTTTCCCGGGAATTTGTATGTGGGTTCGATCCTAGTTGGGATTTGCTACGGCTCACAGTGGTCACTTATGCCCACAATCACTTCTGAAATCTTTGGGATTAGACACATGGGGACTATTTTCAACACGATCGCAATAGCCAGTCCTGTTGGTTCTTATATCTTCTCCGTGAGAGTAATCGGGTTCATATATGATAGAGAAGCTTCTGGAGAAGATGATGACTCCTGCAGCGGCACTCACTGCTTCATGCTGTCGTTTTTTATCATGGCTTCTGTTGCTTTCTTTGGGTTTCTTGTAGCTCTTGCTTTGTTCTTTCGGACGAGGAGATTCTATCATACAATCGTGCTCAATAGACTGCGGCATTCTTCTCCGAAACAGTGAACGTGAGCATTTTGTGTAGATGGGCAAGAGGTAATGTGGTTTGAGATTGTGATCTCTTGGCCTTTTTGTTGTGCATCCGTGGCTTATTGTTACAGATGTTGTAGGTGTACAATTGTTTTACATATGTAACAAAGTTGGGTTTCAATTTTTGTAGAAGAGGCAGTTTTCTTTTGGCATGTTGTTCATATATCTGTGTAAATTTTGATCAACTCCATTAATTAGTTGGAAGAGTTCTAAATTAAGAGGGGTAGCGAAAGCAAGTCGATTCAGTTCTTATTTATTTGTTCATGTATGGTTGATTGTGGATAACTTCCATGCAATATGGATATCATCGTGACAATTTTTTAAGCAAATCATGCACTGTTACGTGGACAAGTTAACACAAATGATATTCTTTGATTAGCTTGAGAACCTACTACATGTACGATATTTCAAGAAAACACTAGTATAAATGACAATCACGTAATCAAATTTTAAATGTTTATGCATTTATGTGTGATCTTTGAAAAAAATTCTTAAAAAATGATCGATTCGGATTGTTAAAATACAATGTGAGATAAAGTTTTGCAAAAAATAAAATTGAGTGAACATATATGTTAAGCCACAAACTTAAAAAGACTAACAATCTTTTAACTAAATAACATAATATGTGCCATGTACTGTGTGAAGAGGAACATAGAAAACCCCACAGAGCATCATGGAAATGGGTTGCTTCCATTCTTCGTATCTTCAAGGAATTCTTATGCCGGCGGGAGGCGGAGGGTGCTAGACGGAGGCAATGGCAGTAAGGTTTAGCCGAGGAAATTAATAGGTTCCAAGAAGAGAACACAGCGAGAGGGATGACGAAAGAGGAAATTAAAGTTCGAGGAGAAATGGAAGATTGTGGGTGGTAATGTGACTGAATTAGAATCTCAAAGCTACTATACGCTTTGATTTTCTTTACGATGATTTGATTTGTAGACCTTCAACCTGTCTAGCTTGGTGCAATACCAAGGAAACTAAAAAGAACGGCCGCGATGCATTTCTAAACAACTCAAGCTTGAAGTATGAAAGCATGCTCAACTCCAAACTCTTTGCATCCGATGAAGGGCAGCAACAGTGGTTTGGATCTTAGGTTTTAATGCTCAATTCTTCCGTAAAACAGCATACAACCATGTCACGGAAATAGATCAAGGATAGCAAACTATCATGAGGGGCAGGAAAACAATCATTTCATCTCTGTCTCTCTCTCTCTCTCTCTCTCTCTTCCGGTGTGGAGATGGGTGGAGTTCTTGCCATTGGGTTTCTCCTTTGCAGCTTGCTGCTGTTGTTGTTGAATCCTTCAACTTCACATCCTTTGTGTATTGCATGAGCTCGCTCTTCCATTTCTAGTAAATTAGTCGTCATTCACAATTTCAACATACAGTACATAAATTAATAAAGGGAAAATATACACATGAAAAGATGAATCTTTTGTTCGACGAAAACCAAACTAAAACCTAAGAAGAGATTATTAATGCAAGAGCTAGCTCAAGCAATTTCAATATAAATGGTTAGACCTTATAAGGGTATTTAACTATCTTTGGATGAGGAACAAATTAATTTCTGAATAATATGTATTATTTTATTATTAAATTAATAAATTGAAGATTATATTCGGAAAGAGATCCTCTTTGGTTCATCTCTTCTTAATCCACCAAGTCCGTAGATTCGGACTGTTGAAATTTAATCTAACAGTTACAAATAAGGGCCTACTTTAAAAGTTATAATATTTAGCCGTTAGATCAAATTTTAACCGCCTTAATATCCGAACTGATGGATTAGGATAAGAGGATGCCTTTCCGTTAGAGCATTTCCACCAGAGGTGGAATAGCCCAGCAGCCAGTTAAAAAACCAGGCTGGGAGGCTATCAATCCACTCCAGCCCACAAACTTACCTGGCACCCAACCCGTGCCAATCTCTAGACCAACCCATTTTTGACTGACCTTGGGACCGGCCTATTTGGCTGGCATGTGCCTTTCACTTGCGAGGCCAGGAATGCAGGCGACGGGGCCAGCTGTCAACGCACTCACCCATCACTCGGATCATGGCGACGTGGCCCTCTCTTTGCTGTTGGATTTCCAATGACTAGTTTTTCTAGATTGTTGGATTTTCAATGGTAAAAAAAAAATTTGAATTTCACTTTTAAACTGGACCGTCTGATCACATATCAACGGTCTACGTTTTCCCCCTTAAAAAAAAAGCCCAACGGTCAGAATTATGACCTTTGGTCACGTGGCTGCTTGTTGGCTGTTGGATTGGAATATTTTTCGAATCCAACGGTCCATATTAATTAACAACATTAAAATTTATTTAAAAATATAGAAAAATTTTAAAAATTTTAATTTTTTTCTATAAATATCTAACCCTCATTTTCCACTTTCTTACATCATATTTCAATATTTTCTACTTTCTACACTTTCTTATTGCAAACAAATACTGACATGTGGCGCATCAAGATTGGTTGCAAATCTTAGCAGAAATATATTAACAAAATAGTACGTTCGGATAATGACACGTGGCGTGATGAGATTGGTTAAAAAAATTATCCGAAATTAAAACTATTTTATTTATTTATTCTTTTATAAAAAAATTTAAAATATTTTGAATGAATTGGGTGCCAATGCATTTTGTAAAGATGAAAATCATTTATGCCAGCGCATTTTAAATTGGGTGCCAGTGAATTTTTTTAGGGTGGAGATATTCTATATATACTAAAACTCAAACCGATGGTTACTGTTATAGGGCAGTGTGCGGACCAAAATGCCCCTCAAGTTAATCATCAGCCGTTACTCTTTGTCTTTTGTACAGTAAAATACCGAATTTGCCCTTTCGATTCACCCGTGCGTGCATCTGTGGAGTTTCTTTTAGTTTTTTCTTAATTTTTTAAACCCTTATCTACGCGTGTCCGCCATCGTAGAAAGGAAGGGGACATGTGGCACTCTTTCTGCTTCTCTCGGGTGGATCTCTAGAATTCTCCTTCGGTTTCCGTCACCACTAATTGCTCTCTCACTTTCTCCCACGCCTCATTTACTGTTTCATTTCTTATCCAAATCACCTGTGGAAATTGGTTCCCTTAAAAACCCCTTCTAGAATTAATTACCTCTGGAAATTTTTTGGCCTTTAAAACTTCTCGATCGGTTCCGACTGGATTGGGTTTTCAATTTCGTGAGAGTGGATTTGTTAGCTCCAGTTTGTGAGTTTTTAAGTTTTTTATTAATTGTGTTTTAGTATTTTGCTGGTAGTTTGCCATGTTGTGGTGATTTATGGATCAATTTTTTTTAATCTGATTTTGGGTATTTTCTTTATATTGTTAGATCTGTTGTTTTGGTGTATGATTTGTTTGTGTTTTTCGTTCTATCGGATTCCTGAGCAAATTTGGTTTTCGTTTGTTTGGGGATTTTGTTTCCAATATCCGTTGTTCGACTGGTTGTGCATCTCTGTAAAGCTAGATTTGTAAACGTTTTTTCTTTTGTTTTGCAAGGAACCAGAGCCTTTGCATGGAACCAGAGCCTTTCCATGCTCGAGCTCCACAGGTATGGCACCGCTCTTTTACATGTTTTTGCTTTGATTCGAGTTTTTTCCAAGGCTGACGTGGCGATTCTCTATGAGGATTGCAATGGGAGAGTTTTGAACTCCTCCTCACAAGAGAAAGCCCAATAACTTTATGTTTCAGAGGTTTGATTTTTATGGAATTTGAAGTGAAAGATTTGGTGCTTAATTTTTATGTTTTTTTAACATAAATTAATGTGTTATAGGGTATGTCAGAATAATGAAGGACCTAAGAGAGCTTTATTTGGAAGTAGAAGTCAAGGTAATTGTTTGCTCCCAATCCTCATCCTCTCTTGACGTTTTTTCTTTTTAAAGTAATTTTTCCACCCCTTAAGAATGTAAAATTTTATGTTCTTTTCTTGATGGATATGCTTTTGTTTGTAGGTTGATCCTGTTGTTTCATTTTGTTTGTAGAAGTCAATCAAATGCTTTGCTGAAACATCCAATAAGAAGAATAAAATAACTCTGGTAAGAAGCAACCTAATTTCAGAAATTTTATGTGATTCAGTTTTAAAATTATAATCTTCTAAAAACCTTTTGTAGATTGCAGAGCCATTGGAGAGAGGACTTGCGGAGGACATTGAGAATGTATATAAGCTACAGTGTTCGTTTCTGCAATGCAGGTTGAGTATGATATCCTAGATTTGATTTATGCCTTCCATCGTGTTAAGTCGGTTAAATGTACTATTTGGTTTTAGGGGTTGAAAAATGCGATCTGAATCTCGGGTTTAAAACTTTTGTAGTTCGATTTTGCCTCTTCTGGACTCTTCTACTTCATTTTTGTCTCTCTGGGAAGGGAAAGGTCTGGATGTACTCCTGTTCTCCTCTCTCTCTCTCCGTCTGTGTTTGCGCATGGCTATCAGGTTTTCTTGGACGACAGCAGATACCTGCAGCGAAAGAAATCTCACCCTGCGGCACCGCCTCTCACGGAACCACCGCCGCCACCATCTTTCGGCTCGAATTTTGTGGGTTCTGAAGAGCAGCAGCGACATGCAAATATGTGGTACCCTTTTCTTCTCTCTGTATTTTTTTTGTTTAATTTTGTATTTTTTATTAGATGCATGGTGGATTTATCGTTGGTAACTATTAAATCGCTTTTGAATTGTGTTTAATTTGGATTTTTGTGTTTTGAATTTTGAATTTGCAGCCTGATCTTCCACTGGAGCATCCAAATTTTACAGTTGTGTATCAAATGACAGCAACCTTTACAAATTCAAAATTTGAAGCCAAGATACCACCGTCCATATACTTGCAACCCAAATATTGTTAAAAACGAAGAAACAATGTAAAAATCCAAATTTTACATTTGGTTATAGCTTTTGTGTAAACGGAGCTTCCACTGAGCTCTTAGTTCTGGGTGCGTCTTTGTTTTCATAATCCTTTTCAGGTTTTGGAATTTTGAGATTTTCTTCGTGGGTTTTGTTCATTGGCTTGCTTTGTTGTGAATTTTCTCTTTTTTTTTTATTTTTTATTTTTTATTTTTTATTTTTATTTTTATTTTTTATAATCTTGAACTGATAATATGCTATGTCTTTCAATTTCTAGCAGTGGGTTTTTGTTGTGATCTTTTGGTGATTAATCGGGTAATGATCTGCATGTGATTATTTATAGAATATTCATAATTATTTCACAAGATTTGTGTTTCCACTTGCCTTTTCTTTTTTTTTTCTTTGGGAATCTGGAAAAATAGTGCATCTGTTTTTGGCTTAAAAGTTTTAAGATTTATATTCCACTTTGTATGCGATTTGAAAATTGAAAAACATATATGAATTATTCTTAGTGCTTTGGCCATGAAGGGTATTAGCAGGTTGTTCCCCATATGAGAAAATGATTGAAAAAGAAGATTTTTTTTATTTGTTGGTTACTATGTATTAATTTTTTTTTGGGATTTTGTGTAGAGAGTGCTCTGTGGAAACAGCAATGCAAGGGCAGGATCTGATCGGTAGCACTCAAACAGGGGTTTGTTTCTCAAATTGCGTGATTTATGTTTGATTATTAATGTGCTTTGGTAGGGGTTTTCAATATGATTTTCTATTTTCTCTTTTTCTTTTTTTGGTCTTTGAACTATCTTTGTGATTTATGTTTGATTATAAAGAAAAATTAATAAAACAAAGAGATGCAGTAATTGGAAACATGGCTGCAAGTGATAAGTCAGAGTCTTTGTATTAAATCATTGTACTACTTTTGTAGTGTATGCATGTGTAAGCGAAATTCAAATTGTAATACAGGATCTTAGGGCTGTGCAAAATGGTGTACAAAATTGCACGAGTTGGAATTGTGAAACCAAGTCAACTCTCACTTAGAAGGGTTAACGATTCACAAGCATGAAAATTCAAGCTCGGGCGGTACCCCCATTTCAAGGCAAATGAGACCATTCGACGATGGTAACCCAAAGGCTTTCTTTGTTGTTTTTCGTTAATGGGTTAACGAGTCTTTGCTTTTTACTGAGTTTTTGGCTATGTGTATTTTGTATTTCTGAGCTTCAAGGCACATTTGCCCATTACATATAATTGTATTCGTAATTTAGTATTCAGCACCGCCTGCCAATTTATTACATGAAAATTTTGAATATTTTTTTGGAAAACATATGGTAAACCAATGGATAATATGTTTACCTGATTATCTATTTGTGTGTATAAAATATTTTTTTGGAAATATGGTTATCTTTTCTGGTCTAGAAGGGGATTTACAATGCAATGTCAAATAGAGTTTTTGAGTTTTAGTTTACTGGAAATGTAATGGAATGTGTGTTTATATTTATACGAGTTTGATAGTTATTACATCTTATTAGCTATGTTCCTTTTTAGAAGCTTTGATCAGAGCATTGCTCTGTGACATTTGTGATTGATCTTGATTGGGAACATTTTGGCATGGGTTGAGAGGTAGCTTTTATGTCATACGTATAACATAGTTTTCCAACCCGCGGCATCGCGCGGGCTCAAATGCTAGTTTTGACCTATTATCGTTTACTGGTTTATTACTGTTAATTTGAGTAGATAACTGCGTTTGGTGCCAGCGCAAAGGCTTTGGGCGGAATTGCTCCTATATTCGTCATTGGATGAAGAATGGCGGAAGGAAGAAAGGGCTACATAACTCCTTGGTCGCTCTTCTTCTTCTTCTTCTTCTTCCTGGATATTGGATGATGAGCCCCAAATCATCCACCGCACCCTAAAACCCTAGTAAAGGGCTAAGGAAAAGTTGGATTTTGAATTTGGAATCGGCCATCCCCAAAATCATATCCACCCAAAACCCTAAAAAAAACCCCTTTCCTTTTCCTTGAAAGTGGCAGATTCAGCTGATTCTCACAAGGTCAGTAAAATTCTCCTTTTTAGTTTTCCTTTTACTTTCTACCAGTATGAGTAGCAGTAGCAGTGCCCAATCTGAACAGCAATTTGTATGAATATGGATATTATTCTCCCAATCCAATTTTATTTTATCCACAATCTTCAATCTTGTTGGTCTCTGTGAATTCTACTATCTAATTGTTTAATTTTATTAATTAATACAGTATGCGTGCTATATATCATCTTCAAAACCCGCCCATCGCTTGGATTCTTTTTGTATTCTTGTTGTCGATTCAGTTTATAGTGCATTGTCATTTGATTAGGGTGGCCATTTTACAGAGCCAATCGATTAGTTTGCATGTACGTTCAGTCAACCATTTGTTTTTTAACCTTTTAACTCAATGAGTAACTGAATATCTTAATTTACATTACTTATTAGTTTTTATATTTTGGTTATTTGAATTTAGATTACAGGTGCAAGCGTGATAGAATATGAGATTGCTTGTGCCCAATCTGAAGGTAACCACTACGCTTTCGACACACCGAGACAAGTAACTGTCTTCTTTGAAGACGGAAAAGCAGTGGAGTCTACCTTGGTGCCATACTCAACAAAACTAAAAAAAATGGCCGCGAGACACTTCTGAAACAGCTCCGGCTTGGCACATCAAAACCTGCTCATTAACGAATGTTCTCCACCTACAAACAGCCTGCTTATCAACTTTTGAGGTGAGGGTTTCTATTCCTTTAGTTTCATTCTGTAGAATATTGCATTCGGTATGAGAAGCTAGAAGCTAGGTGAACACAAAATCACTGAAAAAATAGCCAAACCATTAAACTAAAACAGTATCTGGTACTCTTTCAGGGTATGCATGGAATCCAAACAATACCCTCAAGAGTTAATAAGTCTTCACAAATTCATCCGTTTGAAGCTAGGTTCACACAAAGGGAAAAATAGACAAATCATTAAAACTAAACAACACCTTTAACTCTTTCAAGTATACATGAATCCAAAGAAACTCCCAAGATTTTTAAGTCTTTACAAATTCACCTGCTATGAGAAGCTAGAAGCTGGGTGTACACATAAAATCACTAGAACAATGGACAAACCATAAAAACAAATCCTGATGCATGCTTTGTTCAGAGTATTTCCTACACTTTCTTGATCCTTAAGGTTGCATGTATACGACTCAGTAAACCGGGAAAACACGTGTTTCTCTCCTCGTTGATCTTGTCGAGCTCTCCATCCTTGACATAGTGGACATAAACATTTTGTATTACTCGGATCAAATCCTAAACACTATTCCCATTTAATTTCTCGTTTCTCTTTTTGTGTTAATTTTTTTAACTTATCTAGATAACCATTTATGATTATGTTGGTGTCCCAATTTCTGAATTCTTCAAAATCAGGGCCTTTAATTTTCGTATCAAAACAAGGACCATTGAGCCTTGTTTTGTGCTTCTTTGATTGGTGAAAATCAAAGTAACATTTGAGCTTGTTGAACTCACTCTTCAAAGTTGGGTGATCGATGAGTATAGAGACAAACCTGTCATAACTAGGAAACAAATTAAATTTTCAGGTATAAGAATAATATACCAAATAATTTAATTGAACAACTAATCAATCATTTGGAAGTGCTTTCAAATGAATAAAAGTGCTTTTAGAGAAAATGTTTTTGGGTTCCAAAAGCACTTTCCTAGATTGTTTCCAAAAACATTTCCACAAAAAGCGTTTTTGGTCATTTTAAAAGCATTTCTAAACAAGCCTAAACTTGTTTACTTACTCCCACGAGTAAGCCTGCCCACCATTTTTGAAGCAATTGAGAAATTATGTCCTATCCACTATCGTCAGTGGGAATTTATCAATGATAAATTCGTCAAAATCTGACAAGTCTTGAAACCTTTGCGTGTGGCTGTCATTCCTGTCCTTAATGTTAAAAATCATCACATCATCGCCTAAGATCGCATAACTGGATGCTTTCTTTAATCCCCACGAATCTAATCCTTGTTGTGCATGTATTATATTGTCTTGAGTGTCTTTCTACACAAGTAAGCAACTTTAATAAGTTCCACGTACACGTATAGTCACACGCACGCACGCACAAAGAAACACATGAACGCTTACTAACGAACATTTTCCACCTACAATCAGTGGACAAACAGAAACAATTGCACCGACCTGTGGTGGAGAATGCTCGTTAGTAAGTGTTCATGTGTTTCTTTGTGTGTGCGTGTGTGTGACTATACGTGTACGTGGAACTTATTAAAGTTGCTTACTTGTGTAGGAAGACACTTATGACGATACAGTATATGCACAACAAGGATCAGATTCATAGGGAATTAAAGAAAGTATCCAACTATGTGATCTTAGGCGATGATGTGATGATTTTTAACATTAAGAGTGGGAATGACGGCCATACGCAAAGGTTTCAAGACTTGTCAGATTTGGGTGAATTTATCACTGATAAATTCCCACTGACGATAGTGGATAGGACACAACTTCTCAATTGCTTCACAAATGGTGGGCAAACTTACTTGTGGAAGTAAGTAAACAAGTTTAGGCTTGTTTGGAAGTGCTTTTAAAATGACCAAAAACGTTTTTTGTGGAAATTTTTTGGAAACAATACAGGAAAAGCACTTCAAGTGTTTTTGGAACCCGAAAAGATTTTCTATAAAAGCACTTTTATTCATTTGAAAACTTAATCTTATACCTGAAAACTTAATCTGTTTCCTAGTTATGATAGGTTTGTCTCTATGCTCATCGATCACCCAACTTTGAAGAGTGAGTTCAGTAGGCTCAAATGTTACTTTGATTTTCACCAATCAAAGAAGCACAAAACAAGGCTCAATGGTCCTTGTTTTGATACGAAAATTAGAGGCCTTGATTTTGAAGAATTCAGAAATTGGGACACCAAGATAGTCATAGATGGTTATCTGGATAAGTCAAAAAAATTTACACAAAAAGAGAAATGAGAAAAATTAAATGGGAATAGCGTTGAGGATTTGATCCGAGTAATACGAAATGTTTATGTCCATTACGTCAAGGATGAAGAGCTCGACAAGATCAATGAGAAGATAAACACGTGCTTTCCCGGTTTACTGAGTCGTATACATGCAACCTTAAGGATCAAGAAGGTAGAGGAAATACTCTGAACAAAGCATGCATTAGGTGTTGTTTTTATGGTTTGTCTGTTCTAGCGATTTTATGTGTACACCTAGCTTCTCATAGCAGGGGAATTTGTAAAGACTTAAAATCTTGGGAGTTTCTTTGGTTTTAATGATTTGTCTATTTTTCTCGTGAATTTGTGTGAACCTAGCTTCTAACATCTCATAGCGGGTGAATTTGTGAAGACTTATTAACTCTTGAGGGTATTGTTTGGATTCCATACATACCCTGAAAGAGTATCATGTGATGTTTTAGTTTTAATGGTTTGGTTATTTTTTCAATGATTTTGTGTTCACCTAGCTTCTAGTTCCTCATAGTGGATGCAATATTCTACAGAATATAACTAAAGGAATAGAAACCCTCACCTCGAAAATTGAAACCGAGCTTTGTCCAGTCTTGCTACATTAACTTGTGTGATGAACTGAATGCCATTAACTGCAGTTTAAAAAGAAGAAAGATCAACGAGCACGTTCACAAGTAGGAGGGAGTTCCGTATTTGATTTGAGATTTTTCACACAAAGGAGAGAGAGTATAGTAACAAGTGAAATAAGGTGCAACAAGTAGACAAACATGAATTAGGAACAAAGAAATTTCATGGACCCAATCCATCGAATTTGACGAGCTAAATAAGAAGAGGGTAGGTATGGAGCACCCTACAAGGACGAGGCGGTGTTGGCTGGGCAATGTTGGAATTGGATACAATCACTCTCCCGTCTCTGATTCATCCGATTTCTTTCTAACACAGTTGAACTTCTGATCGGATTTTCTTCCACTCTCTTTCAGATGACTTCCCAGACAGCAACAAGGTCAGTCGCTTGATTTATACATTATTTTTTAATTTTTGTTTTATCTAATTGAATTTTTATTCATAAATTTCATACAGTGTTTGATGTCAGCTATTATGTCTAGTGCCACCATTTTAGAAGAGTAATCTGTTTTGAATTTGGAACCACTGATTAAAAGTAGAGGCATTTTATTTTGTTTTTAAATTTGAAAATTTATCTGAACTTGGACTGTAATATTGTTGTGATCAGCCTGCCCATGGAGGAGGAGAGCCCTACAACATCTGTGTTAATGCTGATGAACTTTATTCCTCGCCCTTCAGAGCAGCCTTATATGAGTTGAAAATCAACCAAGCAGGAGAAGTTTTGGGAGGAGAAACATGTAGGCCACTTGAACCTGTTCACTGGTTCTTCGATCCAAAAAAATCATCTGAGTTCCCAGTCCCAGTCCCCGATTATATTATATTGGACGGTGTGAGGTACGGCAGCCCCTCCAAGCTTTACCATCTTACTGATCCAGCATCCTTCCCCCTTATAACAAATCCATCGTTTGAGTGTTATAATCCCAAGGACATTTGGGAGCCTCTCAATCCTTTTCCAAAATATGGTCAGAAAACGGGACCTTCCTATGTGGAGTTATGGGCTCGACTGTTTGTTACGGTTGTATTTTCTAATTTCATTGTATGACTTTGGACCATCTGAGTTCGTGCTTTTTTCACATTGCCAGTGAAACATGGCACCCAGTTTACGTACCTACAGTTGATGATGATATGACTGGTACTAAGCCTTATCCTTCTTTTGTGGGGAGGGCTGTCGTCGTAAACGATGTTATCTACGCCGCATCTACAGTGAGCGGGGTTATCATATCTTCTCTCTTGGGATGGATTCAGATCCTAGTGGTCGCATTCTCTTTACCGTAAAGAATCTATTCAAGTTTCCGGAGTTCACAAGTTTCCTTGAGTTGGACAACACTGTAACAGAGTCTTTGGTTCATTTGGGGGAATTAAGATTTTGTCTCCTGCAAACTTTCTTTTGCAGCAGGGGCAGGGGATTTCAACCTCTGTGGATCACAACATTAGAAATTGTCAATGACGGTTCAGGGGAAAGGTGTATCAAGACTTTATGTTCTGTTGGTCGTGACATTGATATTCAGATTTCTGGTGGATTCGAACTTGGTTACTGCTTCACACCATGAGTTCCTTCAAGACTTTTATGTTTCAAATCTCCCTATAATTTCAGTTTCATGACGTCACATCACATTACATGTTTTGTTATCAAACTGTATATGATTTCTGATTCTTTCATGTCTTAGACAATTTAAGGATCTTGAACCCGAAGAAGACAACAAATTTCAGGCAGCGATGGTACAGGTGAAACACAAGCATCTATATGGAATCTTTTTTATTTAATCTTCTGTGTTGAGTCATAAGAATCAGTTGTGTATGCCACGGATTTTATTTTTGTTTGTGTTCTAGTTTTATGATAACAATATTGGGTTTGATGGTGGGCAGCCAGACGGAGAGGCAAAACGAAGGAAAATAATAAGTTCATCAGGTCAGACTCTCTCTCCGTTTTTGTTTAACTCGGATGTGCATTGCAATATTATCAATTGTTTTGGCAGCTTATATAAGGCCTGCTGTCAAATTTGGTAATGACAATGTCACTTGAATAGTTAATAGGATTAACATAACTTGTTTATACTTCACAATGTGAATTCATTCACGCGTATTTCAATTTCAGCATGGCACACTCCCATTACTTTTTTATTTATCAAACTGTTTGTGATTTCTGATCCGTTCATGTCTCAGACAATTTGATGAATTTGAACTCAGTGGAGACAAGAAAGTGCAGCTAAAGCTGGTACAGCAGGTGAAACACATGCATCTGTTTGGAATCTGTTTGTTTAATATTGCTTGTTGAGTTAAAGAATCAGTTGTGTATGCCTATGGATTTTATTTGTCTGTGTTCTAGTTTTCTGATAATAATTTTGGGTTTGACAGTGGTTAGCCAGAGAGAGAAGCAAAATGAAGGAAAAGAATTCCAATAGGTCAGACTCTCTCTCTCTCTCTCTCTCTCTCTATGGACTTTCCATTTTTCCCCTGAATACACACTCCATGTTTATCTTGCAGAACATATAATCCATCCAATTTTGTTTTACTTGGATGTGCATCGCATTATTAAGAATTGTTTTGCAGCTTATGTAGGCCTGGTGTCAAGTTAACAGTTAACCATGCCAACGTATGCAAATGTACTCTCTTAACGGAATTATAGAATATTTTGAAATTAATCTGACATGTTACATTTGCGGAGCCCCTGGTGTTAGTTATGCTGAACTAAAAAGAAAAAAAAGGATGACGGTGTCGCTTAAATGGTTGATAGGATTGACATAACTTGTCTTAGACTGTCACATCCCGGCCCGGATCCACCACATCCTGGGCCCGTTCCACCACCGTAGCACGATATTATCCGCTTTGGGCCCTGACCACGCCCTCACGGTTTTGTTTCTGGGAACTCACTGGGAGTGCTCTGGCCTCCTTCTCGCTTAACTTCTGAGTTCCTACGGAACCCGAAGCCAGTGAGCTCCCAAAAGACCTTGTGCTAGGTAGGGATGAGAATATACATTTAAGGATCACTCCCCTGAGCGATGTGGGATGTTACATAGACTCTTGATGTGTTTAACTTTTTGTGGAAGCTTGAGGATGGTAGGATTAGTAATTGTAACTTGAGAATATGGAGAACTCAGCAGCTTATCCAGAAAAAGCACTTGGAAAGATTAGGAACCAGAAATGTAGTTATTTCTTCAAGTTTATGCATGCCCTACTTTGATCGATAAGCAGTTAGTTTGCTTGAAATGCCTTTCAGAGGCCAGAGAACGTGAGTTCTGCGCAAATTTAAAAAAAAAAATTGTGTCAAAAGTATAGACGTTGTCGTTTTTGTTTGCGTAGAGTGCAGTATAGACCTTGTTGATTGTGTTATAATGATTTGTAATTTTATCATGTCTCAGTAAGCCTGAGGTTTTGGAAGCCAATGCCGGAGAAACTAACAAGTTGGCTAAGAATTTTGGATCCAAAGAAGAAGAGACTGACAAGTCGACGGAAGATGTTATACATAAAGAAGATGAGACTGATGAGTTGGCCAAGGATTTTGCACCCAAAGAAGGGACTGACAAGCTGGATAAGAAAAGGGCGGAAGTTTCACAGGGTGCAGCCAAGAAGAGAAGGAAAAGGAATAAAAAGAAGAAACTGGGTATGTATATACAAACTTTTTACCTAAGAGTGTTTAGTCTAATGGTCAGGCCCTTGGTTTGTTACCAAGAGGTCTGGGGTTCGACACCTCTCAAGGTACCCACCTAGCAATTGCTAGAGTTTCTTGCCTACCAAATGTTGTGGGGTCAGGCGGGTGGCCTAGTGAGTAGTCGGGTCAAAAACCTGGAGACACTAGATTCAAAAAAAAAAAAAAAAAAAAAAAAAATATACAAACTTTCCGTTTCTGTTTGCTGCATCTCGAGGGGTTATATGTTAACATTGTGCAAGTTAAAGTCATGTACAGAAAACAATCTACATGTTTTGCTTGCAAAATTTTACTTTGTTGTTCTTATATTGCAGCTGGTAGAACTGGAGCAAGCATCGCGCTTCTGTCTTTTTTGTCAGGTTTGTACATGGGAGCCGCAAACTTGCCAGGTCTGGTGTCGAGAAGTGTGATGGACGGGCTCGTCTCAAGGTTTACAAGTCTGCTGCCAAGAAGAGTAATAGGCTGGCTCTCAGCATAAGCATCCAAGTGATTCGGAAGACCTCTAATACAATGTTGTGCTTTTCTGGGTTTTCGATGGGTCGCGCTAACATTTTCGTCGTGCAACTCTGTCTCTTGCACGTTCTTAATCTGTTGGGTTGCGAACATCATCGTGTCGATGTTTATTGCTTTGCCTTGGACCACAAGCAATAGATGGAGAACGTGATTAAGAACGTCGACACGACGATGTTCGTAACCCCTATTGCTTTAGTGTCGATTTTCATTGTCGTGAGCTGATTTTCATACGTTGTTTTAAAAGGAAATTTGGATTTGATGTAAGTTAAGAACAGCAGGGAATGAAAATTAAATTAGTTTTGGTTTTATTTGTCTTTTGGATCTCGATGGCAATTTCGTAAATTAAGTGAAGATGTGTTAACGGACTTGGGCTAACCTCCGTTAGGGGCACGAGCTATAAGAAAGAGTTTGATGTTGTGTTTTAATATTTTTGGCATGTTGTATGATACTTTTGTCATTTTTATTAAATCTCAAGTCATTTTTTTCAGTAAACAGAAGTTTTAAAATATTCTTAATAAAGAAAAATTTGATTTACCACTTAGTACTATAGTCAAATGATATTCTTCTTTAACTTGTAAGTGAGAAGTTTTAGATTCGATTTTTGTAAAAAGTGAATTTGAATCACATTATTGCTAATTTGCTAGGTCATTGTGAGACTTAGCCAACCCATCTACCCTTTTAGTGTAGATAATATCGCTTGTTCAAAAGAAAAAAAAATTGATTCAAACCCTTTTTATTAAAACTCTATTTATTAGTTGTTATTATATTCAATAACTAAAGAATAATTAAGAGACATAATTTAAGAAAGGAGTGCATAGGCGAAAAGAAGTGCGTAAACTTATATTGATACATATGCTTAATAAAAAGATATGATTTGTTCAAAAATGATAAAAAAAAATGATGATTTCGTGTCGGCTAATATTGTACACCATGGTCAGTTCAAATATACAAAATAATTGAATTAAATTGTCAATTTTCGTCACTGACATCACCATTGTCCTTAAGCCATTTATAGTGAGCATGAAAATTGATTTTGAATTTCAGTTTATAATAATCAAACTCCTACAACATGTTGCAATTCAAGTTCTATGAGAATGATTCTAATTTTTTAATTTAACATATTTATTTCCATTTTTGAGAGAGAGATTCAGAGAATAAAAACCAATAAGAGAGTAGAAATGAGATGAATTAAACCACTGTGAAATGCATTTTTGACACATTTTTTAAAATCCAGGGACGAACTTGAAACCAAAAAAATATGGACCAAAGTGGAAAAACCACTAAATATCTAGACCAAATTTGTAATTAACTCTAATTTAGTTTTACAAAATAATAAACAAAAAAATAAAGCTGCATTCTTAAGACAATCTCCAACTCTTAGGCTAAAACCTAAAATTTTTAACCCATAAAATTTAGATTTTAGCCTAGAAACAACTTTTCTTCTCCAACTCTTCTGGCCTAAAATTTTAGCCAAGATTATTAAAAAATAAATTTAGGCTAAATTTCTTTTTAAAGTAACTTTTTTAAAAGAAAAAAAATTATGTAGACTATCCTAATTTAATTTTATAAACATTTTAATCTAAAAATATTTAGATTCTAACAAATATTGAAAAATCTAACACCATGAAGCTCGTTAAACACACTGAAAAAAATATGAAACACATAAAAAATTTCATTTATTTATTACTTTAGCCGTTAGATTTAAATTTAGACCTTTAAATATTTTTTTTCTTTTGAATTTCATCAAATTAGATCTTAACCGTTGGATTCAATGAATTTATAAATATAAAACTAAATAAAAAACACATATATGGTGGGCCAACCCCACTAATCCTGAGCTAAATCTGGCTTTTGTTTAGGTTTTAGCTTTTAACCCACACATTTAGCATGAGTTGGGTTGGGGTTAGGGGGTGAATAAACCTAAAAAATAGCATTTAGCCCAGGGTTGAGTTTGGTTTAAAAGCAACTCCAGTGGGAGTTGGAGCCTGATGGACCGACGACAGAAATGACCCAATAGCCCCAGCAATCTGCTCCAGCCTATGCGTGCAATTGGGCTCGGGGGAGACCTAGCTTGAATTGGTGGCCCGAGAGCCTGAGGCCACATGATGCAAGGTTGACGTCAACCACTTTATAAAATTAATAAAAAATTAAAAAAATGCAAACAATTAATAAAAAATCAGAAAAAAATTTCAAAATAAAAAAGATTTAATTTTTCTATAAATATCTTATCATTATCTTCCACTTTACACCACAATTTTATATTTTCACAAATACTTTTGATTGTAATTTACGTTGTATAATGAGACCGATTAAAAATCATATTTGAAATTTGAAATAAAATTATTTTTTATTATTTTATAAAATGAAAAAATACTAATATTTTATTATCTATTGTCATGACTATTCGGTGTAGTGGGGAGATCAAAAAAATAATTACTGTTTATTAAAGAAAATTACTGTTCACAGATTCAATAGTGAGTTGCCTATGCGGGTTTGCAACGCTGGAGTTGCTCTGAGAAAATCAACAGAAAACAAGGTGGGGGTTTGGGCTCTCGTCGGGGTTTCATTCATCACTCTTTTGAGCAAAAAATACCCAAAACATTTTCCCTTCATCATCCACGCTTCTCTCTGTAATTTGAGTTTTCCGCAGATTTCCTGAAATCCGAATTGGAATCAGCAAAAAGAGAAAAGCTTTGAAGCGAATTCAATATGAAGACGACGAAGGGAGGGAAGGTGATGAACCCTACGGACGCTTACCGGAAGGAGCTCCGGAAGAAGGATTTGAAACGGGTAACGATTACTTCTCTGAAAACTACGCCGTTTTGTGCTCTTTTTCTTCTGTTAATTCCTTGATTCCGTGCTCGATTCGCAACTGGGTTGTTCGTTTTCGTTTGTATTCGTTCGATTTTTGCAATTTGGTACTCCATTGTGTCTAATTTCAGTGTTGCCCTAATTCTCATGAGATTAGAATAAGTAAAACTTCAATTGAAATTTCAAAATTTTTACTACAATTTAGAGTTAGTAAATTTTTTTTAAAGTAATTTTATTTGGGATTGGATTTGGCATCTGCATTACCATTTTACCATTGTTGTTTTTGAAATAAAGATGTAAGCATACTGAAGCAGGCATTGGCTTATTGTAAATGGACTTGAGAGCATTAACTTCATGAAAGGCCGATGCTATTATTTTGTATCACCATTGAAAAGTTATATCAGGCAGTTTGCACAGCCTCACACACTTTGATCTTAGCCGAAAGGTCGAGAATGGTATATATATGTTCACACACAGACGTATTTGGAGAGCGGATGCATGACTGTGATGCTTAATCAGTATTACCTTTGCTAGTTTTTTTTTTCCTTCTGTTAAGTGCGTTTGATAGCGTATGCTTGTGCCTCCTCTTCTTAGAATTATGCAATTCCGAAATAAAACTCCCTTTGTATGTTTCTTCTGGTGTTCTTGACAAGAATAAAAAAGAACGAAAGAAGGTGAGAAAGGTGGGGATCTTGAAGAAGGATCCTGAGACTCTGAAGGAGCAGATTGATAAGCTTGAACTGATGAGTAAGTCACCGTTTGCTTATGGACTTCAGGTTATAGACCCTTTTTTATTTATAGAAAGAATGGTTATAATTTATAGCTGTTATATATCTATATGGTATAATAGTGGATCCTTTTTATGCTCGAATTTATTGAAGGTTGATTGTTTGAAATTTGAATGGTTGGAATAGTATTCATTTAGAAAAGAATGAATTTTTTCTTGGCGGAAAATTTCAGTTTGTACTTTATTACTTGTTGCTTCAATTTGTCTAGATTTTTTATTTTCACTAGTTTGCTTGTGATCTGCAGCCAGATCATGCTGCTTTTCTTGTTCATACACACTGAAGTATTTCATTAATTGGCGCAGAGGCCAATGGCGCTCTTGACAAAGCAAGAAAACACAAGAAGAGGCAACTAGAGGATACACTTAACCTTGTTATAAAGAAGCAGAAAGTATGATATGAGAAGCTAAGAGCTAGGTGAACACATAAAATCACTGGAACAATAAATAAACCATTAAAACAACACTTGGTTCAACATACGATGAAATTAAACTTCATAGCTCTAAGGAATATACTTCACCATAAAGTTGGTGTTCTTAGCTCTAAGGAATAATATACTTCAAAAGTGATACATGCATTTCATACAAAGTCCTCGACGTTCTTCATCCTTAAGATAGCACGTAGATGACTCAATAAAACCTGGAAAAGACTCGTTTTTATCTCCTTGTTAATCCCGGTGAAGTTTCCATCTTGGGTGTGGTGCACATAAACGTTCGGTATAAGCTTGATTAAATCTTCAATGTCATCTCATCGATAAGTTTTTTTTTTTGTTTGTTTCTCTATGTCGCTTTGCTTCGTCGAGATAACCATCTTCGACAATCTTGGTGTCCCAATCTTTTGAATCTATGAAAGTTAAGCTTTTAATAACCTTGTGAAAGTGGGAATCATTGGGCCTTGTTCTATGTCTTTTCGATTGGTGAATATCGGCAAAATATTCAAGCCTTTTGAAGTCACTCATCAGACTTGGATGATTTATGAGCACATTGATAAAATTCGCATAACTAGGAGGGAAAAAAACAATAAGTCTTTGGCATATAAGAATTATAGGCAAATAGTTTTACTTAATAATAAAGTTGTTTACTTACTACAATAAGCAAGCTGGTCCATCAATTTTGAAGCAAACAAGAAATAGTGTCTTGTCCACTATTGTCATAGGCAACGTTTCGGAGATATACTCGCCAAAGTCTGAAAGATCTTGGAATTTTTGGCTAATCTTTTGGCTCTCAACCACACTTTTAATGTTCAATATCTTTAAATCTTCACCAACAACTACGTAACTAGAAGCTTTATTTAAGCTTCCATGTGTTTGGTTCTTGTTATGCTTAAATAAAGTTTTTAGTTACGTGGTTGTTATTGAAGATTTGAAGATATTGAACATTAAAAGTGTGGATAAGAGCCAAAAGATTAGCCAAAAATTCCAAGATCTTTCAGACTTTGGCGAGTATATCTCCGAAACGTTGCCTATGACAATAGTGGACAAGACACTATTTCTTGTTTGCTTCAAAATTGATGGACCAGCTTGCTTATTGTAGTAAGTAAACAACTTTATTATTAAGTAAAACTATTTGCCTATTATTCTTATATGCCAAAGACTTATTGTTTTTTTCCCTCCTAGTTATGCGAATTTTATCAATGTGCTCATAAATCATCCAAGTCTGATGAGTGACTTCAAAAGGCTTGAATATTTTGCCGATATTCACCAATCGAAAAGACATAGAACAAGGCCCAATGATTCCCACTTTCACAAGGTTATTAAAAGCTTAACTTTCATAGATTCAAAAGATTGGGACACCAAGATTGTCGAAGATGGTTATCTCGACGAAGCAAAGCGACATAGAGAAACAAACAAAAAAAAAACTTATCGATGAGATGACATTGAAGATTTAATCAAGCTTATACCGAACGTTTATGTGCACCACACCCAAGATGGAAACTTCACCGGGATTAACAAGGAGATAAACGAGTCTTTTCCAGGTTTATTGAGTCATCTACGTGCTATCTTAAGGATGAAGAACGTCGAGGACTTTGTATGAAATGCATGTATCACTTTTGAAGTATATTATTCCTTAGAGCTAAGAACACCAACTTTATGGTGAAGTATATTCCTTAGAGCTATGAAGTTTAATTTCATCGTATGTTGAACCAAGTGTTGTTTTAATGGTTTATTTATTGTTCCAGTGATTTTATGTGTTCACCTAGCTCTTAGCTTCTCATATCATACTTTCAGACTTTGGCACATCAAAACCTGCTCATTAATGAATGTTCTCCACCTACAATCAGTCTGCTTATCAACTTTCGAGGTGAGGGTTTCTATTCCTTTAGTTTCATTCTGTAGAATATTGCATTCGCTATGAGAAGCTAGAAGCTAGGTGAACACAAAATCACTGAAAAAATAGCCAAACCATTAAACTAAAACAGCATCTGGTACTCTTTCAGGTATGCATGGAATCCAAACAATACCCTCAAGAGTTAATAAGTCTTCACAAATTCACCCGCTTGAAGCTAGGTTCACACAAAGGGAAAAATAGACAAATCATTAAAACTAAACAACACCTTTAACTCTTTCAAGTATACATGAATCCAAAGAAACTCCCAAGATTTTTAAGTCTTTACAAATTCACCTGCTATGAGAAGCTAGAAGCTAGGTGTACGCATAAAATCACTAGAACAATGGACAAACCATAAAAACAAATCCTGATGCATGCTTTGTTCAGAGTATTTCCTACATTTTCTTGATCCTTAAGGTTGCATGTATACGACTCAGTAAACCGGGAAAACACATGTTTATCTCCTCGTTGATCTTGTCGAGCTCTCCATCCTTGACATAGTGGACATAAACATTTTGTATTACTCGGATCAAATCCTAAACACTATTCCCATTTAATTTCTCGTTTCTCTTTTTGTGTTAATTTTTTTGACTTGTCCAGATAACCATTTATGACTATGTTGGTGTCCCAATTTCTGAATTCTTCAAAATCAGGGCCTTTAATTTTCGTATCAAAACAAGGACCATTGAGCCTTGTTTTGTGCTTCTTTGATTGGTGAAAATCAAAGTAACATTTGAGCTTGTTGAACTCACTCTTCAAAGTTGGGTGATCGATGAGTATAGAGACAACCTGTCATAACTAGGAAACAAATTAAGTTTTCAGGTATAAGAATAATATACCAAATAATTTAATTGAACAACTAATCAATCATTTGGAAGTGTTTTCAAATGAATAAAAGTGCTTTTAGAGAAAATGTTTTTGGGTTCCAAAAGCAATTTCCTAGATTGTTTCCAAAAACATTTCCACAAAAAGCGTTTTTGGTCATTTTAAAAGCATTTCTAAACAAGCCTAAACTTGTTTACTTACTCCCACGAGTAAGCCTGCCCACCATTTTGAAGCAATTTGAGAAATTGTGTCCTATCCACTATCGTCAGTGGGAATTTATCAATGATAAATTCGTCAAAATCTGACAAGTCTTGAAACCTTTGCGTGTGGCTGTCATTCCTGTCCTTAATGTTAAAAATCATCACATCATCGCCTAAGATCGCATAACTGGATGCTTTCTTTAATCCCCACGAATCTAATCCTTGTTGTGCATATATTATATTGTCTTGAGTGTCTTTCTACACAAGTAAGCAACTTTAATAAGTTCCACGTACACGTATAGTCACACGCACGCACGCACAAAGAAACACATGAACGCTTACTAACGAACATTTTCCACCTACAATCAGTGGACAAACAGAAACAATTGCACCGACCTGTGGTGGAGAATGCTCGTTAGTAAGTGTTCATGTGTTTCTTTGTGTGTGCGTGTGTGTGACTATACGTGTACGTGGAACTTATTAAAGTTGCTTACTTGTGTAGGAAGACACTTATGACGATACAGTATATGCACAACAAGGATCAGATTCATAGGGAATTAAAGAAAGTATCCAGCTATGTGATCTTAGGCGATGATGTGATGATTTTTAACATTAAGAGCGGGAATGACGGCCATACACAAAGGTTTCAAGACTTGTCAGATTTGGGTGAATTTATCACTGATAAATTCCCACTGACGATAGTGGATAGGACACAATTTCTCAATTGCTTCACAAATGGTGGGGCAAGCTTACTCGTGGAAGTAAGTAAACAAGTTTAGGCTTGTTTGGAAGTGCTTTTAAAATGACCGAAAGCGCTTTTTGTGGAAATTTTTTGGAAACAATACAGGAAAAGCACTTCAAGTGTTTTTGGAACCCGAAAAGATTTTATCTAAAAGCACTTTTATTCATTTGAAAGCACTTCCAAACGATCGATTTGTTATTCAATTAAATTATTTGGCATATTATTCTTATACCTGAAAACTTAATCTGTTTCCTAGTTATGATAGGTTTGTCTCTATGCTCATCAATCACCCAACTTTGAAGAGTGAGTTCAGTAGGCTCAAATGTTACTTTGATTTTCACCAATCAAAGAAGACAAAACAAGGCTCAATGGTCCTTGTTTTGACACGAAAATTAGAGGCCTTGATTTTGAAGAATTCAGAAATTGGGACACCAAGATAGTCATAGATGGTTATCTGGATAAGTCAAAAAAATTTACACAAAAAGAGAAATGAGAAAAATTAAATGGGAATAGCGTTGAGGATTTGATCCGAGTAATACGAAATGTTTATGTCCACTACGTCAAGGATGAAGAGCTCGACAAGATCAACGAGGAGATAAACACGTGCTTTCCCGGTTTACTGAGTCGTATACATGCAACCTTAAGGATCAAGAAGGTAGAGGAAATACTCTGAACAAAACATGCATTAGGTGTTGTTTTTATGGTTTGTCCGTTCTAGCGATTTTACGTGTACACCTAGCTTCTCATAGCAGGTGAATTTGTAAAGACTTAAAATCTTGGGAGTTTCTTTGGTTTTAATGATTTGTCTATTTTTCTCGTGAATTTGTGTGAACCTAGCTTCTAACATCTCATAGCGGGTGAATTTGTGAAGACTTATTAACTCTTGAGGGTATTGTTTGGATTCCATACATACCCTGAAAGAGTATCATGTGTTGTTTTAGTTTTAATGGTTTGGTTATTTTTTCAATGATTTTGTGTTCACCTAGCTTCTAGTTCCTCATAGTGGATGCAATATTCTACAGAATATAACTAAAGGAATAGAAACCCTCACCTCGAAAGTTGAAACCGAGCTTTGTCCAGTCTTGCTACATTAACTTGTGTGATGAACTGAATGCCATTAACTGCAGTTTAAAAAGAAGAAAGATCAACGAGCACGTTCACAAGTAGGAGGGAGTTCTGTATTTGATTTGAGAATTTTCACACAAAGGAGAGAGTATAGTAACAAGTGAAATAAGGTGCAACAAGTAGACAAACATGAATTAGGAACAAAGAAATTTCATGGACCCAATCCATCGAATTTGACGAGCTAAATAAGAAGAGGGTAGGTATGGAGCACCCTACAAGGACGAGGCGGTGTTGGCTAGGCAATGTTGGAATTGGATACAATCACTCTCCCGTCTCTGATTCATCCGATTTCTTTCTAACACAGTTGAACTTCTGATCGGATTTTCTTCCACTCTCTTTCAGATGACTTCCCAGACAGCAACAAGGTCAGTCGCTTGATTTATACATTATTTTTTAATTTTTGTTTTATCTAATTGAATTTTTATTCATAAATTTCGATACAGTGTTTGATGTCAGCTATTATGTCTAGTGCCACCATTTTAGAAGAGTAATCTGTTTGAATTTGGAACCACTGATTAAAAGTAGAGGCATTTTATTTTGTTAAATTTGAAAATTTTATCTGAACTTGGACTGTAATATTGTTGTGGTCAGCCTGCCCATGGAGGGGGAGAGCCCTACAACATCTGTGTTAATGCTGATGAACTTTATTCCTCGCCCGTTCAGAGCAGCCTTATATGAGTTGAAAATCAACCAAGCAGGAGAAGTTTTGGGAGGAGAAACATGTAGGCCACTTGAACCTGTTCACTGGTTCTTCGATCCAAAAAAATCATCTGAGTTCCCAGTCCCAGTCCCCGATTATATTATATTGGACGGTGTGAGGTACGGCAGCCCCTCCAAGCTTTACCATCTTACTGATCCAGCATCCTTCCCCCTTATAACAAATCCATCGTTTGAGTGTTATAATCCCAAGGACATTTGGGAGCCTCTCAATCCTTTTCCAAAATATGGTCAGAAAACGGGACCTTCCTATGTGGAGGTTATGGGCTAGACTGTTTGTTACGGTTGTATTCTAATTTCATTGTATGACTTTGGACCATCTGAGTTCGTGCTTTTTCACATTGCCAGTGAAACATGGCACCCAGTTTACGTACCTACAGTTGATGATGATATGACTGGTACTAAGCCTTATCCTTCTTTTGTGGGGAGGGCTGTTGTCGTAAACGATGTTATCTACGCCGCATCTACAGTGAGCGGGGTTATCATATCATTCTCTCTTGGGATGGATTCAGATCCTAGTGGTCGCATTCTCTTTACCGTAAAGAATCTATTCAAGTTTCCGGAGTTCACAAGTTTCCTTGAGTTGGACAACACTGTAACAGAGTCTTTGGTTCATTTGGGGGAATTAAGATTTTGTCTCCTGCAAACTTTCTTTTGCAGCAGGGGCAGGGGATTTCAACCTCTGTGGATCACAACATTAGAAATTGTCAATGACGGTTCAGGGGAAAGGTGTATCAAGACTTTATGTTCTGTTGGTCGTGACACTGATATTCAGATTTCTGGTGGATTCGAACTTGGTTACTGCTTCACACCATGAGTTCCTTCAAGACTTTTATGTTTCAAATCTCCCTATAATTTCAGTTTCATGACGTCACATCACATTACATGTTTTGTTATCAAACTGTATATGATTTCTGATTCTTTCATGTCTTAGACAATTTAAGGATCTTGAACCCGAAGAAGACAACAAATTTCAGGCAGCGATGGTACAGGTGAAATACAAGCATCTATATGGAATCTTTTTTATTTAATCTTCTGTGTTGAGTCATAAGAATCAGTTGTGTATGCGACGGATTTTATTTTTGTTTGTGTTCTAGTTTTATGATAACAATATTGGGTTTGACGGTGGGCAGCCAGACGGAGAGGCAAAACGAAGGAAAATAATAAGTTCATCAGGTCAGACTCTCTCTCTCCGTTTTTGTTTAACTCGGATGTGCATTGCAATATTATCAATTGTTTTGGCAGCTTATATAAGGCCTGCTGTCAAATTTGGTAATGACAATGTCACTTGAATAGTTAATAGGATTAACATAACTTGTTTATACTTCACAATGTGAATTCATTCACGCGTATTTCAATTTCAGCACGGCACACTCCCATTACTTTTTTATTTATCAAACTGTTTGTGATTTCTGATTCATTCATGTCCCAGACAATTTGATGAATTTGAACTCAGTGGAGACAAGAAAGTGCAGCTAAAGCTGGTACAGCAGGTGATACGCATGCATCTGTTTGGAATCTGTTTGTTTAATATTGCTTGTTGAGTTAAAGAATCAGTTGTCTATGCCTATGGATTTTATTTGTCTGTGTTCTAGTTTTCTGATAATAATTTTGGGTTTGACAGTGGTTAGCCAGAGAGAGAAGCAAAATGAAGGAAAAGAATTCCAATAGGTCAGACTCTCTCTCTCTCTCTCTCTCTCTCTCTCTCTCTCTCTCTCTCTCTCTCTCTATGGACTTTCCATTTTTCCCCTGAATGCACACTCCATGTTTATCTTGCAGAACATATAATCCATCCAATTTTGTTTTACTTGGATGTGCAATGCATTATTATGAATTGTTTTGCAGCTTATGTTAGGCCTGGTATCAAGCTAACAGTTAACATTGCCAACGTATCCAATGTACTCTCTTAACGGATTTACAGAATATTTTGAAATTAATATAACATGTTACATTTGCAGAGCGCCTGGTGTCAGATATGCTGAACTGAAAAGAAAAAAAAGGATGACAGTGTCGCTTAAATGGTTGATAGGATTTGTTGGTATTCAAAGTTTACTAACTCAATACCAAAATATGTGGGTGATAAGTTCACAAACTCTTTCACACCTCTCACTTTGCACTCTCAATAAAATTGGACAAATGAAAGGAAAGAAGTAGCAAGCTTGGTGATAACAAACACTTTGAAATATTAGAAGAGTTTACAACTCTTAAAGCTTACAAGCTGAAAATGAGAATGGGATTGGAATGGAATGGGAATTCGGATTGATTCTAAAACCTAGCAAGAAGGCCTATTTATACAAAGCAGAAATTGATAAACAATACAACAACACATGCAATGAATGATGGTGTTCACAATCTTTATTCCCTTTCAAACACATGCAGCAACTTTGGATGGTTGGCAGACACATGCATTGCATCATTCCAGGTTGCAATCACAACCTTTCGGGTAGCACATAGCAGCTCACATCTGTGTTGTATTTCAACACACTTTTAGCTAGCACATGGCAGCACATTGCTGTCTTGTAATCACCTTTCGGCTAACAAGTGGAGGGAGCAATGATGTTTGTAGTTGTAGGTGAATAGCTTGGAAAGAACTAACAGCTAGCTTTAACCATTGACAACCTGTTTTTATTTGAATTTCCAACACACCTCATCAAATCAAAACGCCTTCATTCTTAGCATTTCATGTAGCAGCCTGAATGATTTAACTGGCAGTAGCTTTGTGAATATGTCAACCACTTGTTCCTTGGTGCGACAATAGACAAGTTCGATTGTCTTTTGCTTCACATGGTCCCTTAGAAAATGGAACCTGGTATCAATATGCTTGCTCCTTCCATGTTGGACTGGATTCCTAGCAAGCTTGATAGCTAAGATGTTATCCACATGAATCACAGTTGATTCCACTTGTGGATGACACATTGATTTCAACAGATTTCTTAACCAAATTGCCTCACACACAGCTGAGGCTATAGCAACGTATTTGGCTTCACACGATGACAAAGCAACAATTGATTGCTTCTTTATTTGCCAAAAGAATTGTGGGCAGAAGTTGTAGCTTGTTCGATTTATTTGTTGAATCGATGTCCAGCAAAGAGTGTCAAGAGGATGACACCACAAGAGGCTTGGAGTGGATACAAGCCAAATGTTGCACACCTAAGAGTTTTTGGGTGTGTTGCATATGCTCAAGTTCCAGAAGTCAAGAGGAGGAAACTCGATGATAGAGGTGAGAAGTGTGTGTTTGTGGGCTATAGTGAAGAGTCCAAGGCATACAAGCTCTACAACCCACTAACTGGCAAACTAGTGGTTAGTAGAGATGTCATCTTCAGTGAGGAAGAGGCATGGAAGTGGAATAACAAAGAAGTCAGTAAAGAGAAGATCGTCTCCACTGATTTTGAAGAACTAGAAGTTGTACCACCTATTGAGCAACAGCCTGCTCAAACAATCACAACTACTCCATAGCAAAAAACTGCAAGGAGTGGCCCTACATCCAGTGAGGCTTAGAAGTCTCACCGAGATATATGGACAAGAAGAAGAAGAAACCAACCTTTTCTGCTTGTATGCAGACCATGAACCTTTTTCATTCAATGAAGCTGTGGAAGAAGATTGTTGGAGAATAGCCATGGAGAAGAAATTCATGTCATCGAGAAGAATGACACTTGGGAGTTGACAAAGCTTCCACCAAATCAGAAGGCTATTGGTGTCAAGTGGGTGTACAAGATCAAACGCACTGTAGATGGGAGTGTGGATCGGTACAAATCAAGGCTTGTAGCAAAGGGCTACAAACAGAAGCATGGAGTGGACTATGATGAAGTCTATGTTCCAGTTGCAAGAGTTGACACGGTAAGATTGCTAATCTCTCTTGCCGCTCATCATAAATGAAAAATTTATCAACTAGATGTCAAGTCAGCCGTCCTTAATGGAGTACTTGAGGAAGAAGTGTACGTGGAACAACCGGAAGGCTTCTAAGTACAAGGAGAAGAAGATAAGGTGTATTGTTTGAAGAAGGCTTTATATGGTCTCAAGCAAGCACCACGAGCTTGGAACTCAAGGATTGATAACTACCTTCACCAAAATAGATTTCAGAAATGTCCATACGAGCATTCAGTTTACATGAAGAACGGTGAAAAAGGGGAGTTCTTAATTATTTGTCTCTATGTAGATGACTTGTTGTTTACAGGAAACAATGAAGCAATGTTTTGTGAGTTCAAGCAATCCATGTTCAATGAATTCGAGATGACTGACAATGGATTAATGTCATACTTTCTTGGCATAGAGGTGAAGCAAGAAAGTGATGGTATCTACATCTCTCAACAAAAGTACATGAGAGATATTTTGGAGAAATTCAATATGGACAAGTGCAATATTGTCAACACTCTAGTTGCAATTGGATTGAAGCTGTCCAAGGAAGGAGAAGGTGAGTTTGTAAACTCAACTGTGTACAAAAGCTTGGTTGGAAGCCTAAGGTACCTTACAATCACAATACCTGATATAGTTTATGGTGTTGGACTCGTGAGTCGGTACATGAAAACACCAAGGGAGTCTCATTGGCTGGCCACCAAGAGAATTTTGAGGTACATAAGAGGTACTCTAAACTATGGTCTGTTTTATAATTTTGGTGAAGATGCAAAATTATTTGGTTATTCAGATAGTGATTGGGGAGGTGACCAAGATGAAAGGAAGCACAACTGGCCATGTGTGTTTTCTAGGATCAACAGCTTTCTCATGGACTTCAAAGAAGTAATCAATTGTTGCTTTGTCATTGTGTGAAGCCGAATACGTTGTTGTAGCCTCAACTGTGTGTGAGACAAATTTGGTTAAGAAATCTGTTGAAGTCAATGTGTCATCCACAAGTGGAATCAACTGTGATTCATGTGGATAACATCTTAGCTATCAAGCTTGCTAGGAATCCAGTCCAACATGGAAGGAGCAAGCATATTGATACTAGGTTCCATTTTCTAAGGGACCATGTGAAGCAAAAGACAATCGAACTTGTCTATTGTCACACCAAGTAACAAGTGGCTGACATATTCATAAAGCCACTGCCAGTTGAATCATTCAGGCTGCTACGTGACATGCTAGGAATGAAGGCGTTTTGATTTGAGGTGTGTTGGAAATTAAAATAAAAACAGGTTGTCAATGGTTAAAGCTAGCTGTTAGTTCTTTCCAGGCTATTCACCTACAACTACGAACATCATTGCTCCCTCCACTTGTTAGCCGAAAGGTGATTACAAGACAGCAGTGTGCTGCCATGTGCTAGCTGAAAGTGTGTTGAAAGACAACACAGATGTGAGCTGCTGTGTGCTAGCCGAAAGGTTGTGATTGCAACCTAGAATGATGCAATGCATGTGTTTCAAACCATCCAAAGTTGCTGCATGTGTTTCAAACCATCCAAACTTGCATGTATTCTTCTCTACCATCCTTTTGGATGATATCTTTCCTTTGCCTTCAACTGGCAACTTTGAGGAGTCACCAAGACTCACAGATCCATAAGGCCCATCTTTGAGTTGGCAAAAAACTCTTTCTTTCCACACATGTGGTTGCTTGCACCAGAGTCCAAATACCAAACATTTTGTTGGCTACTGATATCATGGTGTGCTAGTAAGATTGTAAATTCCTCACTAGCATTTCCACTTGATTCTGCCATGTTGACATGCTCACCATTTTTATATGAACATTCATTGGCATAATGTCCATATTGCTTGCAACTGTGACACTGGATATGTGCCTTTCCTCGAGTAGATCTCTACTCTTGAGAATGACCTCGGTTTTGTGCATAGCCTCGATCTCTTCCTCGGGTTTGTCCTCGACTACGGTTGGATGAACTCCCACAACGTGAGTTCCACTGCCCACGACCTCCATTTGGTTTGTCAATATTCAACTTTGACTCCAAAGCTTGCTCTAGCATTGTGGGGCTTGCATTCTTCTGAATGCGTTGCTCGTGAACCAGGAGGGATCTTAGCAGTTCCTCTACGCTCATTTTCTCCAAATCCTTGGATTCCTCAATGGCAGTCACCACATGCTCAAAGTTGCATGTGAGTGATCGAAGGATTCTCTCCATGACACGAACATCGTCAAGCCTCTCGCCATTCCTTTTTCATTTGATTCACAATTACAAGTAGTCGAGAGTAGTAGTCTGAAATGTTTTCTCCTTCTTTCATATGAGTAGCTTCAAAATCTGCTTTTAATGATTGAAGCCGGACTCTTTTTACTCGATCTACTCGTTGGTAAATTGTGCTCAGACTATCCCAAACTTGCTTGCTGGTTGTTGCTTCTGCAACTTTCTCGAATGTTGAATCTTCTAATCCTTGATAGAGAAGATACAGCGCCTTATGGTCCTTCTTTCGTAAATCCTTGAGAGTGTTCCTTTGATCTGTATATATGTGGCTTCTTGCTCGGCAGTGGGTACAACATACCCACTACTAACAACTTCCCATAGCTCTTGTGATCCAAACAATGCTTTGAATTGGATGCACCATCTTTGATAATTTTCTTTCTTCAATGTGGGAACCTGGAGTTGCACTAAATTGGACGCCATAGTTGCTGCACTTGCCAGAAAGGTATTCTGGCTCTGATACCAATTGTTGGTATTCAAAGTTTACTAACTCAATACCAAAATATGTGGGTGATAAGTTTACGAACTCTATCACACCTCTCACTTTGCACTCTCAATAAAATTGGACGAACGAAAGGAAAGAAGTAGCAAGCTTGGTGATAACAAACACTTTGAAATATTAGAAGAGTTTACAACTCTTAAAGCTTACAAGCTGAAAATGAGAATGGGATTGGAATGGAATGGGAGTTCGGATTGATTCTAAAGCCTAGCAAGAAGACCTATTTATACAAAACAGAAATTGATAAACAATACAACAACACATGCAATGAATGATGGTGTTCACAATCTTTATTCCCTTTCGAACACATGCAGCAACTTTGGATGGTTGGCAGACACATGCATTGCATCATTCCAGGTTGCAATCACAACCTTTCGGCTAGCACACAGCAGCTCACATCTGTGTTGTCTTTCAACACACTTTTAGCTAGCACATGGCAGCACACTGCTGTCTTGTAATCACCTTTCGGCTAACAAGTGGAGGGAGCAATGATGTTTGTAGTTGTAGGTGAACAGCCTGGAAAGAACTAACAGCTAGCTTTAACCACAACCTGTTTTTATTTGAATTTCCAACAGGATTGACATAACTTGTCTTAGACTCTTGGTATGTTTAACTTTTTGTGGAAGCTTGAGGATGATAGGATTAGTAATTGTAACTTGAGAATATGGAGAACTCAGCAGCTTAAGTTCCTTTTTGTTTCTTTGCTGTAATTACAATTTCATTACATCAGGATTCTGTTATAACGATCTGTAATTCTATCATGTCTCAGCACGCCTGAGGTTTTGGAACCTAGTGTTGGAGAAACTAACAAGTTGGCTAAGAATATTGAAATCGAAGAATGAGACTGATAAGTTGGCTAAGGATTTTGAACCCAAAGAAGGGACTGACAAGCTGGATAAGAAAAGGACGGAAGTTTCACGTGGTGCATCCAAAAAGGAAGAGGAATAAAAAGAAGAAACTGGGTATGTATATACAAATTTTAGTTTTTGTGTTTGCTGCATCTCCAAGGGTTATATGTTAAGATTGTGCAAAATTTTAATTTGGTTTATTCTTGTGGATCATCGTGTACATTGATAGATTGCATGCGTCTCACAATATGGACGGCCTAATTGATCATGTAATTTTTCTCTTTTTTTGTTTTTTGTTTTTAATCTTTCGTCATTTTGGTGTTTCTTATGCTGCAGCTTGCAGAACTGGAGCAAGCGCCGTTCTTTTGTCTTTTTCGTCAGGCCTGTATATGGGAGCCTCATACTTGCCAGGTCTGGTGCCGAGGAGAGCGATGGACGGGCTCGTATCAAGGTTTGCAAGTCTGCTGCCAAGAAGAGTAATAGGCTGGCTCTCAGCATGAGCATCCAAGTGAATTTGGAAGACCTCCTATACGTCTTGTGCTTTTCTTGGTTTACGATTGGGACGACCTCCAAAAGTTAGAAAACTCTCATGTAGCGGGACCTATTCGTTCTCTTGTTTAATTTTTTTGGTTGAGAAGTGACCTATATGTCATCTGATAAATCGAAGCAGAAATCAAACCAAACTTGCAAAGCAAGCAAGCCTACTAGGTTTAGTTAGGGATGTCAACGGTTTGGTTTGGGGACGGAAATGCTATATCCATCCCCATAACCATGAAAATTAACCATATCCATAACCGCCAATTAACCATCAAGTATTATCCATAACCATACCCACTGGGTAACTGGTTTCCCATCGGTTAACGGTTATACCCATTTTTGTCAATACAAAAAAATATATTTGTTCAATTAACGTATGATAATTTAGTAAATATTAATTTCGTCACTAAATATTTGATGTATAAAATGATTTAATGAATGGATCTTGTGGAGCATAAAAATTAAAGCTAAACATCGCTAATGTTAGCTGATATTTGATATCTCCCATAAGTACTATTGGTCTGGATTCTCATAGATTTTGATTCATATCAAAACTTTTTAACTTGCCTACAAAATACAACTCACACGGTGCAACCTTTATATTCTTAAGGTAATGGATTCAGTGAAAAATAAATAAATAAATATATATATATTAATACAATTATATTATATATGATTATATATAAATACTATTATATTATATATAATTCGGTTCGGATTCGGTGACGGATATGGATTGGGGATCCGTATAACCATATCCAATACCATAACCGAATATTATTCACAGTTTTTCCCCATATCCAAAATATATCCGAATTTTCATACCCAAATCCAATCCATTCCAGCCGGTTATCCACAGTTATCGATTTTAACGGTTATAATTGTCATCCCTAGGTTTAATATAAATAAAGGCACAACTGATGGAAGGCGTCATCACAAAAATTACCCAACTCTCTTTTCTCTATTCCATTGCACGCTCTATCTCCCTTCAGTAAAATAGGCCCTTGGTACAGTCGGTTTGGCACAGTGCGGCCTAGACAACCGTCTTGGGCTCAAAAAAATTGGGAGCACCAAAATTATTAGGGTGATATATTTATATATGTTTTTATAAGTGTATAACTTTAAAAAATGTGGTTAAATGATAGGTGTTTCTAATTTACTGAGTTGAAGTGCTTTTTTAAGTATAATTTCGTTGAAGTTTCATGTGTGAAAACAAATAATCTATTTTATATTAAGTTAGGGTACGTTTTTTGACGTCGTCCAGGACCTCAAAAATATTAGAACTAGCCCTGGCCCTTGGCAACGATTAATGTTAAGGTCTACAAGTAGATTGATGCTTTCACGTAAAACCCCTCCCACATAAAGGAGTAAGATTCTTTCCCTTCTATTGTCATCTCCTTGCCTCCTCTCCTCTCACACTTTCTTTTTTGTCTTTTTCTCTAATAAAAAAATTCAAAACAAGATATTGATGTGAATTAATTGTAACTATTTAAATAGGAGGCGTGAATGAGAGAGTGATTAGTAGGAGAGAAAATCTTACTCCCTCATCGTAACCATATCTTTTGGTTAGGATAAAGCACAACATGTTGACTTTATCAATTGGGTTGAACCGGGCAGATTAGCTTATCACATTGGCTAATTAGGATTTTGGATTCCATCCAGATCCAAATTGTGGGGATCTTAGGGTTTCATACCTTAGCCATTCATCGTGCATCGTGCGGTCAGAAATTATTTGACTTTTTTTTATTTAAAATTAAACACAACTAGTGCCTCACGAAAATTGGCCACATGATGTACGATGAACGGCTAAAATGTGGAATCCCCACAAAGTGGATTTGGAGAGGATCCCCACAAAGTACATATTGTTCATTATTATATGAATACTGTAAGTTGCTGCCATATCCATGTATATATTATGAGTTTCTTTTCATTTGAACTCAGTGAGTTGATGCATATATAATTGCTTCATGTTGATTTAAGATTGGCCGCAACATCTTAAGTCCTCGTAGATGTGAGCAAGAGCATTTAGGGTTCAATCCCAGAATGTGATAAGGTGACAGATTTCATATATGAAAGCCATTGAGGAACAGTTTGTGAAATCTGATAAGGCACTTGCTAGCATCCTGATGCAGAAATTTTCATGCATGAAGCATGACAATTCCAAGAGTGTGTGAGCACATATGGAAATGAGGGACATTGCAACTCGACTTAAGTCCTTATAGATAGAGATTTCTGAGTCATTCTTGGTCAATTTCATTCTTCGTATCACACACTTAAGGAAAAGTGGTATTCCAATAAACGTCTGACCATGTGTTTTCAAAAGGAAGAGAGATTGAAACTTGATAAATTGGAAAGTGCTCATCTGGTAATTAATGTGCAAGGGCAAACATTTTCCTAAGGTAAAAAGGAAAGAAAATGAAGCGTTTTACTGACAAGGATGCTTGCTTCTTCTGCAACAAGAAGGGAGACACAAGAAGATGGAATGCGAATTGGAAACTGCTCATCTGGTAATTAACGGGCATGAAGGTGCCAAGAAGGGCAAATGTTTTCCTAAGGTGAAAAAAAGGAAAAAAACCAATGAAGCATTTTACGGACAAGGATGCATGCTTCTTTTGCAACAAGAAGGAACACAAGAAGACCGAATGCGCCAAGTACAAGAAATGGTTGAAAAAGAAAGGTACTCTGTTTGCTCATGTGTGTCTTGAATCTTATTTTGTTGAGGCTCCTAGTAATACATGGTGGATTTTATCACTCGATCATGCTCAACGGACTGCTGCATTCTTCTCCAAGATAGCGAGTGAACATAAGAGCTTTGTTGATTTGTTATCTATTACTGCGTGTATTGTAGGCGTACAATTAATTCTTTTATATCTATAAAAAGTAGTTTTGATTTTTCAAAATGGAAACTTTTGTGTCATATTGTTCACATTAATTTTGATCAACTGCATTAGCTTGGACAAAACTTGCAAAATTGGCATCCATTGGAAATCTAATGAGCTATCCGAATTTTCATGTCCTAGCAACCAAACGAGGCCGTCGAGTTTAAGCTGGCTAAACGGGATGGATAGTGAGGTCTAATGTAAAAACAAAATAAACAACTAAAGACAGACTTATTCCACCATAGAGGTTTCTCATTTTCTACTTGTCGTCCGTTTGCAGTTTGCACTTGAAAAAGAAAATGTGGAATTTCAGGAATTAGTGTCACATCCTGATTTGGGCCCCCACCACATCCTTGACTCGACTCCACTGTAGCACGATATTGTCCGCTTTGGGCCCCGACCACGCCCTCACGGTTTTGTTTCTGGGAACTCACATGAGCAGAACTTCCTAGTGGATCACCCATTCTAGGAATGCTCTCACGCGAACTCGCTTAACTTCGAAGTTCTGATGGAACCCGAAGCCAGTGAGCTCTCAAAATGTCTCGTGCTAGGTAGAGATGAGAATATTCATATAAAACTTACAAGATCCTCACCCATGGGGATGTTAAGGCTTACAAGATCATCACCCATGGGATGTGGGATATTACAATCCACTCACCTTAGGCATCCCCCTTAAGGGCTTAACGACCTCGTCGGCACACTTCCGGCCAGGGATTGGCTCTGATACCAAATTGTCACATCCCGGGCTCAATTTCACCATAGCACGATATTGTCCGCTTTGAGCCCCAACCATGCCATCACGGTTTTGTTTATAGTAATGCTCCCGCGCAGAACTCGCTTAACGTCGGAGTTCTGATGGAACCCAAAGTTAGTAAGCTTCCAAAAGGCCTCGTGCTAGGTAGAGATGAGAATATACATATAAGGCTTACAAGATTCTCATCTATGGACGATGTGGGATCTTACAATTAGACTCCCAACTTCCATTTCTACTAAATTAGTCGTCATTTCACAATTTCAACATATAATAAAGAGAAAACATACATGTAATTTCTGAATAACAATAATAATAAATATCATCTTATATAAATTAATAAGTTGAAGGTTATATTCGTCATTGAACAAATTATCTATTCTAAAATTGAAGGGGGAACGGCACTGTAGCCGCCTCAATTCTTGCCACTTGATTTCACTCTATTTACAACAATGCCGGTCAAATTAGGATGGGTTGGGAGGGTAATTCTCAAAATTTCAGAGGGTGATTTGTCTATATGGTTTAGCACGAAGCCACTCGATTTCATGCTATTTACAACAATACCAGCCACATGGGGCTGGGTTGGGAGGGTAATTATTAAAAGTTCAAAGGGTAATTTTGTCCATTTGATTTAGCACGGATTGCTGGTTGGGGTTAGGTTCCTTCCCTGTCGGACTTGGATTGTCTGCCCTCCAATTTCTGTGCCCTCCTGTTTTTGTAGTCACGGTTAAGCCACATCAACATTTTATATTACTATTTTTTTTTATTTTATTATTTTTATAAAAAAAAATATAAAATATTAACGTGGCTTAACCGTGACCACACAAAACAAGAGGGCGGAGGACACCTAAATGGGAGGGCAGACAATCCAAGTCCTTCCCCGTCACTTCGTTCTGTCTTCGGCACAGGCAAAACCATGCCGACCCTGGCATGGGTGAGTGGGAGGGCGACAGTGACAGAAAGAGAGAGTGACAGTGAGAGAAAGAGATTTCAGGGATTTTGGGGGGGGGGGGAGAGTGATGTCAGGGATTGGTAATCCTATCCCGTGTTTTCCCCTCATCTCTGTCACACTTAACCTCTCTCTAACCCTTTCTCTCTCACTCTCTTGACTCCCTTTCTCCCAACTCTCCATCTCTCTCAACTTTAGTCCTAACCCTTATTTGTTCTTTCATTCCTCAATTTTCTCCATCCGAGCAATGAAAAATCGAACTGGGTTTTCAGATTATTGATGCAAAGGGATTCACGGACAGAGAAGGGAGAGGGAGAGAGAGTTGATTGAGGGAGTTGGTGAGTATGGGCTTGCACAGAGGGAAGAACGCAGAGTGAGAGAACGATTGCACAGATACAAGGAGAGAGACAGAGAGAGAGATCATAGAAAGAGGAGGATGACGAAAATTGAGGAGGAACCCATGCCTGCAGAGAGTGAGTAAGTTCCGAACCAAAGCTTATTTTCTCTAATTTTTGGCTATGCGACAACAAATTTCTGAAGCGGAAGAATGTGTAATACTATTATGCATTCATGTTTTTCAGGTAGTTGTGCCAAAAACCTACCAGAAATATACTTCAAGAAAGGTTTTTACTACAGGATGGATAGATGGAGAAAAGTTATCTCAGAGTACTGAAAGTGATGTTGGAGAACTGGTTAACGTTGGAGTCATATGTTACTTGAAGCAGGTAAAGTACTATTACTAGATTTGCCGCTTTTGTATTTCTGGAGGCAGATAATTATAAACAGACTTTCAGTTTCGGTTTATCTTTTATACTTCATAGTTAAGCATGGTCGTGAAACAGTTGCTTTCTTCCTGCAGATCTGGCAGTATTATTTCCTGCTTGATTAACCTGCAATTAACTTTTGTAAATTGGTTTTCTACGTATTTGGCATGTGACTTTATCATGCTGTTTACACAGTGGTGATTTTCATTAGTTAAGGTTTTGTTGTTGTATTTGTTTAGAAATACCGCTCCAGTGTGGCTTCGCGTTTCCTTTTTCACTTTTTAGAGTAATTTTTGGGCATGGAAATGCAATTGCATGCTACTCCTTTTTGGATGGGCCAAATTAATGTAAATGATAGTTAGCACCCTTGACGTCTACTAGCCAAGTTTTTTAAATTGTCATTCTTCTACAGTTGCTTGATACTGGAATGTTTCATGCTGATCCTCATCCTGGGAATATGATTCGCACTCCAGATGGGAAGCCTGCCATACTTGACTTCGGTAATATTCTACTCATTGCAGTATTACTATTTTCCCAAAGGCCGTGTTTCCATTTGGTTTGAAACATCACCTGCATACTGTATTAAATTATTTGGTGTAAATTGGTTTGATGTGCTTCTGTGAACGATGTTTAAACTTTTATAAGTAAAAGAAATATATGTTTTGAGAATATACCTATGTCACATATCAATAGATAGAAAAAAATTATGGTAAAAGATAACACATCATTTTTCTTCCATTCAGTGGAGTTTCTTCTACTTTGGTTTATCATGATTTCACCTTGCTATAATAAAACTCAGATCCACTCTTAAGTCAAGTTTACGGTATAGATGATGTAAGAATTTGTCGCCAAGGGTTTGAGAGAAGGGTGGTTTCACAGGAATTGAAGCTCTTGCTCTCGGTTGTGAGTTCCATAAATATTTGATTGTGCAAATATACAATTATTTGTATTTTTTGTCGATGATCAAAATGCGATCATAATCAATATTTATATATAGATAAATAACTGAAAGTTTTAGTTCCAGAGATGGAATAGGTATGAGTGGTTATTGAAATCTGTTCTGTTGTGTTTTTTTCTGCAGGAGAAGCAAGAAATACAATTAAAAAAGCCATGCGTAATAAGCGGAAATGTATCACCACTGTGAAAGGGCTGCAATTTTTTGGTGAGCTATCTGTTGTATTATATCCTTTGTCTTTCTATTTGGAGATTCTTATTTTAATCCTACCATAATAGGTAACTGCAATTTACTTTTGGATTTGATTCTTCATTGATGGATGTTGTGGGGGCGTGATTTGGGGGAGATAGGGGAGGGGGTTGGTTGCAGAGAGAGGGTGAGGGCGGGTGCACGATTAGGGGGACAGAAAGAGAGTTGATTGGGTGCACCATTTGAGGGTAGGGTTGAGGGAACGAGTGTGTTGGCTGCAGAGAGAGGGTGGGATTGAGGGAAAGAAGGAAGATGCATTTTTCATTTTCAAGGTTATTTCTCTCAACACCATGTGAATGTACAAATGGTTCTTTTCCCAATTCAACCAATTTAAAAATTGGGATTTTAACTGATGTTCGTCCATGGTTCCTTACTTTCCAGATATTGAAACATGCATAAATTCACCTGGAAATTATTCAAGTCAATGTCCAATTCACTGTATGTACATTTTTATGTAAATAGTTTCTATATGTCTATGCACAATGCTTTTAGTCCTTTATTTTGAAGATCCAACTCTCTTAAAAATTATAGTGCTTTGACCGCTGAGCAGTTGTTGACCCTCTAACCCATCTCATTTGGAAGAAATCTGTTGAAAGAATGATACATCATTTTCTTTGTGTAATGATGCTCTGAGTTAATGGCCAAACACAAGGAATTTTCGACCACCAAAATGGTACATGTTGACTTTTTGGAATCTGGGTATTAATTTAAGTAATTCCAATTTTTTTCATGGTCTGTACCCCCTCTCTCCCTTCTTGGTGAAGCTTTTCATTTTCAGTGATTACTCCTTATTATTTAGTTTTGACTGTGTTGGTTTTGTATTTACTGATTTTTTTAATAATGCCATGTGTGTTTAATTTGAGTTGTAACATATAAATTGTTGTTGGATTTAAGGGTTTATTTGTGTGACGATTACAGGACTAGAATTCGTTTATTCGGGCATCAGCCTTTCCATCCTTGAGTTGTTCTCGGAGCATTTGTTCTACCAGTGTTTTCCTGCCTTCTTTCGTCCAGGCTGAAGCAATTTTGTTGCTGACCTTCGCCCACATTCCAGCTCCGCCCTGGTAGGCTTTTCCAAACGTGTAAATTACCATTGTCTCAAGATGTGTTGTATTTTTTAGAATACAAATTGCAAACTCAATTTCGTACGGAAGGCATTTGAATCCCTGCATCTTTAGCTTTTTTCAGATATTCCTAGAATTTGGACTCTGAACAATGATTTAGTTTACAGTAATCTATCTCATTGAGGTGCAGCTGCTTCCTTCTGTCAATTTTTGGGAAGAATTCCTTTAAGAAATTATCCATGTCCACCTGAAATTTAATGTAGATGGACAGATTATTTTGGTAATTTTGGAATGATATACCAAAAGAGGCCTTTTACCGCATCAGTATATAAAGTAATTGGAAAGAAAATAAGAAGAGATCTTAATTAATGAGGATATATTTTTTAATGGTTGTTTGAGATCTCATTGCTGGTGCATATAATGATTTTGGATGGGGATGTGGTGCATATATTGTGGTTGGAAAGATATCACATGCTAAATATCTCATTACTAGGTGTGGTGCATATACTGTGCATAGTGTTTCCTGGTCTGAGTTGTATATATGATCTTTTCGTGGACTTCACGTTATTTACAAAATTGCCACCACCTCTTCGTTCGGTGAGGGTTTTGGGGATGGGAGGTCATGCCGCATCTGTGAGAGAGATTCTCTCTCTCTAGCTTTTTAATATTGTTTATTAAATTTCTTAAAGTATTTAGGACGGCAATAAGGCCGGCGATGCTGTATGGTACAGAATGTTGGGCGGTGAAGCATCAACACGTACACAAAATGGGTGTAGCGGAGATGAGGATGCTTCGTTGGATGTGTGGGCACACGAGAAAGGATAAGATTAGGAATGAGGATATCCGGGGTAAAGTAGGAGTAACCGAAATTGAAGGAAAGATGAGAGAAAATCGGTTACGGTGGTTTGGACATGTGCAAAGAAGGCCTACTGACGCTCCGATTAGAAGATGCGACTATGGGACAGAGGTTCAGGGCCGAAGGGGTAGAGGAAGACCTAGGAAAACTTTGGAAGAGACCCTAAGAAAAGACTTAGAGTACTTGGATCTAACGGAGGACATGACACAGGACAGAACACAATGGCGTTCTAAGATTCATATAGCCGATCCCACTCAGTGACTTGGATTTTCCAAGTCTCCAACCGAGAAGTTTTCCTCACTCGGGAAATTAAGGGAACACTACCTCAACCTACATGCTCCACTCACAAAGCTTCAACATACAAGCTTCAACAAAAGAAAATTCAAAGAACTTAGCGAAGAAGGCTTTGGTGTATTTAACACAATACGTTGAAATGAAGGAAAGCTTATTTATTGATATCCCCGATAAGTTACAAATATGTACATATACTTGAGTCAAAATAAACAAACAAGAGGGAGCATTCACAAAGGTTGCTTAGAGGAGAAGTCTCAGCAGTCGGTAGAGCCCCAGAAAGAGAAGGCACCGGAGGGGGATCAGTCGGAGCCTCAGTACTGGACAGAACCCTAGAAGGAGGAGGCATCAGAGGTTGATCATTTGGAGCTTCATTACGCGGTACAGCCCCAGAAGACGAAGGCAATGAATGCCTTTGGAACAAACCCACAAATCTCTGATGATCAAGTAAAACCTAACCATCAGATTCCTTCATCTGGTCAAGCTTCCTCTTCATGTTTGTAGCATAGTCATGTGCGAGCCGGTGCAACTGTTTATTCTCATGCTTGAGCCCTCTAATCTCCTGTTTGAGACTCATCACTTCAGTCGCCAATGATTCAACTTGGCGGGTTCGAGCAAATAGGCGTTGGGCCATATTAGACACAGAACCTGCACACTGAACACTGAGAGCCAGAGAATCCTTAACAGCCAACTCATCAGACCGTTTGGAAAGTAGTCTGTTATCTTTGGGAGTGAGAAGGTTCCTGGCCACTACCGCAACGGTCATATCATTCTTCATCACGGAATCCCCAACGGTAAGAGGACCAGTAGGGGAGACGAAGGATGGGCGCCATATGTTGTCTGGAGAAGGCGGGGCTGCCTCTTCAACAAGGTTCAAGTCAAAACGACGGTCGGATGGGCCAGACATTTTCAAAGGTGTTGAAGAGAGAAAAGGTCGGACAAATCAAGATCTTAGAAGTGCAAGAATGGAGCTTCTACTGGTGGATATTCAAGTGTGCTTTGCAACTTAATGTCAGCCCCTATAAAAATCTGCACTCGACGAAGCTTCAGAAATCGAAGAGGCGTTTGCTTTCTCAAAAGTTGGGCTGCTCAGAGACCACGAGGGTCGATCTCAGAAATCGAATAGGCATTTGCTTTCTCAAAAGTTGGGCTGCTCAAAGACCACGAAGGCCGATCTCAGAAATCGAAGAGGCTTGCTTTCTCAAAAGCTGGGCTGCTCAGAGACCACGAGGGCCGATCTCAGAAATCGAAGAGGCACCTACTTTTCCAGCCTTGTCAGCACCTGTCACATGCACACTCAGCTTTGCGGAAATTATGGGCATTCTGTCGAAGATTTCTGGCGAAGTAGAAAGCGCATGAATCGTACTGTTCAATCACCCACTTCCCACACGCAACAGTAGCTCATGGGTACCACAGATAACTTTGCCAAAGTTCTCTGACAAAGTTGAGACACGTGAAGCTTGCAGCTCCCACTACATCGCTCTGACCAAGAAGGGTAAAAGAATAGCAAAGAAACAACACTAACAAAGTTTAGACACATAAATTTTGAAGGTCTAGCTACCATATTATTACCCACAAGGGTAAAGGAACAGTACCACTGCTGGATAATTGGAAAGTCCCGATGTGTCAACCTTTGTGCTTCGTGGCAAGGTAGACTAGCAAACATGCCCAACCTTTACTCACATTCGAGAAAACACTCCCAACAAGATTGCTTGCTCCAAAATCGAAGAGGCACTGCCCTCCGAATCTCGAGAGCCAAACTCCCAACATGATTACTTTCTCAAAAATCGAAGAGAGGGTAAAGGAATAGTACCACTGCTGGATAATTGGAAAGTCCCTGTGTGTCAATCTTCGTGCTTCGTGGTAAGGTAGACTAGCAAACATGCCCAACCTTTACTCACATTCGAGAAAACACTCCCAACAAGATTGCTTGCTCCAAAATCGAAGAGGCACCGCCCTCCGAATCTCGAGAGCCAGACTCCCAACATGATTACTTTCTCAAAAAATCGAAGAGAGGGTAAAGGAACAGTACCACTGCTGGATAATTGGAAAGTCCCTGTGTGTCAACCTCTGTGCTTCGTGGCAAGGTAGACTAGCAAACATGCCCAACCTTTACTCACATTCGAGAAAACACTCCCAACAAAATTGCTTGCTCCAAAATCGAAGAGACACCGCTCTCCGAATCTCGAGAGCCAGACCCCCAGCAGGATTGCTTTCTCAAAAATCGAAGAGGCATCGTTCTCCGAATCTCGAGAGCTAGATCCCTGACAGGATTGCTTGTTCGAAAACCGAAGAGGCACCACTTTCCCAACTTCAAGAGCTGGATCTCCTTGGATAAAGCTTGTCTGTAATCTTCACACGCAACATCAGCTTTCCAGATACCACATACCACTTTTTCAAAGTGCTCTGACAGAGTTAAAACATGTGAAGCTGGCAGCTCCCACTACCGTGCTATGACCAAGCAGGGTAAAGGAATAGCATTATTACTTGATGTTAGGGAGACTCCTATATATGTCAACCTCCATCCCCAACGGACAGGCAGACCTGCAAAAATGCTCAACCCTTCCTCTTATCTGAGAGCACTCCCAACGAAGCCTTTCGAAATATTCAGCTTTCTTTCCCCCCGATAATACCTCTGTAAACAAGCTATACTAGAGCAAGAATATCTCATATCATCAGGGTTAAAAGTAAGAGTATCCCATATCATGCTTTTTTTCCTGTCTTTTCCTTTGGCCTTGTTCTTACTTGCAAGACAAGGAGAAAGAGAGCAATTAGTCAGCACTTGGAATCAAGCTTCCAGCCAGGAACTGACTGCCTGGAACCCCTTACCTGATTACTTACCTGGCATTGCTCTCAAGTACTCATCTTCAACATCTTATGCTTCCAGGGAAGATACCGCATCTGCCTGAGGAACAGATAGGGCAAGTGAGAAGGATACAAGGAAGCATGTAGAGACAAGCGTAACAGCACACGTGCCGATACATCCACTACTCTGTCAAAAGCAAAAGTATCCCATATCAGCAGGGTCGAACGTACTCTAGATTTGATGGACTTGTTTTGACCCTCAAATTCTTCAGTCGGCCTTATACTCTGGAGGAAACCAGAAAACCCTCCAGCCCAGTTCAAGAATAAGCCTGTGGAAAGTTACTTCTTCAAAAGCAAAAGTATCCCATATCATCTCTTCTCATTTTTCTTCTCTTTATCCTTCATGCTGCCTGCAAGATAGGGAGAATGTGAACAATCAGCCGGAGCTCTGATTGCTTACCTTGTCTGTCACCTCTTTCAGCAGATCCCGTAGCTCGGCGACTTGGGGGACTCCTACTACATGGTTTGTATCGCGCTTGACCAAGCCTGAAACTACAAGTAAGCTTCAAGTGAAATTGATACATTACCTTGTGCATCTCCACCAGTTACAGATACCACCCCTGGATGGAGGAAGAGTACTTCCAGAGAAGATGCCACATCTATCTATGAGACAGATAAGGCAAGCCAAGACGATACCACACTCCGGTACTTAGAAGTTTCGTGGTTACGAGATCATTCTCCCACAATATTTCCTAATGTCATTTGTACTAAATCATTCACTTGTACTCACTAAAGGAGAACTTGAACCTATGTACTTGTGTAAACCCTTCACAATTAATGAGAACTCCTCTATTTCGTGGACGTAGCCAATCTGGGTGAACCACGTACATCTTGTGTTTGCTTTCCTATCTCTATCCATTTATATACTTATCTACACTAATGACCGGAGCAATCTAGCGAAGATCACAAAAAGTGACCGTTTTCGCTACCTAGGATCTATCTTGCAAGAGAACGGAGAATTAGATGGAGATCTCAACCATATAATACAAGCTGGATGGATGAAATGTAAGAGTGCATCCGGCGTGTTGTGTGACCGTCGTAGGCCACTGAAGCTCAAGGGAAAATTTTATAGGACGGCAATAAGGCCAGCGATGTTGTATGGCACAGAATGTTGGGCGGTGAAGCATCAACACGTACACAAAATGGGTGTAGCGGAGATGAGGATGCTTCGTGGGATGTATGGGCACATGAGAAAGGATAAGATTGAGAATGAGGATATCCGAGGTAAAGTAGGAGTAGCCAAAATTGAAGGAAATATGAGAGAAAATCGGTTCCGGTGGTTTGGACATGTGCAAAGAAGGCTTACTGACGCTCCGGTTCGAAAATGTGACTACGGGACAGAGGTTCAAGGCCGAAGGGGTAGAGGAAGACCTAGGAAAACTTTGGAAGAGACCCTAAGAAAAGACTGGAGTACTTGGATCTAACGGAGGACATGACACAAAACCGAGCGCAATGGCGTTCTAGGATTCATATAGCCGACCCCACTTAGTGGGAAAAGGCTTTGTTGTTGTTGTTGTTGTTGTATTTAGGGAAAAATTATAAATTAATTGAAATATTTTAGAATTATCTGAAGAGGATTTTGGGGTTGCTGTGACGTGGTTGTACGTCTGGATTTTTCTGTGCTGATTAAATTTGATAACTCCAAAATTGATTATTGGTTTGGTTTGATAGGTGAGGCAGATAGAGGGAGAGAGGGAAATTGTGGTTTCAAGACCTCTCGCTTCTGTTCTTGGAAGGTACTTCTTTACCATTTAATATGGTCAAGTATGAGGCTTTTTGGGTTGTTTTGATTCAACTGGGAGTAGTTGCTGAATTTTTCGTGGTGAGAAAGAGTGATTTTTCAGTAAATAGAGTTATTTATTTTGAAATCCCAAATTGAATGAAGACTTTATATATTGTTGTAGCAGTTGCAAAGAAATGAAATGTAATTGGGTGATTAATTTGTTTGTGTTTATGAAGCCACAGCTTTTATTTGATCTGAGTGTAGACTATAGTCATTGGATGGAACTTTAATTGCAGTTATACTTATAAGGTCAAGTGCTTATTGAGGCTTTCTTTTTATTGTAGGTAAGTCAAAGAAAGCTAAGAAAAGAAAAAGAAGGCAGGAGAGCAGCTCAAGAGGAATATCAAGTATGATTCTTGAATTTGAAACATTGCTTTGTATCTGAGTTATCACAGTTTCATGGCACAAGAAAGCTTTGTAAAAGAAAAGGAGGGATCTTGATTCTTCAAAGTCCACAAAGACAATGGAAACGAAAGTAGAAGCTGATCCAACAACAATGTTTTTAAAAGCACTCTGTATTCATGGTAAGCAATCAAAGCAATTGTACTCATGTGGTGATATACTTAATGCTAATATCTGGCTCTTTGACCTAATTAATGATTGGGTTTGATTAATGTTAAGACATATCTCGAGTTATGCATGAAAGAAAAATAGTAGAGATATCTTGGACAAAGGGAAATTGTAACATAATATACAATTTGATCCATGTGTAAAAATGGTGTCTTGCAGCATTAGAATTTGAACAAAGAGTCTCAATCTTATTGACATTTCAACTAAATTATCTTGAGACAAGTTCACATTGGGATGTTTGAGATCCGAAAGCTCTCCAGTCACCATCGAGGCAAAATCTTAGGCGCAATCAGTATATGTCACTTTGTCTCATCATAGGAGAATACCATCAATTATACTATCAGTGCATTAAGTACCACTTAATGCGATCTGCTCATACATGTTCATGTGTTACCACTTATACTTGGACAAAATCTTAGGCCCAATTATTAATGCTTGAAATAAATCTTTCTACTTATTAATACTTAAAAATTGTAAATAGGTCATCACCCACTAATCTTTTTCAAGTTTCTATGCTTATACTTAGTTGATGAGTCAAATTTCAGGCATAGTATAAGCACGAATTGTTTGGTATAACTAGGTGATTTTTATTAAGTACTTTCCTAGCATAAAAAAATTGCATGGTTTTAATGGCTTCCGGAACCTGCAAACATTGTCAGGCATTTTCTACAAATCATGGCATACCGTTCAGGTATTTTTTGGCTGTTGCAAAATTTTCTACTAATTATGTGGTTTGATATGTTGAATTATCCATTATGTGGATTTAGGATTTTGGAAGTAATACTAACTGGAATTAAACAGGTTGATTAACATACATTAGGCTGTGACAACTGTGGCAATATCTATCTTTCAAGACTATATGGGGTTTAGTAATTTTCAATATTCTTGGACTCTTTTTAATCTGCAAAATCAAATTACCTATGGAGTTTATAACATGCAATCAGTTTCTTTTTAATTGAGTTCAAATAATGTTGATTGCACTGTTATAAAGCTCTTTTTTATAGTTAGGTTGAAAATTATATCGATATATTCTTTATTTAGTTGGTCCAATGTGTAACAGATGAGATTGTTTTGTTTGATGTTTCAATCAAAATTTGATCTTTTTTTTTTTGAGTGAAATTATAATGGAATTGCATGTCAAGTATTTCCTGGATCTACGGTTACAATGCTCTTTATATTTTCCCAGATCTATCATTTTTGTTTGTTCATGATTATGTTGAATGTTTTTCAAGTTAAATGTGTCTTATTCATGTAGTTAAGGCTGGTGCATTCAAGTCCCGCAGCATCGCGCGGGCATATTACTAGTAGTGTCCAAAGAAAGAAAGGGCGACTTCACTTCTTGATCACTCTTCTTCTTCAATGATACCCCAAAATCATATACTGAACCCTAAACCCTTGTCAAAGATGAATATTGAGTTTTTGAAAGGTAATAAGGGGGAAGTTGAACTTATGAAAGTAGAATTTTGAATTTTATTATTCTCCAATTTTGATATGAAATGTAATAAGCGACCAGTTTAATCAGTTAGTAGAGTTTAGAAATGGGATTTGGTTGTTAATTAGATAATTAGTAGAATAGCCAGGTGGCATTAGATGAATTGTGGAGTTGTATTAAAGGCTCACATGGATATGGAGGAGAGATTTTCCAGTGTGACAGTCACACAGAATAGTACATCACGTGTCATTATATAAATAGTAAGATATGTTTACCAAAAAGTTAATAACCTAAAAAAATATAAATTTCCACTATTTACATAAAAACACATAATATATCACCAGTATTCTTATCACAATTAAAAATGTCTAACCATGAGCTTGTGGGACGGATGGTCAATTGAACTAAAAAAGTATTATCACAAAAAAATATTGGGAGCTCAGATTCCTCTTCTTCCTTCTTCCTTCTTCTGCCATTGTTCCATTCCAATTATCTAACTACTTGCAGATTTGAGATAGGGCATCAGAGGTTGATCCTTATCAAATTTGGAATCGGCCATCCCCAAAATCGTATCCACCCGATACCCTAAAAACTCCCGTCGTTTTCCTAAAAATTGCTGCTGCTGGTGGCTTGGATTCAGCTGAATCTCACAAGAAGGTCAGTAACAGTAATTCTCTTTTTTACTTTAACCTACCAGTATGAGTAGCCGTAGCAGTGCGCAATCTGAACAGCAATTTGTATAGATATGGATATGATTCTCCTGTTTAATTTAATTTAATTTGTCCACAAATCTTCCGTCTTGATGGTCCGATTAACCTCTCGACTCTGTTATTTCAGACTATTAATTTACTTCTCACTTCACTGTTAACATTATACTCTGCTAGATCACTCTGTTTGTGTTTGTGAATTCTACTGTTTGATAGTATGCGGCAGTAAGTGAACCCGTACCAACTGTGGCAGATTTTGCATCACTAATACTTGTATAATTAAGTGCCTTGCTTGACTAATTACGTTTTGTTCAGTATCTGATCGTTAAATTAAATTAATTAATACAGTGTGCATTCTATACATCGTCTTCAAATAGCGCCCATCACTTGGATTCTTTTTGTATTGAGCATTGCCATTGTCACCACGCTCTTTTTCGTCGCCTTGAAGCCGGAAGAAGTCGTCCAAGAAGCAAGACAAGAAAAAAAAGCGGAGGGGGAGGCGGGGAGGGACTCACAATCAGCCTACTACACCTGCGCCAACACCTCAAGCTACTCCTCCTGCACACGCATCTGAGAGTGAGTATCAAAATCCAAGTGAGTGATCACTCGTTGACGATGAAGATTGTCCAAGTGAACAATTAGGGGAAAGCGAGTAAGTAAGTCCAAGTGACTCATCAGTCCTTGACGACACAGATTGTGAAATTGAATCAAGGGACGAGCCTGCCCATACATTGCCTCGTAAGCAGTTCATGTTGAATGTAGTGAAGCATCGGTACCTTGCCAAGAAATTAAAAGGAAAGGTATGTATCTAATTTCCATCTGTGATTTGCTTGCATTTGACTAATCATTTCTACTACTCTCAATACAAAACAAGTTGTCTGGTCATATGTTTCTGAAGAAATTTGAATGTTCGTTTGCGTGCCAATTAACTTCCAAAGTAATTGAATTCATGAATATTATGAGAAGAATTGTCAGGTTGTCAACCATATGTTTTGCCACTAGTCACACATATTTTAATGTTCTCTAGTTTACCTATTGGTTAGGTTGGTTATAAGGCATTTGTTGGCATAGTAAGGTTTGTTAATTTGATTTTATATGTCTACATATTTTAATGTTCTCTAGTTTACCTATTCTTTAGGATGATTTTGTAGACCTTCAACCTATATTTTAATGTTATATTATTTATTAGTTTTATCTTGGCTATTTGAATTCATATTACTGGTGCAAATATTATCCCGTATGAAATTGAATATGAAGGTGACCACTACACTTTCACAACACCGAGACAAGTAACATTATACTTTGAAGACGGAGAAAGAACAAAGTGTAGCATGGTGCCATACTTAGGAAACTTAAAGAGAAGAGCCACGATGCACTTTCAAAATAGCTCCAACATCAAGCATGAAAATCTTCTTAATGTCAAACCCGTCGCATTTGATGAAGTAGATGAACAATGGTACATATTCTATGATGAGTTCAAATGCCCATTTGCTCAGTTGACCAACAATATCGTTTGTACCAAGAAATGGTGGAGAACGTCCGTTAAGTAAGCGTTAATGTGTTCTTTAATATGTGTGTGCATGTTTGGTAAATTTATCATTCGTTACTATCTTTATCTGTAGGAAGATACTTGAGATGTTGGAGTATATGCATAATAATAACCAAACACATGAAAGCTTAAATAAAGCTTCTAGTTACGTGGTTGTTGGTGAAGATTTGAAGATATTGAACATTAAAAGTGTGGATGAAAGCCAAAAGATTAGCCAAAAATTTCAAGATCTTTCAGACTTTGGCGAGTTTATCTCCGATACGTTACCTACGACGATAGTGGACAAGACACTATTTCTTGGTTGCTTCAAAATTGATGGACCGGCTTGTGTATTGAAGTAAGTAAACAACTTTATTAGTAAGTAAAACTATTTTCCTATTGTTCTTATATGCCGAAGACATTTTGTTTTTTCCCCTCCTAGTTATGGGGATTTTATCAGTGTGCTCATCTATAATCTGAGTCTGATTAGTGAGTTCAAAAGGCTCTATTATTTTGCGGATATTCGCCAATCGAAAAGACATGAACAAGGCTCAATGGTTCCCACTTTCACAAGGTTATTAAAGGCTCAACTTTCATAGATTTTAGAGATTGGGACACCAAGATTGTTGAAGATGGTTGAAATCTATGAAAGTTGAGGCTTTAATAACCTTGTTAAAGTGGGAACCGTTGAGCCTTGTTCTATGTCTTTTCGATTAGTGAATATCGGCAAAATAATCGACCCTTTTGAACTCACTCATCAGACTCGGATGATTGATGAGCACACTGATAAAATCCCCATAACTAGGAGAGGAAAAAACAAAAAGTCTTCAGCATATAAGAACAATAGGCAAATAGTTTTACTTACTAATAAAGTTGTTTACTTACTTAAATAAGCAAGCCGGTCCATTAATTTTGAAGCAACCAAGAAATAGTGTCCTGTCTACTATTGTCGTAGGTAACATATCAGAGATAAACTCGCCAAAGTCTGAAAGATCTTGAAATTTTTGGCTAATCTTTTGGCTCTCATCCACACTTTTAATGTTCAATATCTTCAAATCTTCACCAACAACCACGTAACTAGAAGCTTTATTTAAGCTTGCATGTGTTTGGTTCTTGTTATGCATAGACTCCAACATCTCAAGTATTTTCCTACAGATAAAGATAGTAACGAATGATAAATTTACCAAACCTACACAGATAGTCACACACAAGCAAACACGCACACACATATTAAAAAACACATTAACACTTACTTAACGGACGTTCTCCACCATTTCTTGGTACAAACGATACTGTTGGTCAAATGGGCATTTGAACTCATCATAGAATATATACCATTGTTCCTCTACTTCATCAAATGCGACGAGTTTGGCATTAAGAAGATTTTCATGCTTGATGTTGGAGCTATTTCGAAAGTGCATCGTGGCTCTTCTCTTTAAGTTTCCTAAGCATGGCACCAAGCTACACTTTGTTCTTTCTCCGTCTTCAAAGTATAATGTTACTTGTCTCGGTGTTGTGAAAGTGTAGTGGTCACCTTCATATTCAATTTCATACGGGATAATACTTGCGCCAATAATATGAATAGAAATAGCCAAGATATAAACTAATAAGTAATATAGGTTGAAGGTCTACAAAATCATCCTAAAGAATTTCATATGTATACATATCAAATTAACAAACCTTACTATGCCTTCTAACTAACCTAACCAATAGGTAAACTAGAGAACATTAAAATATGTGTGACTAGTAGCAAAACATATGGTTGACAATTCTTCTCATAATATTCATGAATTCAATTACTTTGGAAGTTAATTGGCATGCAAACGAACATTCAAATTTCTTCAGAAACATATGACCAGACAACCTGTTTCGTATTGAGAGTAGTAGAAATGATTAGTCAAATATAAGCAAATCACAGATGAAAATTAGATACATACCTTTCCTTTTAATTTCTTGGCAAGGTACCGATGCTTCACTCCATTCAACATGAACTGCTTACGGGGCAATGTATGGGCAGGCTCGTCTCTTGATTCAATTTCAGAATCTGTGTCGTCAAGGACTGATGTCACTTGGACTTTTGTACTCGCTCTCCCCTAATTGTTCACTTGGACCATCTTCATCGTCAACGAGTGATGAATCACTTGGATTTTCATACTCATTCTCAGATGCGGGTGTAGGAGGAGTAGCTTGAGATGTTGGCGTAGTAGGCTGATTGTGAGTCCCTCCCCTTCCACTTTTTTTTTTGTCTTACTTCTTGGATGACTTCAGCGAGACGAAAAAGAGCGTGGTGACGACAACAATGCTCAATACAAAAAGAATCCAAGTGATGGGCGCCATTTGAAGACGATGCATAGCATGCACACTGTATTATTTAATTTAACGATCAAATACTGAACAAAACGTAATTAATCAAGCAAGGCACTTAATTATACAAGTATTATTGCAATATAAATATAGATACGAGTATTCGTCACTGACATCACTATTGTCCTAAAATATGTCGCAAATTCAAGTTCTATGAGAATGATTCTAATTTTTTTAATTTAACATATTTATTTCCATTTGAGAGAGAGAAAATAAAAACCAATAAGAGAGTAGAAATTAGATGAATTAAACCACTGTGAAATGCATTTTTGACACATTTTTAAAAATCCACGGACCAACTTGAAACCAAAAAAATAAGGACCAAAGTGGAAAAACCACTAAATATCTGGGACCAAATTTGTAATTAACTCTAATTTTAGTTTCACTAAATAATAAATAAAGCTGCCTTGGTGTGAGTTTCCAAAGGTACTCATTACTGTAGAGGGTTTCGATTGCAGAGCAAAATTGCATCAGAGACTCCATAACAGTTGATTTTCCCATTCTCGCTATCTCATCCATTTAATTTGCAAATGCTCTATATGCAAGCATTCGCAAGATAGTAGTAATTTTTTGCTTAGGAAGAAGAATACATAGAACATGAAAAGCATCTTTTTTTTTTGTTGCACAAAGTATGGATCATGGTTGGAAATAGCACTCATGATTTTGTCGAACAAACTGCATTGCATTCTAAAACGACGTTTAAAAATATGATCAGGGAATAAACTGTTAGGGATAAAATAATATTCCAAGAGATATTTACCTCGTTTTTCATCTTTTTATTCAAGTTTGCAACACGTCTGGGTTTGGATATCTGACCCACAGCTTCCATGGCACAACGGGAATGTGAGGCCCTCTGCCTTCTATGGTCATCATCTTCTATTGCGAAAGCCTCATCTCCACCTTCCTCGAGATTGAACAATTCTTCCTGTTGTACCAACAATTTTTTCTATAGCTCATCGATTTCATACAATCTTTTTGAAGAAGACATTTCAAGAACTCAAGATTTAAAAACAATGAAGAATGATTCTGAGCTAAAAAAGAAATATTGAATTTGGTGTGTGAATGAGGATGAACGTAGGTTTATATGGACAAAAAAAGAAAGGATGAGGTTTTGGATAATGCCACGTGGCACTAAGTGATTGGTTGAAAATCTTATTGAGATTTTGTCTAAATTATTATAAACAGATAATGACACATGACACATTGAGATTTGTTGAAAATCTTATCGGAAATCTTAGCTAAATTATTGTAAATAGATAGTGACACGTGGCCCGTTGGGATTAATTGAATCTTATCGGAAATCTATCCATAAAATAGTACTTTTGGACAATGACACATGACATGACAAGATTGATTAAAAATCATATTCGAAATTAAAAATTTTATTTGTTATTTTATAAAATATATATATATATATTTTAAATGAGTTGGATGCCAACGTATTTTGTAGAGATGGAGATATCAACGTATTTTAAAACTTTATGTCAGCGTATTTTTTAGGAATGGAGATACATTTATCTAATTATTGTTTATCAAAGTCAATCACTATTTATTTAATTGGATTAAGGGCTGGTTTGGTATTGCTGTGCTTTGAAAAAAAATTGCTGTGAGAATAAGCGGTTGTGCTGTGAGAATAAGCGGCTGTGAAATAAATCAGCAGAGTGTTTGGTAAACTTTTTTGTAAAAGTGCTTTTGAAAAAAAAAAGCAGTCTGATAGTGGGTCTTTTCAGTTTTTCCAAAGCTGCAAATAACATCTTCAGCTTTTTCCTTTGATTTCAACTTATTCTTACAGCAGCTTACAAAATAAGCTTCTTTTTTTTTCAGTTTATCAAACATCTAAAACCATCACGGTTTTTTTCATGGGCGTTTTTTTGTTTTCTAACTAATCACTCCCAAACCACCCCTAAATGCGCCGGATGCGAACCCATATTTAGGGGTGAAGTTGCTCTAACAAAATCAACAGAAAACAAACAAGGTGGGGGTTTGGGCTCTCGACGGGGTTTTATTCATCACTCTTTTGAGCAAAAAATACCCAAAACATTTTCCCTTCATTATCCACGCTTCTCTCTGTAATTTGAGTTTTCCGCAGATTTCCTGAAATTCGAGTTGGAATCAGCAAAAAGAGAAGAGCTTGAAGCGAATTCAAGATGAAGACGACGAAGGGAGGGAAGGTGATGAACCCTACGGACGCTTACCGGAAGGAGCTCCGGAAGAAGGAATTGAAACGGGTAACGATTACATCCCTGAAAACTACACCGTTTTGTGCTCTTTTTCTTCTGTTAACTCCTTGATTCCGTGCTCAATTGGCAATTGGGTTGTTCGTTTTCGGTTGTATTCGTTCAATTTTCGCAATTTGGTACTCCATTGTGTCCACTTTCAGTGTTGCCCTAATTCTCATGAGATTAGAACAAGTAAAACTTCAATCGAAATTTCAAATTTTTTACTACAATTTAGAGTTAGTAATTTTTTTTTGGGATTGGATTTGGCATCTGCATTACCAATTTACCATTGTTGTTTCATAAAGAAAGTTGTAAGCATACTGAAGCAAGCATTGGCTTATTGTAAATGGACTTGATAGCATTAAGTTTGTGAAAGGCTAATGCTTTTATTTCGTATTACCATCTAAAAGTTATATCAGGCAGTTTGCACAGCTTCACCCACTTTATTCTTGGCCGAAAGGTCGAGAATAGTATATATATGTGCACATGCAGTCGTATATGGGAAGCGGATGCATGTCAATGATGCTTAATCAGTATTACCTTATGTTTGCAAGTTTTGTTTTTCCTTTCTGTTAAGTGTGTTTGATAGCGTATGCTTGTGCCACCACTTCGTAGAATTATGCAATTCCAAAATAAAACTCCCTTTGTATGTTTCTTTTGGTGTTCTTGACAAGCTTATTGCATTGATTAAATCCTTATTCATACACTTCTGACTTTGTATATGACAAACAGAATAAAAAAGAACGAAAGAAGGTGAGAGAGGTGGGGATCTTGAAGAAGGATCCCGATACTTTGAAAGAGCAGATTGATAAGCTGGAAATGATGAGTAAGTCACAGTTTGCTTATGGACTTCTGGTTATGGAGCCTTTTTTATTTATAGAAAGAATTATAGCTGTTATATATCGATAGACTGTAATACTGGATCTTTTTTATGCTCAAATTTATTGAAAGTTGGTTGTTTGAAATTTGAATGCTCGGAATAGTATTCATGTAGAAAAGAATGTATTTTTTCTTGGAGGAAAATTTCAGCATGTGCTTTATTATGCCTTACTTCTTGCGTCTGTTTGTCTAGATTTTTTATTTTCACTAGTTTGATTTTGATCTGCAGCCATATCATGCTGCTTTTCCTGAACACAAGAAGAGGCAACTAGAGGATACACTTAACCTTGTTATAAAGAAGCAGAAGGTAATTGTCACTTATAACACGATTGTTATTTTTCATTATACGTATTTATCTTTCTAATTGAACTAGCCACGTTGTTTTATAATGCTGCACTGTGATCTTCGATTGGCCACATAGTGGTTCAGGGTTCTCTATGTTCACTTCACGTTAATCCCGTGGGCCTTTTTGTTAGAATAAGTTTCATACATCCAATGATCAGATGCTTTTGTACAGGAATATGTAGAGAAGCAGAAAGAAAAGGGCGAGGTCCCAGTTATGTTCAGGTGAACATTCTGTTTTCTCATTGTATTTCTGTGCTAGTGGTCAAACTTTAAATACATTTTCTGTAATTGTTTGTTTTGATTTATGAACTATAGTTTTTTTTTTTTCGGTCAGTCATTTGGGGCCGCCTAAAAGACGAAAGACTGCAGAAGAAGAGGAGAGAGCGAAGCATCCAATGCCTGAGGTAAGATATAACTGGTTTCTAAATGCTATTTTCCATCCTTTCATTTTCTTTTTCAATACATAAAACTCAATATTTCTTTCTTTTTTTCTCCTGCAGGACTCAGTTTACTTCCATCCGACCCTGAATCCTACTGGGGCCCCACCACCTGGAAAGCCTCCAATGTTTAAATCGTCAATAGGTCTGGATCAGCCCCACTCCCACCCTAATTTTGTGTATTGCTGTGACCTCTTTACTTTCTCTCACTTATTCAGTTCTGGAATTTGAATTGCAGGACCAAGAATTCCCTTATCTGCTGCTTCGTCAAGTGGTGCTGCATCATCCTCGAAAATGGAGTCAGAGGATGCTGCACCTCTGGCTGAATCTGGTGACAATGGCCCTGGTGATGGCTCTGTCATACCTGAGTCCTTGCCGCTACCTCCTCCGCCTCCATTGCCACCTAACCCTGCAGCTACAAACCCAGGTATCTCATTGCCACCACCACCACCCCCACCTCCAGGACCCCTGCCTAAAGAGCAGATTTCTAGTCACCCCCTACTTCCCCCTCCTCCACCTTTTCAACAGTCCGCCCAGCCTCCTCCTCCTGGTATCAGCGGAAATGAGAAGGAACAAAATCAATCTTCATTGTCTGATTTAACCTCTAAGGACTCCACACAGGTAAGCTTCCTTTATTGTCCACTGACCGATATCTGATATTTTAAAAGGAATAAGAATTAATAGAGGTGTAAAATAGTGGGTGATATTAGTTATAGCAAATTATGGAAGTTACTTGCATATACATGACTGGTATGCCTAAAGAGAGGGTGTGGACGTTGCCAGGCTTATCTCAAACTAGTAGGCCTAAAATATTCTTATTAAGTTTTTATATTTGTGAAATTAATGCCTCCTCCTCTTATAGGTGCATACCATGCTTCCTCCTCCTCCTCCTCCTCCACCTCCAGGATTACTGCCTAGGTCAACAAATAATCAGTCGGGAGGTGCAACATCTGACGCTGAAACCAATAATGCTCAACTTACCAAGGATTTTACTAACATGGTTCCACCACCTCCTCCTCCTCCTCCAAGACAACAACCTCCAGTTCCTGGATCCACCCTTATTCCAAATTTACATCCTGATGTATTGCCCCCAGGTATCTCACGTTTTCCTCCACCCCCACCTCCACCAGATATGCGGCCACCATTGTCCACTCCTGGACTTCCCACTCAACCAGGTCCCCCGGGAATGATGGTCCCAATGATCCCCAGGCCCCCATATGGTCCTCCCCCTGGACCTCCCCCAATGATGAGACCACCACTTCCACCTGGGCCACCTCCTACTTATCAAGAAGATGATTATGCTGCTCGAGTGGCTGCCCATCAGAAACCTTCATATGTTAAATCTGCAGCATCTACTGTTGTGAAGAGGCCTCTGGCTCAGCACACTCCAGAACTTATGTCCATGGTGAGTTTATTCTCTTTCGCTGTCAATAAGATGCAACGCAAGTCTCTATTGCTTTGCATGTTTTTACAAGTAACACATAACTTGATAAGCAATGTAGCGTCTAACTTCTGCTTTAAAATTTTAACCTTTTAAAGGAAGATTATTGGAGTGGTGAGATGGCTGTGGTGGGTTAGAGGTTTATTGTTGTTATAATTAGAGGTGGTAAGTTTAGACTTCTATCAAATTTTATAGACAAGCTTTGTCAGTGCCAACAAAATCGGTAGCTTTACGAGACATTGGTATTGGGTTAGCTCTTGTTTCATGTTATCTAATAATTTTGTTTCTATAATATTGCAAGATGCCAATTTCCTTCTATGACCCCAGCCTGTTTCTTGGTTCTGGATTTAGGTTCCTGCATCTGTTCGGGTAAGGAGAGAGATGGCCGCCCCAAAAGCAAAAGCAAAACCTTCACTCCCAACCACAGCAGCACCTACCCGGTCAGCAACTCCTCCTGTTAAACCAGAGTCAGCAAACTCGTCGTCAGCACCAAAAGGCAAGAGCATAGATGACTCGTATATGGCTTTCCTGGAGGACATGAAGGCGCTCGGAGCACTTGAAGGTTGACATCCAGCTGGTTAGTCGGCACCAAGATAGAAACGAAAAAAGAGAATGAACATCGAAAAAGGATGGCATGCGTGTAGCCAAAGGAAACACAAATGCACAGGCTTTTGAAGTCGAGATGGAGACTGGTGGTATTCCTTTTTGTTGCCATTGTCATTAACTTAGTTTCCTAATTCATCGTTTCACGGTCAATTCAAAACAATATCAGATGTTGAGATGGGTGTAATGAGTTAGAAACTCTAGTTTTCGGGTTGACTAAAACGACAGTAAGTTGTATATAGAGTACGCTTTAGTGCTGTTTATCGAGCTTTGTTTCTGTTTAAAAGTTTGTAACCAGTTCTATGTGTCCTTCCCTCAACAAGACGTTCTGTCTCTTGACATGGCAGCAGGTCGACTAGTGGTGGCGGTCGGTGCCAACCAGTTCTAGTTTTTGTTGTCCGATCGCCTGACACATGTCAATAGGGTTAAATCTTAGGTTTTAATTCTCGATTCTTCCGTAAAAAAAAACTAATTATGCAACCATGTCACACAATAGATCAAAGCTAGCAAAGTATCGTGAAGGTCGGTTGACAAATGTTTTGCCCGTGTCAAGCAACCGGCCCTAGTGCCGATTTATCGATGACACGGGATGTATATAAGTAGTAGGAAAACAACTTTGGTTTAAGTACATGCGCTAACATTTCTAAGTTTCTAAACACCGTTGTCGTTTTGAGAAAAAAAAAAAAAAACAACGTTGTCGTTGACTTACTTTAACTGCCGAACAGGAAAAACACGTTAGTGAAAAAAGTCAAAAACTGACAATTAAATACGTTGCTGAGAAAGATTAGATATTGTTGTTGCCAGCATCAACAACAAATGGAAAGCTTCAGGGTTGACTTTTACGGAAAAGATGTTCTCCGGATCCCTTTCCATCTGAAACTATTGACCACACAATCTGTGTCTTTAAAATTTGATCAAACGGTTAAAAACAGGGAGTCCCATTAAAAGTTATAATAACTTTAGCCGTTAATCAAATTTCAAGAATCCAAATTGTGTGATCAGTAGGCTCAGATAAAAGGGATCGACTTTTACCAGAGAAAACAGGGACAAAAAGTAAAAGTTAAAAGTTAAAAACTGTTTTCACAAATAATTTCCCGCGTTTTGGGAGAACAGTTTCAGCTACCTTTCGTCGTGCTAATAGATGGTTCTTATAATCTGTCCAATTTTCTATGCAAACAACAAAACAAGTGGGCTTCTAATTTATCCATCTATGTTCCCGACAACCCTAATCAATTCAGATAAACAATTCAGACCAAAAGTCAAGCCCCCAACATCTAAAAACGGCAAGTTGTTCATAAAGCTTCATTCTTTGAATCGATGAGTTGACAAATGTGGAGTTTGTTAAAAGGGTTGTGAAAAGAGAGAGGGACAGTCGGACAGATATTGAAAACATATCCATTTCTGCAGCTCTGAGAGAGAGAGAGAGAGAGAGAGAGAGAGTTTGGTTTTAGTAAGGAGGGAGAGAGATCTGAAATGATCTCCCTTCTGGAAGCTGAATATTAAAATTTTGGTCTTTAGGGGAGGGAGAGAGAGAGGAACATGTCGATGTGCTACTAATGGAGAAGCATACCAGGAGAAGATGGGGGGTGACTGGATTAGCAGAATGTTGATAATTCAGTGAACTTTTAATTTGAATTTCTCCAAGTCAATGAAAGCAACAGTGTGGCTAATCGGATTCTCTTAAAGTAGATTAAAAGGAAGAGAATTTATACAGGAGGGACAGGAAAACAATCATTTCATATCTTTCTCTCTTTCCTCTCTTACTCTCTCTCTCTCTCTCTCTTCTGGTGTGGGGATGGGTAGAGTTCTTGCCATTGGCATTCTCCTTTGCAGCTTGCTGCTGCTGTTCAATCCTTCAACTTCACATCCTTTATGTATTGATTCAAGTGGGTTTTTCTCTGTACTTTCTTTTTGTTAATTTTGTATTGCAAAGTTTGCTGCTTTACGTTTGAATCCTCTTCCCAGCAGTTTAGATTAGTTTAAAGAAGAATATCGCTCGTATTAAAATGGTTTAGTTGATTGCAGGGGCACCTTCTACTCTGAGTGATCCACTCAAGTTTTGTCCTTACAATGAAACTGCTTGCTGCAACTCCACTGAAGATTCACAAATCCAGAAGCAATTCCAAACCATGAACATCTCCAATTCTGACTGTGCTTCCCTTTTGAAATCAGTACTTTGTGCAGTAAGTCCTTTTCTTTCCCTTTTCAATGTTTCCGCAAGAGGTTTGTAGCTCAAGTGAGTAGAAGCGTTTATCCAAGTATTGGTTGTATAAAAAAATACAACGTTTCCAATTTTAAAATTCTGTACTTATAGTGAGACCATGATGCATAAAAACCTTCAATTCCTGATTTCTTTTCTGTCATGATTTTTAGAGGTGTGATCCGTTTTCGGGTGAGCTTTTTACCGTTGATTCTGTGCCTCGCCCTGTTCCGGTTCTCTGCAACTCAACTGTTTCATCAAATTCATCCCAGGCTAAAGAAGCAGTGACCAATTTTTGCTCTGACGTATGGGACACATGCCAAAACGTGTCTATTTTGAACTCGCCCTTTGCCCCTTCATTGGGTGGAGTGCCTGCCAAGAACAATGCTAGTGAGCTAACTGAACTTTGGCAATCAAAATCCAATTTCTGCAGCGCATTTGGCGGAGCCTCTAGTGACGAATCAGTATGTTTCAATGGCGAACCTGTCACACTAAATGATTCGAGCACTCCCATCCCCCCACATGGTTTGTGCCTTGAGAAAATTGGAAATGGATCTTACCTCAACATGGTTGCTCATCCGGATGGCTCCAACCGTGCATTTTTCTCGAACCAGCAAGGCAAAATTTGGCTGGCAACAATTCCTGAAGAGGGATCGGGAGGAATAATGGAGCTTGATGAGTCAAGTCCCTTTATTGATCTAACCGATGAGGTTCATTTCGATACTGCATTTGGAATGATGGGGATGGTGTTTCATCCCAATTTCGCTCAAAATGGCCGGTTTTTTGCTTCGTTCAACTGTGATAAGGTTAAGTGGCCAGGATGCACTGGAAGATGTTCGTGTTATTCAGATGTCGATTGTGATCCATCGAAGCTAGTTTCCGATAATGGTGCTCAGCCATGCCAGTACCAAACTGTTATCGCTGAATATACCGCTAATGGTACAGCATCCCAGCCTTCCTTGGTACACCTCTACATACACTCTTTTATCAATTTCGGTTACTTTAACTCGCTGATTGCTTTAAGTTTTCATACTTCCTGTTGTGCTTTTTTTTCCGCGAAAATTAACTGACCACAATGCTCCTCCCAATGGATCCTACTGCCAGGCAACGAGTGCCAAACCATCGGAAGTAAGGAGGATATTTACCATGGGCCTTCCTTTCACATCTCAGCATGGAGGACAGATACTCTTTGGACCGGAAGATGGGTACTTATACTTCATGATGGGAGATGGTGGCGGTGTAGGAGATCCATACAATTTCTCTCAAAACAAGAAGTCTTTGCTCGGAAAGATTATGAGGCTCGACGTTGATAACGTACCAAGTGAGTATCAGCATTTCTGTTACCAAAACCAATCTGCTTCCTATTGCACATTTAATAACCTTGCAATGTATTTCCAGGTGCCGCAGAAGTGGATAAACTTGTTCTATGGGGAAACTACTCCATTCCCAAAGACAATCCATCCGCCGAAGATCCAGAATTGAGGCCGGAAATTTGGGCTGTAGGACTAAGAAATCCGTGGCGCTGCAGTTTCGATTCAGAAAGGCCTTCCTACTTTATATGCGCAGACGTCGGGGAGGTATAAATTTAATTTTTCATCTCTAAGTTTTTTACATGCAATTCCTGTCTGCCAGAAGACCCCCAAGTCCTCGAAATGTTCTGTTTTTCGACATGAACTCAAGAGAAATACACTCTTTCCTCCCCATGACATTACGTCCTCTTGACACTGATTTGCTTGTCTAACAGAATCTGTATGAAGAGGTGGATGTGATCACCAAGGGTGGAAACTACGGCTGGCATTTCTACGAAGGCCCGTACGATTTCACTCCTCCAAAGTCACTTGCTGGAAACACATCCACAAAACCTACGGGCACAATTTTTCCCATCATGGGGTACAACCATTCTGAAGTGAACAAGAAAGAAGGTTCGGCATCCATAACCGGGGGCTATATCTATCGGTCTGAGACTGATCCCTGCATGTATGGAAGGTAACCGAAAATTGTTCTTTCTCCTCTCGAAACTTGACCTAGCTAGAGAGAACTGAAGCATTTTCTTGGACTACACATTTTTGCACTAGTATTGTTCTATTGATCTTGACAAGGTTTTAATCTTCAGGTATGTGTATGGAGATTTGTACGCTGGTGCAATATGGGCAGGCTCCGAAGATCCAGAAAACAGCGGGAACTTCAGCTCGAGCAAAATCCCTTTCAGCTGCGCGCGTGACTCTCCGATAGCTTGCAGCTCTGTCCCGGACAGTAGTCTTCCAGCTCTAGGCTACATTTCCTCATTCGGGGAGGACAACCGCAAGGACATCTTCGTTCTGGCCAGCAGCGGCGTTTACAGAGTTGTTCGGCCTAGTCGGTGTGGTTACATATGCTCAAAGGAGAATGCGACCGCCGGTGGTTTGCCTAAATCTCATGCTTGCTGGTTAAGCCACCCATCTAAGAATGCAGTGCTCATGTTTTCTTCTCTAGTGTTGCTTCTCCTCGGTTTTGTCTAGTATTTTGTAGCCTTTTGGTATCATGTGATGGGGTGGATGTTTCATTGTTTTGTACCATAAAAATTTCAGAACTTTTCTTTGTAATGATATGTTTTAAGTGTTAAAATGGGATATTTTATCTTTATTTCCAGAGAATTTTTACGTGTATCGATAACACTTATCATGTGATGTATCATTTCTTATGTTATACGATGGGTCTTACACTGGTGGGACAAGATTCATAAGTCCTATTTCTAGCACATAATAAAATTTAAAAAATACATGTATGAAAATTTTAGTTGAACAAAAACATTAAGTGGCAGTGTTCTGAGTGCACAAAAAATTGGCCATATTTATAGTGTTTCTTGCAAAAAATAAAAATAAATAAACACAAACAAAAAATGGGGAATAAACTGATGAACTATCACATTACTTTATTATTTTATCTAAAAGAAGATATTTCATTCTAAATTACCTTAATATAAAAAATTAAACAAGAGTGTAAAAAGACGGATATATTATCTGCTGTCAACTGATCTGATTCATATTTATTTCTAAAATCTTAAATTAAATTAAATTTGTGTAATTTTAATCTTTTTATATAATCTCTTATATCTCCACTGCAGCCCTAATATCCTAAGCACAAATATTTACATGAATTAATTAACCAATTTTCCCAAAATTAATAATAATACCAATATTAACAAGAAAATAATAAACCCCCTGAGTGGTATGTGAATGGTGGTTTGGAGCTTTTGGTCCCTTCTCCTCCTCCATGCCCTTCTTCTCCTCTCTCCTCCCTTTCTCTCTCCTCTGTGTTTCTCACTCTAAAAAACCAAAAACGAAATTAACCCACAAACCCTAACCCCCAATGTTGCTGATCCTCTACATGTAATCTCATCCTAAACCCACTTTCTTTCTTCGATCTCCCCAAAACCATGTCTCTGGAATCTTCCCTTCCTCCGATCCCAGCCGTCCGATCCTCGCCGGAGCCCCTACAGCAAGAACAACCCCCTCAGAACGAAAAAGCGACATCAGCCCCGGCCCCCACGCCTCCCCTGTCCAGGAGCAACCGCCCCTCCCGCGCCTGCACCATACGCGCCGCCGCTCGGATACAGCAGCAGTTCCAGCAGCAGCAGAACCAACCCGCCGAGAAACGGCGAGCCGTCAACAAAAAGGAACAGCAGCAGCAGCAGCAGAGAGACGACGAGTCGTCGTCGCCTCAATGCAGCAGCGCCAGCAAGATTGTGACGCCGCTGGTGGGACCTCCCCCTCCCTCGCAATTGCCGCGCTGGACCCTCCGCTCCATGTGGGAATTGGCTTCCCTACTCAATTTCTTGCACGTGAGCTCTCGAAAGCTTCGATTTTTTTTCCGTTTTAGGGTTTTGTGGTTGGTTTCATGGTGTTTGAGGGCTTATGTGTTTTTCGTTTTGTTGTGTGTTTTTCAGGCTTTTCGGCCGCTGTTGAATATTTCGGCTGAGTTCTCGGCAGAGGAGTTGGAGACGGCTTTGATCACACCCAACGATACTTTGAGTGACATTCACATTCCATTGTTGAAGGTTGGTCGAAAAAGCTTGTAACTTTGTGCATTGTTAGTTTTCATTAGTTCATGTTTAGTATAAAGCTTGTAAATTTTTAGTTTTTATTGCTTAAAGTTCGGAAGCATTTCTTCGGAAAGTTAAATTCGCTTAGCAGTCCCATTTAGAGTTTTCATAGCTTGTTTCTTAGTGGAAAACTTCGTCTGTACATAAGCTTTAGGTTCCCTTTAAAATGTAGGTAGGAATGAAGTCAGCTGCTTTCTAGGAGGTGATTATTTCTGCTATTAAAATTGTTTTATGGATCTTCCAACTGTTATTGGATGTACCCGAAGGGGCGGTTTTCTAATTGTTAACAGCAACCTCAATTCATGAAACACCTTAACACTCGAGTCCTGTCATTTCAAACAACTCTTTAAAGCTCAAAGAAATCAATATAAAAGAAGAGTTTGGAGGTTTACTTTAGGCAACACGCTTATGGTGTGATTGGAGTGGTTTGTATCAGCTGTTGTTAAATATTCTGTGAAAATATTAATGCAAGTGACATGTATCATGTCATATAATCTCGAATGATTAAACTTTTAGTCTTTTATTGGCTGCTGAGGCATAATTTTTGTTTGAGTCTTGTCTAAATTTCTGCAGAAGACATGTCCTATGCGAGGACTAATGTTGTAGTCAATCCTTTGCCAACTAATGTGGTTAGACAAGTTTGCTTAAGTTAATCAAAACCATTACCCCAATGGGTAGAGTTGATTATGTGGACCCTCTTTCTTTCCCCCCCCCCCCCCCCCAAAAAAAAAAAATACCATCTTTGCTATTAATTCTTTGTTACCCAGGCCTTCCTCAATTCTCTCATCTGTTTTTCTCTGTATACGTTAACTTCATTACTTATTCACACTAGCGCATAGTTACTGCTATTTCTATTGTGGTAGAGGATCGTAGTCATGGTTACAAGTTTATTGATTATATATTACTCATTGTCTACTTATTGTTCACGATTTAATTGAACTTTTCAGAATATGTCAATACTCTGGAAAGGGAAGGATCTCTTGGCCAGATGATATTTTTTTGCTTTAATCTATTTATTTGGTAATTTTCGGGTTTCAAAATCGTAATAAGTCTGGAATTTTAAGTTTTTCCATTGTACTGCATAAATGTGGATGCTTTAAGTCATATTGTTGCTAATGGAGTAGAAAATGTCTCCTTGTAATTTAATTTTATATAACCCGTGGAATGCTGATGCTGCTGGAAAATTAATGTTTTGTTGATAGTTTGTCAATGCAACTGCTACTGGCTTACCCCTGAATTTTAATTGGTTTATTCTACAGGCAATTCCTCCAATTACGCGAATGGCACTTACACGTGATACTTGGGTCACTGTTTTATGCAGAAAGTTGAGAGACTGGTGGCATTGGGTAACTGTACTCGTATAACTAGTTTTTGGCAATATTTTGGCTGGTGCCAATTTGTTTTGTATTTCTGCAGAATCATATTAATTAATTTGGATATCTAATTGCAGGTTGCAGAGGGGGATCTACCCATTGTTGCTTCACATGGGTGAGCAGTCATGTTTATTTGTCTATTCTTACATATGAATCTTTTTCATTTATAAAAATGTCACATCATGCTAATTTGATAGGGCGGAGATTGAGGCATATAAAACACTTGAGCCTGGGGTCCGTGTGGTCATCTTGAAAGCACTTTGTGATATCCGCGTTGAGGTATTGTTATTGTTGATAAGATTTAAACTTGTTACTGATTTTCTGTAAAAGTTAATGTAGAATCCGTTGAATATTTTTTAGTAACCTTTTGGTCAAATGCCCAAGCAAGATGATAGTTTGTACGTCCAAACTCTTAATATAGAACCACTACTTTAAAATTGAAATGAAAAATCTATTGGAGATCCAATGCATGCTTCAGAGCAGGATGCCCCCTCTAATAGGTGATAACAGGAGATTCCCTATCAAGTCCTTAAATAATACCAAAGACTTCACATGATCTGAAAACTGAGATGATAGTTCCGTTTCTACATTGACATGGTATTTTTTTTTAATATTCTTGAGAGTTTTTTTTTTATCAGAATTGAATCTTAGAATTATGACAAGGAAATCATGTTTTTTTAACTAGAAAATTGATTTGGTATTACCTACTTCCTGGATCATGTTTCTATGCTTCTGTTACTTTATGAGAAGGATTAAATCTGAGTGATGTATTGCAGCAAGAAGATATTCGGAACTATATTGACAACTCGCTGAAGCATGGAGTTCAGCATTCAGCATTTCGCAAAGAACGTGTTGGAGGTGATTCACAAGGAATATCTTACTGGTAATATAATGAAGTTTCTATCATATCCATATTAGTTTACCTTTGTTTGGTTCGTATGAAATGTTCATCAAGTATCCTTTCCACTGTTGCAGAGATATAGTACAACTATCTTTTTGGAGGGTTTTTGTGTAAAATGTAAATTGAACTGTTGTGTTTGAGTGTTTATTTACTGGGTGTTTGTGGTTGCTGCAGGTATGAAGATGATCCAATAATTGGTTATCGGTTATATCGGGAGATCAGGAAGGTTGATATGAAGAAAGTAAAAGGAAAAGGTTCCCATGTCCTTCCTAGTGCGTCATATCAGTGGGAAACAGTAGCAACCAATTTCGATGAATTCCAAGATGTTTCTGTAAGATACTAAATTTCTCAGCCCATCTGTATGTGCTTTTGTGCCCTGTATTAATATTTCCTTGCACACTTTTAGGGTTGAACTTTTGACTTGGTTTGTATATTCAAGTATTTCTGGGATCTGGGGCCTCTGAAACCAATAATGTTGAGGAAACAGCATTAGATTTATCAGATTCTATCTTGTATATGGGAGATAACTTATTCAAGAAAAGTGTTGTTAAAACTTTGGATGAATTTGTTGCTGCTCCAAATCTAAAAGCATCTACTGTCGCAGGAGAAACTTTTCTCGAGTAAGAATAGAACGGAGGCTTCTCTAGGGAAGAAGTTGAAAGGAGACATGCTTGCAGAGATTGAGAAGGTTCACAAGGTATGCAACAGTGATAGTTGACCCACCTTTCAACCTTCGTAGGTTTATGTCTTTTTCGTGGATGAAGAATAATTTTTCAAATAGAGATTCTGTAGCAAAAATTGTATCTCATATACTATTTTTACAATTCTACTTGCACAGAGGAAAGAGAGGCAGATGAAGAAGCAACACAGACAAGCTCTCCTCCTTGATAATTTTTTGACTGTGGATGGGCTTGGTCCAGGGCGCTCTCTTCGTGACAGAAAACCTGTAACCTACACTTTTGGTAAGGAAACAAACTTCTACCTTTGTTTTCGTTTTCCCAATAACAGTTGCTCTGCTTAAAAGCCAATCTTCTACTAACCATAATAGAGGATTTAACCATTGAGATCTTGGGTGTCATTCTGTTGCATATTGAACAACTTGACGCCGGTTATTGTTTAAAATAATAATTAGAGAAATGTGGCTGTTGGTGAGGCACCGGCTTATGTGGTTGTATTTCTGGATTACTGGTGATGGATTGAGATCAACTGATCAGATTAACGTATTATCAAATGTGGTCTAGTGATACAAATTCCTAATTGTTTGTTTGAGCAATATCCCGTGGTTACTCTTGAGCAATATCTCTGGCTTACTCTTGAGAAATATCCCATGACTTTTATATTTGAG